GTGCACCTGTTTTTTTATTAGGGCTGTCGAGCTTTGATAAGCGATATTTAAGGTCCTTACCCTTTAATAATTATAAGATCAAATTTTAGAATTTTTACATCATTGAAAAGCGTAATATTCGCTCTATAATTCAAAAAAATAATCTTAAAATTTTAATAGAAAATAGTAAAGTTATTAAAGGGTTAAAAGTAGATTAAGAGATTTTAATAGTTACGGACGCTAATTTATTTACCCTCGATAACTTAGTCGGTCTAGCTAAAAGGCGTAATAACTTCGAATTTATAATTGGCTATATATATAAATTTAAGATTTTCTAGTTTAGCTCTATCTTATTCTTTTATATATACTAATAAATTAGCGTTCGTAACTATTAAAATTTCTTATTCTACTTTTAATTCTTTAATAACTTTACTATTTTCTATTAAAATTTTAAATTTTTTTTTAAAATTATAGAGCGTAGATTGCGCTTTTAAACGCTTAAAGTATTTCGAAATTTAATCTTATAATTATTAAAAAGTAAGGCATTTAAATATCGCTTATTAAAGATTATTTATTAAATTTACTCGATAGCTCTAATTAAAAGTATAATTATAATTCTAATTTAAATAATTTAGATTATATTATATAGACTTTATAATATATAAATAACTCGCTATATAGCTTACGAGTTTTATTAAAAATTAAATAGAATTTAAATAAAGATTTAAAGATAGATTTAAAGAATAAAAGCTATTAAAAGAGTTAATATAAAAGAAGTCTATTAATAAATCTAATAATAGTACGCTACGTAATAAAGCGAGGAATCTTAATAGGGTTTTAAAGAGGGTTAGAGTCGGGGTAAGGTTTCGAATTAAGATTTTAAGTTTTTTTAAAACCTCGACCTCGTCTTAAATCGAGAGCGAGATTTTAAAATATACTTCGTTATCTCGATAGACTCTAAGTATCTTTTAATAATCTCTTTAAATTTTAATATTTTATATTAAGAATAGAGTAAAATAGAGTATAAAATATAATATTATAGTTTAAATTAAAGTATAAGATATAGATACTTAAAAAGATAATTAGAAGATATATAAGATTATATTTACGAAGTATTATAAGAGCGTTATAAGAATATTATAAAGATAATAGCTTTAAGCTAACTTAATTAATAGACTTAATAAGAATAACGAAGTATCTTCGTTACCTCGATAGAAAATCCTATTCTAATCTATTCTATCTCGTTAAAAATCTCGACTCAAAGCGAAGTAGTATTAGATATCTAAAATCTCGTCTTATCTCGTCTCGTTACGTAGCGTAAATAATAGAGAATCTTTTATAATATCTTTCTCTCTTTTAAAAGCTTTTTCTTAATAATATTTAGAATTTAATATATATTAAAAGACTTTAAAATAGATTAATAAAAAATAAATAGAGAAGAAAAACGCGTTTTTAGAGATAGTATCGCTAAGTTAAAAACTATTATTATTAATTTAAGAGAAGTATATAAGAAAGACGATAATTATAAGTTCGTTTAAACTCTTTTTAAAGATTTTTTAACGCGTTTATAAGTATATTATATAACGAAGTAAAAGATCTTATTAAAGTTTTAAAAGAGAATCGAAGTCGAGATAAGATTTTAAAGAAAAGATTTAAATTTTCTCGAAACCTTAACTCTATCTTAATTCTAGAATAGAATTTTAAAGTATATCTTATTATTTTAGTAAATTCTAAATATCTCTAAGTAATTTCTTTAAATCTTAATATTATATATTAAAAAATATTATAAAATAAAAATTATTATATTATATTATAATTTATTTTAAAATATAAATAAAAAAATAAAAAAATAGTATATATAATAGAATAAAATAGAGTTAAGCTTAAAAATCTTAAATTTATATATATAGCTAATTATAAATTTAAGTTCGCTATACTTTTTAATTAAATCGACTAAGTTATCGCGAGTAAATAAATTAATATTTATAATTATTAAACGTTCGTAATTATTAAAAAAAATAGATATATATTATTAATATATAGAATAACTTTTTTATTTTCTATTAAAATTATAAGATTTTTTTTTCTTATTATAAAACGAAATATAAGCTTTTAAATAAAAAAAGAATTTCTAAATTTAATCTTATAATAATTAAAGCGTAAGAAATTTAAATATTACTTATTAAAGTTCGCTCGATAGCTCTAATTAAAAAATAGATATATATTATTTAATTTTAGAATAATCTTTTTATTTTCTATTAAAATTTCGAGATTTTTCTTTTAAATTATAGAACGTAATATAGGCTTTTAGAGAAAAAAAATTATTAAATTTAATCTTATAGATATTTAAAAGTAAGGAATTTAAATATCGTCTATTAAAAGTTCGCTTATTAAAGTTCGCTCGATAGTTCTAATTAAATAATAAATATATATTATTTATAGAATAACTTTTTTATTTTCTATTAAAACTTTAAAATACTTCTTTTTAATTATAGAACGTAATATAGACTTTTAAATAAAAAAAGAATCTTAAAATTTAGTCTTATAGTTCTTTAAGAATAAGAAATTTAAATATCGCTTATTAAAGATCGCTTATTAAATTTACTCGACAGCTCTAATAAAAAAAAACAATTATAAATTTAATTTATAAATCTTTACTTATATAATATAATACTATAATTTATTTTAAAGTATAAGATATAAATATATAAAAAGATATTTAAAAGATATATAAGATTATATTTAGAGAATATAATAGAAACTTTATAAGAATAATAGTCTTAAGCTAATTTATACGCTACGTAACGAAGTGAGAAACCTCGACGAGATTTCGAGGGAGATCGAGGTCGAAGTAGAGTTTTGAGTCGAGGTTTCGAGTTTCCTTAAAACCTCGATCTCGCCTCGATCTAAAGTGAGATTTTAAAATATATTTCGTTAACTTAGTAGATCCTAAATACCTTTAAGAGATCTCTCTAAATTTTAATAAAATATATTAAAAATAGAATAAAATAGAGTATAGAATACGATATCGTAGTTTAAATTAGAGTATAAGATATAGATACTTAGAAAGATAATAAGATATATAAGATTAAGACGCTATAGAAATATTATAAAGATATTATAAGAGTAATAGTCTCGAGCTAATTTAATTAATAGACTTAATAAGATAACGAGATATCTTTATTACTTCGATAGAGAAATCCTACTTCGATCTTATCTCACTCCGTTAAAACCTCGACTCGGAGCGAGATAGTATTAAGTACTTAAAACTCTACTCTACCTCGTCTCGTTATATAGCGTATTAATTTAATTAAATACTAAATAAGAATAATAAGATATCTTCGTTATCTCGAAAAGAAAATCTTATCTTAACTCGACTCTACTTTATTAAAATCTTATCTAGAAATAAAGTAAGATTAAATTCTAAATCTCGCTTTATTTCGCTTCGTTATATAGTATATTTATAAGTAATAATAGATATCTATTAAACTCGCTTACGATCTCGATTATTAATAATAATAAATTTATTAAAAAGTAACTTAAGAGCGTTAATAGCGACTTTAAGAGATAAATTAAAGAGATATATATATCTCATAGATCTAGTAATATAAGAGTAAAAAATATAGAGAGTAATTCTAATATTTATATTTAATAGATTAATAGATTAATAAAATAATAGAAGAATAAGAATTATATAAATAGAGAAAAGAATTATCTAATCGCGAACGGGTTTTATATAATTATATTTAAATATTAATTAATCTTATTAATAGTAGATTAAATTTTATTATAAATCGTAAAGCGAGATTTATAAATTATAAAATTATAAAGTAATTATATTTACTAAGAAGTAAGTAATTATTAGTAAAAGTCTTTTATATATTAACGAGTAAAGCTTTATAATTTAAATTTATAATTTTTTTCTAAAATTAGAGCTATCGGGTAAATTTAATAAGCGATCTTTAATAAGCGATATTTAAATTTCTTATCTTTAAATATATATAAGACTAAATTTAATAATTCTTTTTTTATTCAAAAGCTTATATTACGTTAAATAATTTAAAAGAAAAATAAATAAAAATTTAATTGAAAATAAAAAAGTTATTCTAAAATTAAATAATATATATCTATTTTTTAATTAGAGCTATCGAGCGAACTTTAATAAGCGATATCTAAATTTCTTATACTTTAATAATTATAAGACTAATTTAGAAACTCTTTTTTTATCTAAAAGCGTAAGTTACGTTCTATAATTAAAAAAAAAATTAAGTTTTAATAGAAAATAAAAAAGTTATTCTATATGTAAATAATATATATCTATTTTTTTAATAAAGAGTCTTAAGAGAGCTAGCGAGCTAATTTAGTCGATCTAATTAAAGAGCGTAGCGAACTCGAATTTATAATTAGCTATATATATAATTTAAGATATTTTAAATTAGTCTTATCTTATTCTTTTATATATATTAATTTTTAATAAGAAAATATAAAAGAACTAGTAAGTTAACTTAGATAATTTAATTAAAAAGCGTAAATCTATTAAATTTATAATTAGCTATATATTTAAATTTAAATTTTTATAACTTAGCTTTATCTTATTTTATTATAAATATTAATACTTTAATAATAAAACGCTTTAAGTAGAGATTTTAATATTATATTTCTAGCGGCGATATAATAAATATAGTATAATATCTCTAACTATTATATATAATAAGATATAATAACTTTCTCTCTCTCTAATATCGTATGTTGTTCTCTGATAGAGTTATATTTATTTATTTTTTAAATGTTTATGAGATTTTGCGTTCGGTGGTAATGGGATGTGAGAGAACGATTGCGCTACGGATAGGATTAACTAGGAGAGAGAGATATATATTTACCATTGCATCATATTGTTAAGCCTCGTTGCATGATATTTTGCTGTGAGAGCTCCTGATCAATGTCCCCGTAGCATTTTCCTTTGCATTAGTCCTCGTCTGAGCTGTTTGGAGGGTGCTACTTGTCAGATCTTGAGAATGGTCTTAAAAGGAATTCCCATACGCTCCCATCTCCGATCGCCCATCCGCATGCAACTCTATCTTTTGTGCCGGCTGCTCCATCTCCGATCGCCCACCCGCATGCAACTCTATCTTTTGTGCCGACTGCTCCATCTCCTGCAAGTTTTGCTCGCTCAGCTCGTGCAACGGCTTTCCGCTGAGCTCCAGTGGCCGAAAGTCCTCCTGCATCTCCTGCAAGCCTTTGTCCTTCTTCGAATCAGGCCCATCGGATAATTCAGCTACGGGGCTAGGTGCAGCTTTTGGGGGGGCATTTTTGCGTTTCTTCTTGAGATAGATGATTATGCTGATGGCGGAAGCGAAAAGGACCAACACACCGGCGATTGTACCGCCTGCAATGGCGCCGCTGTTGGATTTTGATGGAGAGGGTTTTGGAGGTTGGGAGTTGGAAGCGGAAGTTGAGTTGGTGGAGGTTGAGTTGGTAGAGGCTGGAGGTTGGAGAAGTCAGTTGAGAAGATTGCCACGGTTTGGGGGAGGGGATGAGAATACTGTTTGTGAAATGCGTGACTTGGAGAAGTGACGCGACCTCTGGAACGAGGGTTTTCATGTAATTTCTGCAAGAATTTCAGCCCTCGGTATTCTATTCGGTATAACACATGCCAAACCTACTGCTGTGCTTGCGCGTAGTACTGTTTTACCACGCCAGACTGCTCGTAAGGTGGAGCTGCGGCGGTGAAATTATCTGCAAAGGCCATGGTGGTCATGTCGAATATTGCCAGGCCTTGCAGAAATTGGTCTGCGGAGTTGTTGTACTCATTTGCAGGTCCAGGAAGGTCGTTCGTGGCTCTGGCGTCCAGCCCCCCAATGGAAAGGATCTGGCTCCCTCCAACAGCATTGCAGGAATGCGCGAACCGAGGATACTGGGGCGGATATGGTACGCTGAACCAGTGGAATGCGGGCAGCGTGAGGACATTGATTGTATCGTATTGAATGGAATTGTCTCCGAAGCGCCAGCCATAGCCTCCGTAGACGAAGCTAAGCCAATAGTCAGCACGTTTTCTGAACATTCTCTCGGTGGAGAGCGGATTTCACATCTCATAGGTGCCGTTCGTTGAGTTGATGCCGGCAGTGCAAAAGGATACTCTTGGACTAGGCGGACTTCCAGTCGTTGTTTGATTGTACCACTCTTGCGTCGCAGGATCAAACACCGAGACAGTTGACAGCCCTACGAGACCATCGGTAGTATTATAAGTTAGTCCATTCAACCCTCCCATGGCGATGAATAATCCTTCCGGCCCAAAAGATGGGACGAATTCCATGGCGCCTCTCTCAATGCCACCCGTCGCGTTACAACACTGAGCGCTAAGATTTGTGAACGACTGGGATTCCATATCAAAGAGTACCGCGCCAGACATAAGGGTTTGTGGCGAGACGGGCTCATAGTATGCACGGTCACCACCGAGGACCAGTGCTTTGTTCTGGCTGTACGCCATGAGAGAGCCGCCAGGGCGCGTAAGCGGCTCCCAAACAGAAGAGTTGGAATCAATCACTTGATTCCAAGCTCCACTTCCGGTATCGTCGGGCTTGAAAGACCACAGTGACAACGGATCAGATTGTAGAACGCCGATACCTGAAGGATAGCCAGTGAATCCGGTATACAGAAGGTCGTCTGCTTCGTAATACCAAAGGGACGGATTATCGAGGCTGGGAAGGCCACTAGGTTTTGCAGTGGATTGCAACACGACCGTCGCATTCGTCCAACTTTTCGAAAGATCGATAGAAAGCAGTGTCGACGCTGAACCAACATATCAGCACCAATACTTACGTGGAACCTACAACCTTATCTTACAGTACTCATAGACTGATTGTCCAGCGTCGTTCAAAAACGAAAATTGTCCCCCATCGATGTAAACCCAATCACCAGCAACGGTAGCTACGAATGCTGTGTTACTCTTCAATCTATCGCTCTAGATGTATGTGTACACTCACAAGCTTGGTATCCTCGTCGGAGATAACTCGAAGTTGCAACCACGCCCGGTGCTTGACGTGTTTCAAGATGTTCGCTTCGCATGGAGGTGGCAGAAGAAGCTGTTAAAAATGTGGTGCTGAGTATTGTCGCTAAAAAGCATGAAACGGATTGATCAGAATTGAAAAGGTTGAAGAGTCGCATAGTGGTAGCCTAGGCGGCGAGCTTGTATTTGCGAGTGATTAAAAGGTGGACAACGGCAGTACAACGACGTTTATTTCACGGAGTATCTCGAGGCACAAAATGTCAAAAGCAAAAAGAAACAATAATATGTGATGTCTTCTCATATTAAATGTTTATTGTTAAGCGTCAAACTAATGCATGCTGCGGAAGGCTGAGTAGACAAGTGCTCCGCTCTGATGAGGCTGATTCGCTCCGCAGGAATATGGAAGAGGGTTGCGAAACGCCTCTAATCTTAAGGCTTCAGCTCGTTTCAACGCGCTAGAAAATAAAAAGCACCGCAACACCATTAGGAATCGAACCTAATACGAACTAAATACCCCCAACAACACGGCCACAACCAGTAGGTGTCCGCCCTTGGACTATGACTAACGGGGAACATTTCGCTCCACAAATCAATGCGTCGCATGGGATTCGAACCTAATAAGCCCTCGCCAACACCGTTCGACGCTGGTGCAATGGTGTTGCGGTGCTTTTTATTTTCTGCGCTGCACGGCTGTGGCGTCACGGTCAGCCTCCATGCTGCCTGTAGGATGAATCGGGCTGTCCATCTCGATAGCCAGCCGCGGAATATGGTTCGGGGAGCCTCGAGTGCCATGAAATTGAGTGTCATTCATGAAAAGCTGCATAACTCTTCAATTATTCCGCTGAAGACCTTCAGATTTTATCCTTCCTTTTAAGTACACGCGAGCAGGGATCCAATGTAGGATTATCAATCGTCCAATGGCTGCGTTTGACTCCGTCTTAAGATCGTGCTTACTCAGGATCGCGGGAAGCTCCTTGTCGCCAAGAATCAGACCCCCCCTATTAACGGAAACTCCCCGAACATAAGAAAGGAAATCGTGTCTATCAAGATCGTAACCCTAACCCTATCTAATATTATATTTGATAAGCAGGCTTCACTTGCTAATTTTCGTCCTTCTATGGGCCCTTGGAAATAATTCCTATAGAATCCAGCCATGTTGTCGGTTGAAACCGTACAGCCGTAGAGATAGACATTATGCGGTTAATCAAGTTCGACAGAGAAGGAAGCACGTCAGTGCTTACCTTACAGCGTTTAACTGCATAATGTTTCTGGTAAAAGTCGCAGAAAGGCGTAACAAACCATGCGTTAGACTCATCGTAGGTTGTTACCTCATAGTTGTCAATCCTGCTCTTAGGCAGCCAGATAAGGTTCATTTGATGCTCGTCTTTCCATGTCGTCCTCGACCTTCTTGGTCACCGCTACTCTTGGATTGATAGTTGATAGTAGGGCGAATTACATTTTCATACCCCAAACTATGGGATTCTTACAAATTCATACCCCATCTTACATTTTCATACCCCAGTGGGGTATGAGTTTGTAAGATACCATTAACAGGGTATGATTTTGTAAGATACCATTAATAGGGGTATGATTTTGTAAGTTGCCATCTATAGGGCGGGTTGGTGTTAGGAATTATTCCACTGGGGGCCCTACGGCGCCCTTTAGGGGTGTCTGCAGCATGAAGTGTAAATACCCCTATTTAACCCTTTAGCGGTAACTCGGGTTACTAACAATTGGGGTAGGTAGCCTGGAACACCCTAAAACACCCTTCTAATGATTTACAGGTATAGGGATGTTGGTGGTATCTTACGATTTCATACCCCAAGAAATGGTAATTTACAAATTCATACCCCAAAGACTGGCAACTTACAAATTCATACCCCATTTTTTTGGTGAGGGGTATGAAAATGTAAGATGGGGTATGAATTTGTAAGAATCCCATAGTTTGGGGTATGAATTTGTAATTTGCCCATTGATAGTAACAAGTCCAGAAGCGTGGTCGATACAACTGCGCTCCTTATGTATAATGGCGCAAAGGACACAACAGTGAAAGCATACCAAGGACTTCTGTCTCCCCCCATTCCTCTCCGGAGCGGGTATAGCTGTCTCCATTCGGCACGCTGTTCCCCATCGTTATGTCCCTTGATGGCGTGATCTATTTTGTGTCAACCTTGTTGACTCGTTTTCTTGAACGCAAGCAGCAGAAGGGCTGCCAGAAGGTTTGTTTCGTTTTTACACTCAAAATTCCCGCCTCCAGCCTGCATCTTGAAAAAATAGTCAATTATGTGGCTGCTGAGGAACGCTTCTCTTCTAATGAAGAATTAAGATTTTTATCATCGTGAGACTCGAAGGTGGACATGTCACTGAATATGGCTAGCGCCTCTCTCCTATTAGCGAACTAAGACGCTACCTATGCTACCTGACGTTCGAAGCGGATCTCAGAAGTCTTTGTGCCGTCCATGTCTCACACTATAAGGGTATGAAGACAAAACGCAACCTCAAAAAAGCTAACGAGAACCAATTTCAATATTCTTGAACTTTCTCGCATTCTGCTCGATGGCGGTTTTTGCGGGCAATCTTTCCATACTACTTGCACCGAAGAAACCGTGGATGCCATCGACTCGATCAATGACGTAACGAGTGTCCTCTACACCTGTATTTCACCAGATCAGCCCTTTTCGCTTCAACATTGGTCGACAATACCCACCTGACACAGGTCCACCGTGGCAAAGCACAATGATATCGGGCTCGATCTTCACGCACGCATCTCTAATGGTCTGCACTATACTTACGCAGTCATCCAATGTGATCTCGCCCTCACCAGCGCCTATACTACCGCCGGTAGTAAGGCCGAGATGCACCACTATCACATCAGCACCAGCCTTGGTCATGCGCTCCGCCTCGTCAACATTGAAGACATATGGCGCTGTCAGGAGATCCAATCGGCGGGCAATTCGAACCATCTCGACTTCTTTCTGGTAAGACATCCCTGTGGCTTCCAGATTCTTGCGGAAGGTGCCGTCTATGAGGCCAACAGTCGGAAAGTTCTGAACTCCACAGAAGCCTAGATCCTTTAGCTGTTGCAAGAACTGGGGCATAGAGCGGTATGGATCGGTAGCGCAAACGCCAGCCATGACGGCGGTGGACTCGATCACGGTCAAAATCTCGGTAGCCTACAGAATCAATACAGAGAGTTAGTCTAAAATGGCGAAACCTTGTGAATCGACCAGCTTCACTTTCCCCATTTGATGAGACCGACCATGTCTAGAACGATAGCATTTGCATCGCCAAAGGGCATCATCCCTGCAAGAGAGCCTCTTCCTGCCATGCGGAAACGGCCAGAGTTATAGATGATGATTAGATCTGCTCCCCCCTTTTCAACGAACTTTGCAGACAGCCCGATCCCTAAACGCATTTACCATCGACGTCGAAAGAAAGTGATGAGGTGGACTGACCAGCTCCCGCTCCAAGAATTGCCTTGCCAGCTGCAATCGTCTCTCTCAAACGCCCAAGTACTTCTATCCTGTTGGTTGGACGTGGCATATTTGCTAGTAGGATAATTTCAACCTCGTAGCTGCTAATCGTGCTTTCTTGGTGCACTGTATCAAGAACTGGTATGTCAGGCGTTGGCCATTTCCCGAAAGTAACGGTGATGAATGGTGTAGGCTTGCCATGCGTTTCGACGTCACTAGATGTCATCGTGCGTTCCATCCTAACCCGATTTGGATACTCCACATTCTCTGCGTCGGTTACATCAGCGGTACCATTTTTCTATTCTCTCCTTGTCCGAGCACCAAGTCTGCCCCACGAAAGCCCCTTGTTGGCCACGAATATGGCCGGCACAAGTTCTAAACCCTTCGTTCTGCTGCTGGGTACCTGCGACACCAAGCTATCGGAGCTCCTCTACGTACGGTCCCATATGCTCCAGCATGGTGTCGGCGTTAAGCTTATGGATGTTGGGCGCAACCCTGTACTTCATCAAGATATTGACTACACTCATGCCCAAGTACTCTCGCATCTCTCAGTCCAGCGCGATACGGACTCAATAGAGCGAGGCCAAGTCATCAAGACAATGACCTCGGCAGCGTCCTCTTTAGTAACCGAGCTTCATTCTCGTAAGATGATCGCTGCTGCCATCTGTATAGGCGGCTCCGGAGGTACATCTTTGGGAGCATCAGTGATGCGCTTCGCCCTCCCAATTGGCTTTCCCAAATTGATAGTCTCAACAGTCGCATCTGGCAACGTAAGTAATTTTGTCGGTGAGACTGACATCACGATGATGTACAGCGTGGTAGATGTAGCGGGTCAAAACTCAATCTTGAATCCGATTCTCGAGAATGCGGCTGGTATGATTGCGGGAGCTGCCAAAGCCTTTCATGATCGCTCAGAGAAGGAGAAAAATGATAAGGTGGCTGATGAGAAGAGAAAGAAAAGCGTTGCAATCACAATGTTTGGTGTTACTACTCCCGCAGTCGAAGCTGCAAGAGCGCAGCTCGAAAGCAATGGCTACGAAGTCTTTGTATTCCACGCGACTGGCGTTGGAGGACGGGCAATGGAGAAGCTCATTTCGCAGCATCGAATCGATGGTGTGTTAGATTTGACAACGTCGGAGCTAGCAGACGAACTAGTAGGCGGAATCATGAAAGGAGGACCGGACAGACTCACGGCTGCAGCGCGAGCTGGCATTCCACAAGTGGTGAGCTTAGGAGGTTTGGATATTGTCAATTTCGGACCACGTGCATCTGTTCCTGCTCAGTTCAAAGCGAGATTACTTTACGAACACAACCCAGATACTACGCTTGTACGAACCTCTGTAGACGAGTGTCGGACATTGGGAAAGCAGATTGCAGAGAAGTTGAGAACCCATGTCGAAAAGCCGGACATGGCACGAGTCTTTACACCTTTGGGTGGTATCAGTATGCTCTCGACAAAAGGAGGGCCATACTACGATAAAGTTGCAGACAAGGCGTTGTTCGACGCTGTTATTCAAGGGCTTGCTGGCAGTGGTATCGCTGTTGTGGAAGATCGAAGGGCTTTCAATGATGACGGCTTTTCAACAGACATGGCCAAGGTTTTAACGCAGTTTATAGAGCAAGGCTTGTGAATCCGCGAGCAACATACGGATTTCTAGCCGCGACAATCAAGATTAACAGAAGGGGTGGCGAGGCGAGGAGAGCTGTGGACCCGTTCTCTAGGCCTCCAAATCAGGTTCAGTGAGCCAGTATGGGTGCGATTGTCATCGGCTCCACTCGACCACGCCTTTCTTCATTGTCATTCTCAAATTTTGAAGCAAGAGGCTCTGTTTTTGATACTCATTCGAAGGAAGAGAAAGCCCATGCTTTCAGAAAATTTGGGTGTTGAGCGGACATTAAAGTTTGTTTGTAAACCAGAGTGTCAACCCTGTGAGACTTAATGATAAAGGACGTTCTTAACAAGGTCAATGATAAACATTATCCTAGTCAATCCGACCCTGACCGTTTTCGTGGCTCCATCGTCTGCACACTGAAATCCATAATTATTTGGCTAAGTTACAACTTCGGCTGATTGTTCTTCTCGCGTTTGCCATTGTCTCAATCAGCACCTAGTGATCAACTGTCATCTCAATGAGCAAACTGTATAATACCTAACATACTGGACGCACGAGCTGATGACTGCTAAAGATATTTGAGTGGACTTGTGCTGGGCAATTTTTATATATGAGTAGGCAAGAGTCCAGCTGTGCCCGTAACGCGACATAAGTAGGCTGGCCAGGAGCCCATTGCTAGATGAGATCAGCTATATGGGATAGCCTAGGACGCGACTGACGATTATAAGTGGTTTTCGTACTTGTTTTGGAATTTGGATATCACATGAGCGGGTTACTTAGCCATCGAAACTATTTACCCCTGCACCGGAGCAGCTCGTACTCTTTCAGCAACTTCAAGCGAGTAAGTAACAGCGACCTGTGCGCGCTGGGGATCTCAATCCGGAGACTCAAGGCCCGTGTTCTCCGGCTTTGAGAAACACACCCCGGGCGGTTTCTCGGTGACAGGGTCAGCCCGTTACCACGACCGTTGCTAGAGGATTCCACGAATGTTGTTCGGTACCAAGTAGTGAGCGGGTTTTTCCGGGTAACTAAGGAAAAGCTGACGCCTACCACGTCCCTTGGCGTACTATAATCCTGGGTATGAGCACGTTTTCTCGCTGAGCATTTTTTCCCCTGCTCCTTCCGAATTGTCACGAGAATCATGATGGATGTACGGTACATGTCTTAAGAAAAGAGTCCTCCCGGATCAAGACTGTTTCTCGTACTTTCTTTATGCCAAGAATTCGTACATATTCCCCCTTTTTCAGCTTGGCATTCTTTTCCCTATTATATTCCAATCTCCCACAGACAGAAAGCAAATATATCAATGGCCAGAAACCGCTTCGTCCAACCATCTCAGCGCATTCGATAAGAAGCTTTGTAGAAAACTATCCTTTGCGTTGATATTCTGCACCTAAGCCAAGAATTATCTCAAACTTCGCAACGGCCTCATGCACTGGTGGCGCTATTCGAAAACTTCCCACTATGAGTCATTCTATATCCCGCAAGGGTACCACAGAGCATAAGACTTCCAGAATCTCTTCTTTTTCTAAGGTTTATCACCATCACCACAGCCTCCATCTCGACCATAACCCTTTGAGTTACACTGCATTCGTGTAGTCGCCTTAGCATTTCGTTTTCGCAGAGTCGAAAGTGGTCATCATCATCCGTCCTTACATCCCAGACATCCTCATCTCCAGTACCGCCATCATGCTTGCTATCGCAGCCAGCCGTTTGTCACCTTCCGACACGTGGAAACGCAAGAACGAGAAGACAAAGGAGAGACCGATATTAGGGAGTTGGCGAGAGCGGAGAGGTTCGAAGGAGAGCGGAGAAGAGAAGGGGAGCGGAGAGACGAAGGAGACATTGGGGAGTTGGAGACTTCGGAAGCGGGAGAGAACGAAGGCGATGGATGAGACAGGGGTACATGGAGATTGCATACCCGCTGAATGGAAGCTTCAGAAGATGTACAAGCAACTGAAAATAGACAACAACAAGTTTACAACTTGGCTTGTTGAATCAGTCTACCCATGCGGTCGGAGTCTTTCATGCAGTGAAACTCTTCCCCCTTGTATTACCCTATCGCGCAAGCAAGCCAAAGGTATGAGCAAGCCAGATTGGGCAGTGACATCGAACGCCATCTTGACAACGTCCACAGACCATCCCAAATACGACATCATTGTCAACAACATCACCGAGCTTGCGCGCCAAACACAGAAGACGCCCGCGAGCATGATGGCTCTCCTTGACCGCCTCATTGTTGAACGGACCGAATATTCATACTGGATGTCCCGAAAGTCAACGGACGATCTCTCCAAGTTCTCCAACGAAAGTCATGTATACTACATCGAGGTCCTGAAAGAAGTAAAGGTCATCTTGGCTGAGCACATTGAGCCCCAAACCACGAGATTATGCCAGGCGGAATCACTGACCCTATCCGAGACCACCAATATACCCACGCAAACACCAAATCCGACACTCGGCAAGCGCAAGGTCTCATCTACCAGTCATCAGAATCCGGACCGAAGGAAGGCGATGAAGACGGAATCCACGACATCCAGTCCAAAGCACGTCTTGCAAAAGGAAGCCAAGCACCTGACGACGACCCAAAGGCAACAAGAAAAGGAGTGGAGACACGTTGTAGCGAATAGCTGCAACAAGATGGCGGAGAAGGACTGTGCTCCGGTAGCCAAGCCTATGAGCTACGCAGCCGCCTTGCGTGTCGCAGTTGCCGTATAGGCTTTTCGAGTGACGGCAAGAGGTGAGCCCGATAAGGAAGTTCTCCTGACGACGATGCTGACTATGATCAGGACAAAGACATATGAATGGAGGCTGACGACGGAGACTATGAGTTAAGGAGAACTCAGCTGAAGATGCGCCATGGGTGAGATTGGGATATTGAAAGAACGCAACTGGTAGGCCGAAGAATGCGGTCTCGCGTCGATGACGCTAACATCTATCAGGGCAAAGATGATCAGAAGTGGCAGATAAAAAAAGGCCAATTTCGAGAGCTAGGGTTCGTGGAACCGGCAACTGAAGATGCTGCGTGGGTGAAAATGGAAAGTTGAAAGACGGTCACATTGCCGTCAGTGATTCTGCGTATAAGCAGTGTGTCTGTTGTAAGATTATTGACATCAGCTGCCAATGCTGGATGGAGGAAAACGGGGTATTTGAAGGATGGGCTCGTGGCTATCAGCCATACTGCGTTTTGGCACTCTGTTGATGGTAGGAGATTGGGGGGTTTGGAGGACGGGCTTGCAATTAACATCGGCGATATTGCGTTTTGGCAGTGTACTCATGAGACTTCTCGACAGCATCAATACGTTGCAACCCATCACACTCATGTTTGGTTAACGCTTCAAACCTAATCATGAGATTGAGTCCAGGAGACCGCTCCATGGAGAGCCCAATTATTCTGAAGTCGTGTTCATGCTTGGCTTTTCTTGTGTCTGTGTTGATTGATTTCCCTCATCATTCCATAGGTGGCCGATTCCGCCAGCAATGAAGGAATTGGACAGCCATTCTCGGTCGGGACAAGGCTATCTGCTCGGTTTTCGAGGGTTCCTAGTCATTCAATACTTTCTTTGGGTGTTCCTGCAGACATTCGTGCCAGTAGCCGTCAAAGACTCCGCCAATTCCCTAGGGTCAACCTATGAAAGGGTTCTTCGCCAGGCTCTGTCGGTCCTGATCTGGAACGATTCCTCGATCTACTCATCGCTTAATCTCCTCTCGGCACGGACAATCTGCATACCGTACCCAGCTGTCGCCAGCGCTGTATTCCGGCGAGGACCCCGCCTTTGGTCCCCTAGAGCCGTAGCATTGGCCATTGTTAAGATCCTATCCACCACCATTGGAACATCTCACGTTAACCCGTACATACACGAGACCGGCAATGTCTCTTTTGGGGCACCGTCTGAAATACCAAATGGCCTTGTCTACCTCAGTTTCGTTTTAACCTCTTTCGGACGAACAACAAATTCTTCGAATAAGTAGGCAACACCGCCTTCCCATCGCAAACTCTATGGATCGTCAACGTCATATACTCGCAGGGCTGTTCTGTTTACCTCACAATGGTCATCATACCCTACACATGCGACTCATGGCGCGTCAAGCCCTATTTTGCTTCATAGTTTCCGCTTGGTAGGTGCAATCCTTGGCATGGTACTCGAACACCGGTCTGCTCTTAGCGGATACCGTAACGAACATGCACTACATGGAAAAGGCCAAGCATGATTCCAAGGTCTGGCGGTCGATATAATGTCCCACCTGGATACCTTGCGTTCTCTTGCTCATCGCTGGGGTGTTGATGCAATTTCTGTGGACCGACTGGAGGGCTGCAGTATGAAATCAAAGAGCTTCTGGCTCATACTAAATTCTATTATTCTGGTGGTCTGAACAGGCATTTCAACGTGAGAGAGCCTCAAGCTAGAGACGATGATTCTCTGCCAGTCATTGTCTATGACTCATTGGCTTCTATTACCTGCTCGAATGCTCCAACCTCGTCCAAAGGGTTTTCCGAACCCTCTCTTTACGTATCTCGGAAGGGGGTCTATGAGTAAGTTATCATTGACATGGCTTTTGCTGCTTACCCTATTCTATCACGTGTCCAACCTTCGTTATACTAACGCCTTGCTTCCCAGGCTGGTTGCTCGTCCAAAGTATCGTCATCTACACTGCTGGCATTAAGCTTTACACGTACTTGCCAACGCAGAAAATTCTCTCAATGGAGGCTGCAAGGCCGGTCTGCCTGACTGATAGTGTGTATAACGACAGGAGTTCTGCCCCCATCTCAAGATGAACATGACGTCTCTATCCCAGTCTACCAACCACTCAAACCATCGATGCCACCCTACTTCTCGCATTGAGTTGATCCCACGTTGCCATCTCAATATCCACCGTCCTCATCGTTCCCAAATCCCTCACAACGTCCTCCCGCTCGCTCCTATAATTCCCTTCCTCGCCCAAATGCTGATACGGACTCTTGAGCCACGCTATATCTTCTTCCTCCTGAGGAGCTCCACTGCTGATGCCGATTGAAGTCTGAGCATTGCCGACCTTGACGATCTTCAGTCTCCGGACATTTGGTATCCGCGAGGGTGAAGAGGATTTGGGACTGGAACAGCGGTCGGTGATGAGTTTCACGAAACGGGGCATCATGGGGAAGCAGGTGCAGAGGATGATGGTGGCGATTTCTGCCAGCCTGGACACGATTGAGTGTATCAGCATGACGAAAAATGGTGAAGGTGGATGAGTAATGACGTACCCCCACAGTGCGGTCTGTGCGATGATGTAGGAGACGTCGGGGCTGGAGATGATATGTGTGCTGTAGACAAGCCGGCAGATGCTTGAAACGAAGGCGCTTTTCCGTCATAAGATTGATCAGCCTCGTTATGCCGACCAGATAAGCAGCACTAGAACGGAGAGGGCGAGAGGAAATGGGGAACCCACAGTAGTCCTGTGGCAAAAATTGCAGTGATTCCAGCCTTTCTTTTCGTTGCCATCTGCAAGTGCCACGTTGCCCAGATTGGAAGAAGGAGATTGAGGAAATCCGATAGTATATTGACCGCACTAGAGACGACCAGTAGCATATTTCTGTTGATGCAATGGCCTTCATAGGCCGGGTTCCAGACTTCCCAGATAGGATAACACTCGAAAAGGATTGAGAGGAAAATCGAGATATAAAAGGCTAGGTTGCCCCAGATTAGAGTATGACAGGCCCAATAGACAAATCCAGACTTCATAGGTGTAAAGATACGTATCAGTTGTAAGAGTAGAGAGGCTTTCGCTAGCCAGATCGCTGGAGTATATAGTAACTCAAGAGCCCAGGCATACTGCATAAATCAGAATCGGGCGATCGAGTGAGCAAGAGCATTTAGAAGCTGAGATTGACGCACCTGAGCTAGGTTCACGTACTGGGGTTTCTGGAGGTACCAGACGTGATGGCCAAGTCCAGCCAGCCCTGCTGCAAGGAGGCAAAAGTCGAAAGCTACGCTAGCTACCTGCTTAGCATTAGTCGAGGTCTCTTGTATAAACTCAGATGTTGCAGCGAGTGGTCACCCATGCCATCATCAACATATCTAGGTTTAGCACCTGGTTAGAAGCTTGAGAGATGCTCAGGGGAGCTGTTTGGCACTCACAATCTTCAAGACCGTAGGTCGAGGTCAGTCGCTTTGCGATCAAACGGGCAGCAGCAAAGACTGTCGTCAAGATGCTGCAAAGTATGACTGTTGCCAGAATGGTTGGATACAAGGTGTTGGAACCATTTGGTCCAGGCTTCGGTCTCAGCGGAGCTGCGTGTCCCGGAGAAGCAGTCATCACCTTTGCCAGTTCCCTTCTAGCCCACGCTGTGCTACACTAGCCAATGACAATATGTCCCTTGATGGTCAAGAAATATTGTATGTAGAGAAGATGACAGTCGTTCCAAGACAAATTATTGGAAGCGAGTCTCCTTGTCCGTATAAGGAAGAACCTGGGGCATAGCCGTCTCCAAGATGGCTCGTCGGAGAGAACAGACCATTTGCAGTATCGCTTGCTGCCTGAAGGTGCCTCCATCCTCAAGGATCGGTACGCTGGAAGGCGAAGCTTCTTGCAGAATCCTACTGCTGGTCGGTGGGACGGACCGACAATGATATCATTGAGCTCCGGAGGTCTTTGTCGTTCAGGGAAGCCCGAAAACCTGCCGGAATACTCCTCGCCCAAGTGTAAGGCTGTCGCTGGGAGACAATCAGCCCCGTCTGAGGTTCGGCTCCGAGGTGGAGGGTGAACAAACGGGCTGGACGAACCCGAGCATTAGGAAGGCGAGTCTCGCTTAGGGTCAAGCAATCAAACATCGCTCCGTAGAAACGCCAGATGTATTGCAATGCAGCTATGCCAGTGCGTCAAATGGCAATGATGTGCATATTTCCCTCGAAAGACGCGTATCCACCTCCTGCCGGATTTACGAGGTTTGGATTACAATATGCATCTCTATAAGGTTGAAACACATCTTTGGGGCAGTGTCATGTAGGAAGCCGGAAGATTAATAAAGTTCCGTTGACAGTGAAGAAATGTATTGATGGAGCGAAGAGCCATGCTTACCTACTCCATGCAGGGAGGCTTACAGCCTGGGGCGGAGACCCTGAGCCCATCTGCAGCTTACTCCAATGAAATCAGGAAGAAATGCCAAGAAGATAAGCGTCAAAATCTACTCGATGGCACATTTATCTGTCAGCGGTAGGTGTACCCAAATATAGTTCTTTGAGCGGGACGTCTTCACTGGCTCTAAATACGATACTGATGTGTCCGATTATACGTTGCGCTTATCGACGGCTGCGAACCAGACAATTTGCTTTTCTTATCGAAGATTTTGAACGATTGGACGACACAGAGACCATGGTCAGTCACTAGGGCTGAAGTTGCCACGCGTGGGTCTGTGGTTGGATGGCCGCAATAGTCTTCATTGACGTCAAAAGAGGATGTACCAGCTTTCTAGTGGCTTCCAATGCTACATGCACATCGCAATTCCGTGGGTGTCCGAGGAGTCCACTGCCCATATTTTTCGGATAAAGCACCCGGAAGCTTGCGCTAGGTGTTTGTAGACCACATTGAGGCTGTGCAGCCATGTCAAGATCAAATCACCCTCCCATCTGAGTTTAATGAGTATCTATACATACCCTGCCCCTTCCTTCTATTTTCCAAATGTTCTCAACTCCAGATACCTAAGGGGCGGAAAAGTAAGCAGCGCGAAACCCATGCCCAGCCATATTCCAACATCAGCTCCAATGCCGCCCACTAGCTTCGCAACAGGGCCGATATACCAAACTTGAGACATTCCGATGATAGCGCCGGCCCATCCAACCAGGAAAGCTGTTAATGCTGCAGCGCCAATGGGAAGGTATTCCTTGTTCTCCCAAGCAGCCCAATCGAAGCCCCGGTTCCGGCGAAATATCAAGTGCTCCTCCAGTACTATCGAGACGAAGATCACAACCCAGTATCCCATGAGCGCGAGGAAGTTCTGGAAAATGACGAATAGATGGTCGCGACCTGCAATGGCGCAGACGAAGTAGACGAGCACGATGGCACAGACCCAAAGATAGCGGGGCACCATTTTCCCGTAGCGACCCATGACTTGGCAGCCGAGTGCCGCTGCATATGTGCTCGGGACATTGTTTGCTATGACACCCAAAGCAACGACCACGCCACAGAATTTTCCAAATCCTCCCACGGCGCTGTAACCTTCAAGTATCAGGGCCCCGGAAGAGATGTCATAGGCAGTGGACCAAGATGGTGTCACAGCGATACCGGAAGCTAGTCCAATTCCAATGATATACACGAGGGTGATCGAAGTCCACAAGCCAGTCAAGGTCATGAAGAAAGCCAAGCGTTTGGAGGTTGTCTCTGGATACTACATAAGTCTGCTAGTCAGCGGTTACCGGAGAATAAAGCTATCAGACATTCTCTGTTCGTGCGCAGATCGCGGAGTGGAATACAATGTGGGGTGGAGGGCTTCGAAAAGAGACTGACATAAACATAGAAGTCGCTCCCCGCACCAGCCCAGGATACTGGAGCCGAGAGGCTGATAGAGAAAAACGATAGACGACCGGCTGTTACAGCAGCACTTCCCCCTGTAGACTGCGAGGACGTGTCGAAGTGTTCACAAGCGATACCGGCCAATACAAGAAGGACGATTACTTGTGGGATCCAGGCCCATCTGCACACCGTTAGCGTTAGCGTTAAGGAGACCGACAATGGAAGTGTGGAAAACATAACCATACCTTTCATATGTCTGAAATACAGCCATTCCAAAGACTGCAACGAGCCAGCTGACGAGCGCAGTGATGATGATTCCAACAGCAATACTCATACTACCTCCACTGACAGCTGACAAGATCTGCCCAGCGATGATACAGCTGATGGTGCAATACCCAACCATAATAATCATGTTGAGGAAACATATCAGCTTCGCAGGCCAATATCCCATGAAGTAACGTGTCACAATCTGAATGGTAGAGCTGATTATTAGACTATCTCCAGCATCGGCATAGCTTCAATGTGAAGCGTACAGCTTCGGAGGACGGGAAGATCGTTAATAAAGGGACCATAGCTTACCATCGTACGGTTTCCACTTTGCGCACCCCAGATACTCATGTAGGCTGTCGCCGCTGAGCCCAGCAGGGAACCAAACGTCGCCATCATCGCACTGTCGACGAAACCCAAGTTAAAGACTAATGGCCCAAGCAGACCTACGGCAAGATTGTTTGCAGTGACATTTGCGCTGAACCAGAGGATTGTCATTTGCGCATAGCCCATGACGGATCCTTCATGCCGCTCCTCTGGAGGCACTCGCGCGATACCACGTGCCTCGAGGCCGGCCAAACTCTCGATTCTGGTATTCCATTGTGCAAGTGTATGGGGCACAGGTACAGAAGAGACAACAAAAGATTCGGAAGAGCGGGTGCGCTTCTCGAGCGAATTGTTCCTAGAGATAGCAAGATCATGAGCGACTTTTTCCACGTCCTCGGTTGCCATTGTAAGGATTGTAGGGTGAGCAACAGCACAATTGGAACCGAGTCTTGACGACGGCTAGTTGGTATTGAGCAATCGATGGAAAAGAGGACTCTGAGGGTTCGGAGGCGATTGTGTGCAGCGCTGGGACGGCGGTGAGAATAAAAATTGCAGGTCAAGCCTCCAGTTCCCGTTGGAGTTGATGCTCATGCGTAAGCGCCCACTACTTGCTCCGTCTGCACCTCGGACATCAAGAAAACACTTCGCATGACCCCGCAACCTGACAGCAAGCCAGTTCAGAAAGCGAACGAATACTTGTGAACGGCTAAAATTGGTACCATTTTCACCAACCGGCCTTAATCTTAGCATCCGATGCAAATAAAGGTAAAGCAAACGCTCGAATTAATTTTCCACAAAGCTGTATTTAGTGCTCGCAAACAGTGAGGCCATACAGAAATAACGCATGCACAAGTAGATAGGTATGTAGATATATGATTGGGCATATCCAACACTGGGGCAGCTAAGACCTTTCTGGACATGCAAATAGCCCAGAACAGGCCCCCCAGCGCTAGAAAAACTCCCATGTCTAAGCGACATGCCCTGGAGTGAAAATGAAGCTATAGCTATATATAGGCGTGGGTGGGAGGGAGAACAATGATATGGCTCTGAAAGAGAACAATTCGACTGAAAGAGAACAATTCGAATGAAGAGCCCACTACTGGTGCAGTGGCCATACAAATAGTACTCGCCATGGCCACCTGTCTCCCTACTATCGCATATCGCATAATGATGGAACGGTTGATCAAACAACCACCAACGCTATGGCCTCATGATGGACCCACTAACCCACAGTCCCACTGTTGCGACCTCTAGCCCGCGCCGTACGAATGAATGAGTCGAAGATTGCTTGATTGTCCGCATACTTGGACGTTGGAAGCTCAGATAACACGACAAGAGCACCACCATTTCCGATGTCAGTAGGTACGCAGATTCTTACGAGTAAAGAGGACTTGATTGATAGGGATGTTGCCTAAGTCCCTCAGAGCATGCTCAGCTCATTCTTCGCTGGCTAACCCTCTTCGGGTTAGCCTCTTCTGCTTACTACCCCTAATTTCTTAATCATTGGGAAACTAAAAAAAATTATGCGAATTTGACACCCGTCCATAATCAAAAATTTAAAATTTAAATTTTTCTATATAACCTCACTATTACTTATTTTTATAGTCTATAAATTTTACGATATCTACTTATTATATTAAATAATCTATCTCTAGATTTTAGAAAGATTTAGATTTTAATTTTATAAGTAAAATATAAAAAGTGAGAATATATCGCAAACTTGAAAAATTTATCTCGACTATTTTTTTTATCGCTAAGACTATTTAAAAAAGATTTAAAAATTTATTAAATCTTTATTCTATAATAGAATAAATAATTAAAATCTTTTATAATTTAGTATATTTAATCTCTTATATAATTATTAAAATCTAGAAATTTTTTAGAATATTATAAGTTATCGTTGTGAGGCTATTTAAGAAAAGCACTTTTTTTATTTTTTGAAGGGGGGTGCCAAAATCGCGATTCTAGTTTCTTAATGATTAAGAAAATAGGGGTAAGGAACCTTCAGGGACTTTATCTAAGGTAAGCACTATTTGAATGACTACGTAATAAACGCGCTAGCGCGGCCCGCGGGATGCCGAGCATTCGTCCGAGCATTGCCGAACAAAATATCACGAAAAGATGAGTATCAAAGCTTCTTGAACAGCTTGTCCTTCATGAGTACCTACAGTGGAAATACATTACTAGACATGTCGTCTAATCAGCAGTCGCCAATTGGAAGCAGAGTATACGACCAATAACTATAAAATCAAAAACTGTCCAAAAGGAACATTTGCCTCCCGCAATGGCCGATGAAGAGTCTGGCACATCCACCCTCCAGGAACAAGATCAGGATAAAGAATTGCAACAGCATGTTACTCATGATGATGACAGAAACGGTGAGGAGAAAGACAAACAGCAAGCCGATCTCTCAAAGATCGAATCCACAAAGTCCATCGCCGAGACGCTGCCCTTGGGCAAAGAAATCCTCTTCGTCGGCTTGATCTGCTGCGCACAATTCACCACCCAAGTTGGTCTAGGTCAATGTCTCGCCATCCTTCACGTCATCGGGGACAGCTATGGTCTCTCCAACCCTGGCGAACTCAGTTGGCTCATCGCGGCCTACAGTCTGACGGTTGGCACCTTCATCCTTCTAGCGGGTCGTCTGGGCGATGTCTACGGCTACAAGAGAATGCTCATCATCGGCTTCTCCTGGTTTTCGGTATGGAGCATGATCGCCGGTCTAGCCGTCTACTCGAACCACGTTCTCTTCAACTTCGCGCGCGTCTTCCAAGGCGTTGGACCAGCCATATGCCTGCCCAATGGCCTCGCCATCCTCGGCGCATCGTACGCGCCGGGTCCGCGAAAAGCCATGGTCTTCGCCATCTTCGGGGCCACAGCTCCTGGAGGTGCTGTCATGGGCGCCGTCTTCGCGGGCCTCTTCAGCTTAGCCTGGTGGCCTTGGACCTTCTGGTCTTTCGCTATTGTTCTAGCTTGCATAGCGGTCGTTGGATCCTATGTGATCCCCGAACCACCAAAAAAGTTCACGAAAGCGATGACACTGCGCGAGAAGATAGCGGAGCTTGACCTACTCGGGGGTCTCTGTGGTGTCACGGCCTTGATTCTTATCAACTTCGCCTGGAACCAGTCTGGTGTAGTCACATGGGCCAAAGCATACGTCTACGTGTGCCTGATTCTCGGCGCATTGTTCACCGCCGCATTCTTCTTCATCGAACTGCGAGTCGCAACATCGCCGCTGATACCCTTCGATGCATTGTCGACCGACGTCGCATTTGTTTTAGCCTGCGTAGCTTGTGGTTGGAGCTGCTTTGGTATATGGGTGTACTATCTGTGGCAGTTTTATGAGCAACTTAGAGGTGCCTCTCCGCTCCATGCCGCTGCCTGGACTATTCCGGTTGCGATCTCCGGTGCCATTGCCTCCGTGACTACCGGGTTCCTGCTTGGCCGTCTCAGGCCCGCCTGGGTGATGACGATTGCACTTACAGCATTCACTGTCGGAACCATCCTAATCGCCACCGCGCCGGTGGAGCAAAGCTACTGGGCGCAGTCCTTCGTCTGCACGATCGTCATTCCCTGGGGCATGGACATGAGTTTCCCAGCCGCCACTCTTATCCTATCTGACGCGGTGGCGAAGAAACACCAAGGTATCGCCGCAAGTCTAGTCAACACAATCGTCAACTACAGCATTTCGCTAGCACTTGGTTTTGCCGGCACCGTTGAAAGCCACGTCAACCATGGTGGCAAGACCCCGAAGGATGTTTTGTTGGGATTTCGCGGTGCTTGGTATTTCGGTATTGGACTCTCAGGCTTCGGTCTCTTTCTGAGTCTTTGTTTTCTGGCCAAGGGGTACTGGAAAGATCGAAGCAAACGGAAGGCTGGAGATAATCCCCTCGAAAGCCCTTGAGATTGATTGAGCGAGCAACTCATAGCCGCTTCGTTTTCTTCTTTTTCTAGATTCTAGATTTTGAATTTTAGTGTAGCCAGTATGGCATTTCCGACTCTAACAACAGATCCCGATGAAGCATAAGAATCTTCTGATCTTTGGCAAAGCCAGTCCTTGAGAGTCCAAACAACTCGAATCGCTATAAAATCGAGACGGCGAATCTTGCAACCCATTAGTACTCGGCACATCCATAGCTTCCACGGAGACATAGCGTACGAACCTTCGTCCTTAGCATAATTAGGTGGACACTTGTCTTTTTCCCCAAAATTCTGATCCTTTGGCACAGGACATCAGCTTTGCACATTGACAAAGCCGGTATTAACAGAATGATACCCATTGCTGGGGTCATGGCAATCGTCGACTTCAACAGGACAGGGAAAAGCCATGAAATCGAGACTTTAGCTCTGCAGAGATCACCTCTGGCGCCGAAGGACGTTGGATGCGCCGTTATCCGCTGGTATCATGACACTGGTGAAGGGCAAGTATGATCCGGACGTCGTGGTAAATTGCCCAGTCACACACGGGATGATTGCAGACCGGTCGATGCGGGCGCGTAGCTCGCAGTAAAACGATGCTGGGAATTCCAGACCTCGTGCGCTGGGTCCCAAAGATAGGGTGGAGGGGAGCAACAGGTACCGAAGCGCAAGGGTATCCGCAAACGCCGATTCACGTAGAAAGGTATGCTCCGCGGAGAAGGAGCACCCAGGGAGACTTCGGAGGCGGCAGAAGAGGAGAAAGAGGTATGGGAACGGGCGGTGGATTAGGGCTTAGCCTTGGTCCGTTGGGGCTTTTCCCTTCCGACACCACAAATGGCCATCAAGAAGTTGTTGAAGAAGGTGAGTCGGCCAGGTGCTTCCGATGGATGATAAGGAGAGAATCATGCTGACACCGCTGCTTAGGATGTGCTGTATCCCATGATCGTCAACATGCCTTCCGAGGCCGAGGTGGCTGCTGCGATGGCTGCAACTGAAAGGCAAAGAGATTAAAACATGTAGTGATATAATAGCGACTGGTTATGCAAGGAATAGTCATGAAATCTCCGTTTCATGGAGTCTCTCTTTTTATTTCACCGTTGAATCGTTACGACCCAGTTCGAGCTTCCTCTTTACAAAGTATTCGACGTGTATAAGTTCGACGTTATGACTTCTAGAATAAAAGGAAAGAAGTATAGAAACTTGATAGGCTCACTTAAGCGATGCTTAAAACTCGATCAAGTAACAGTGTATGCACAGCGGATTTGGCTTCAGTATATACAATGTAATATATAAATTCTTCTCACGTTCCTGCATCGTTTTGTACTCTCTCCTCTTTTCCTTGCATTTTCATCGTGTTCAAGATACCCGCTATCATCCAAGCAAAACAGATCCAGATCCAGAGCCAGCTCTAAATTGCCGTTGGTGCCTTGAGTTTCAGTCAACAAACGAGCTCATCTATTATGGAGGTCAAAAACCGAAAGACTCACCAAGCCCCACCGCCCTCCTAATTTTGCCAACGCGCAAGCAAACGGAATAGATCTCGCGCACCTCCTCCCAAAAGTTATACCAACTGATTTGATCCGGCGATCCGTTGTCAGTGATACGTACTGTGCATTTGTTATAGGCTGCGTCCGCATCAGCCTTGCAACTCAAGACCTCTACGCAGACCGACAGGACTGGTATTGTAACTCACTACTCTGCAACTACCTGGGCAAACCGACCGCGACGCTCGGATGCTCATGAGGACCAAATGTTTTCACCGTCGTCGTCACGGACACATCGACCAGGGTATCGTCGCACGAACGCAGCCATTCCCGGACGGCTCCAGCGGGGGCTGGATATATTGGCGCTTCCTCGCACTGAATATTGGCGTTGGAGTTGGGTTTCATCACGACAGCAAGACGACCATCGCCGCCTGCGCAAGTTGACATTCGTCAGCTCATCCTTTTCCGGTGCGAGCATCCTGACAATTCCAGAGGATGGATGATAGCACACACACCTATATCGCTTGCGACGCCGCCTGTGGCGGGCGTCGTCGCCGCGCATCTATCCAACAAAGGCTGCGCAGCTCTTTTGATATCCGTGGTCCTTGCGTGCGCAATTGTAGCGGAGCGGACGAGGAAAAAATTGAAGCTGCAAAAACCGTCATCTGCCAAAAATCGAAAGAGCACCTGTAATTACCTGATCGAGATCCGTTAATAATCAACGCGGCGTCAAGGAAGGTTCTGCTGCAAAATCACACTGCTGGAGGAATGCTATGTACCGCTAAGCCACACAAAAGAAAGGACTTCGTTGTAATGAGCAACGTGATGTCGCAGGCCGAAGCTGGAATAATGGTCGTCGGACTGGACGCTTTCGAAAGCGTTCTGGCAGCTTTTCACATTCAAATTGGAGCCGTAGTTTGAGGCGCTGCAACGCGCTATAGCAGCGCCGGGCTCGGCGGGTAGTGAAGCGGTTGCATTCGTTGCATTGGAAAACAAAAAGATCTCGGAGCCGTTTGTGGTCAAGAGTTGGTTGTTTATAGACTGTAAGGGCTGCAAGACCGCAGCTGAGATGGCGGAGATGAGGGTTAATGTTTGGAGAGGGAACAACATGATGCAGTGAGCGAGTTGGCCAGTAGAATAGCAAGGACGAAGCCTGGCCACTTCTGGTACGCACCTTCTCCAATCATATGCTGCCGCTGTAGAGTACACGCGCTGTGCGTTCAACCGACGCACGCGCTCAATGCGTAAACCTTACATCCTGAAACCTTGCACCGACATCAATCATACAAATATCCATGCAAGCCTTCACCGTGAACCTTGCACTATTCTCCCCGGCTCCTTTACTCTATACTGGGAGGCATACTCTGTGTTTTGACAGCAAGAATCCAGCAAGGGTCTGTATCAGCTGTAATCAGACTCAAAGTGAACGGTATCCAGCAAGACTAGCTAAGAGACTTGTAACTGGGTGTGGGCCTGGATCAGAAACGTCGGGCGACATCACCACTCTACCATTTTCCCTTGGGCACGCAAGATCAAGTCTGGAACCTCCACCGCGGATCCTCATCGCCCAGCCACTCGTCAACTCCCACTCCGACCAGTCGGGCATCCCTCTCGCCATTATCTCTTTTACGATTCTCTGCTCTCAGGATTGCCCACAGCGCGCCCACGACCAGGATATTGGCGCACAGATAACCCAACGCGAACCCATGTCCCAGAAAGTACCTGGGTCCATCCGTAGCTCGATAAAGCTGGGTGCCCAGAACAGCGCCCAAGTTTCCAATGGATATCTGCATTGCATTCGCCGTTGCGCGCTTGGTTTGCCCGCTTACATTGTTCGCGGGCCAAGAAAGCACAATGGCGGTGGCAGGATAGATTCCCCCTGCTGCCAGGATGGTACCGAAATAGGCAACGCCAGGTTTTGTTTGAGTGAGTAGAACGATGTATCCTATAGCGGAAAGACCTGCGGAGCCCATGATGAAGGGTGCTCTGAGCTTGAAGCGCTCCGATAAGAGAGCGACGGTGAGTGTAAGGGCGGTCGCGACTGCGTACGGTGGGACGGTGAGTAATTGCGCTTGGGCTGCCGTGAAGCCCAACTCTTTGATGATAGTTGGTAAGAAGAGCGAGAGTGTATAGAGAGGGAGACTCATGGTGTGGAAGCCCAGACCGTAAAGCCAAACTTTTGGGTCACGCACAGCCATCAAGACGTTGCCCCATGTGAAACCCTCGTTCCTTGTAGCGTCATTGCTGGCGTCCAGACGAGCGTGGACGCATGCCCTTTCTTTTTCGGTAAGGAATTTTGCAGTCGAGGGATAGTTTGAAATGAAGCGGTATGAGATGAGGGATACGAGCACGGTAAAAATTCCTTCGAGGATGAAGATCCAACGCCAACCATGTAAACCACCGACGCCATTCATGTGAGCGATGCCCTAGAAACATACCATCAGTGGAAATTTAGAAAACCAAATGGTTGATTTACCCATGCTAGGACACCACCGAAAGCGCCCGCCAGAGACGCAGCACTAAAGAAGAGAGAAACCCGGTAGTGCTGTTCTTCCCGCCTATACCACATGGAGAGGTAGAAAACGACCCCAGGGAAGAGGCCACTCTCTGTCATGCCCAGAACAAAGCGTGCGGCGAAGAATCCAGCCATGTTCTGAGTGACGCCCAGCAGCGTCGCAACCACGCCCCAAGCGAGTGTGAGTGTAGGGAGCCATACTTTGGGCGATGTCATTTTCAGGACGACATTGCATGGTATCTTTCTGCATCAGTTCATCATACGAAGCTGATCGTTCTTGTCCAGACTCACTTCGAAGAGGACGTAGCCGATGAAATATAAGGTCAAGCCGGTAAGGTACTGGTTCCCGGCTGTGCAAAGTCGTCAACTTGGTACAGGTCCAATGATGTCACGGCACGCTAGCCTACTCATATGCAAGTCTACCACCAAACCCTCGACACGCGCATTGGCGACTAAGATACCGTGAGCAGTCGAACAGAGGTTGCCAGGGTTGAAGGCCCTACCATTGCTGCGGTCGAGAAATGACAGGAGATATAACAGCGTTAAAGCGGGCAATAATTTCAGGTCAAGCTTTCGGAGCAGTGCCTTCTCGTTGATGCCAAAGTGTGCATCTTGACCAACCTCAGACCCACTGGAGGGAGATAAGGCAGCCTTGTGTTTTTCAACATCTGCATAGAATGCGCCATCATGTACCTCACCAGTGATCTGCTTCTCGGTTTCGGCCATGCTTCGCATTCAAAACATATGCAGTCAATGAAAGATACAGCCTCAAGAGAAACAACTGGGCACGCGCTTCATGCAATATGTAGCCTGCAAAAGTACACGTTGACGACATAACCGCCAACGATGCCGTGCACCATATGCTTTGGATTGGACGGGTGCCGAGAGGGGGACAATGATAGGTCAATCCCGGGGGGATTGCGTTGCTAGCGAATGTCGTGATCAAGCCCTTTCATCTTTTGCGACTAGAGTCCTCGGGAAAGCAGTACCTAGGTAGAGTTGATCCCACAGGATTGGCTATGTGCTGTTGCATTATAGACGTTTAGACTGTTCATCCAAACTTCAAAGATGCAGCCTTATTAGCACTGACATGTACCATTACTGTTGCGCGTTGAACTGACTCGGTACCTGGTCTTGGCACTCGTTCGAAAATAGAGAGCACTGGTCATCGGAACATTGTCGGACCGAAGATTCCAAGTGTTCCCTCGTCGGGCCTGGTACGACCGCCGGAAAATGGCGACATCCCGCGTGTCCAAAGGCTCATTGGTACGAGTACTGATCTGTTGCACTATTGACCATCTCGTTATCGCGCATCATCTTAGCCAATCATGACGTCCACTTTCTCCCTCGCCGTTGGTGGTGAAGGAGGGGTTTGCGTGAATACGCAATATGCCATTGCTGCTGTTGACAACTCGATCTATCCTTCTTCCTACCCTGCTCCCCACCCATTACCAGCTCCTACACCATTCCCTCGAGCCGAACTACTCATTCAATCATGGCTCCAGGACTGACAGCGACCTTTCCACACCAGACTTTTACCGTTGACAAGCACGTGCCGCGGTCCATCTTCCCTGATGGCATCAAGACCTCTGGCCAACATCCCCCTCTGTACCATCAGCTCAGTCCCTACCAAGACTTCCCCCATGAGATTACTGGCCCCACAGTATGGGACGCAGATGACTACAAGGATGATCCTGAACGATGGACGCACTGGTTCACAGACGAGGAAATTGCAGAGATGAGTGAAGCTGCCGACAGTTTTAGGAATGCCGGCATTCCATTGACAGGAATATCAAAGGTCGCTATCCTAGACATATATGACGAAAACGAAAGCTGACAAAGCCTTAGGACAACTTCCAGCTTCCTCGTCTCTCCAAGTTCCTCGAGTCCATGCGCAACGAACTCCTCAATGGCAAAGGCTTCATACTATTCAAGGGCTTCCCCGTGGAGAAGTGGGGAAATCAAAAGTCAGCTATCGCATATATGGGACTGGGGACATACTTGGGATACTTTGTCAGTCAAAATGGGAAGGGCCATGTTCTTGGACATGTGAAAGATCTGGGAGACGATGCAAAGCAGATTGACAAAGTCAGGATATATCGGACGAATGCACGGTATGTCCACTGCCGGTCGAAGGGCCTCTTGTCGTATAAACGACTGACACCATGGCAGCCAGTTCTTTCATGCAGACGACTCGGATCTGGTGGGCCTACTCTGCATTGCGCGAGCTCTCGAAGGCGGAGAGTCTGACATCACTTCCGTGCACCATGTCTATAATGTCTTGCGAAGGGAAAGACCCGATGTGCTCAAGACCTTGACAGAACCAATCTGGTATTTCGACCGCAAGGGCGAAGTCAGCGAAGGCGAGGATCCGTACATCCGAGCGAGCGTCTTCTACCGGGAACCTGGAGGAAAAGGGCGAGTATATTGCAAGTAAGGCATACTCCTTTCATGTCTTACCAGCAAATCTTTCTAACGCCTGTCACAGATACGATCCCTACTTTATCCGTTCCTTAGAGCGCTTTTCCATCGCCGGCATCATACCTCCTCTATCTCCTGCCCAGCTCGAAGCTGCCGACGTCCTCGAAGCCACCTGCAATCGGCTCGCGCTACACATGATCCTCGAAGTTGGGGATATACAATTCTTGTCGAATGAGCATGTACTGCATGCGAGGACCGCATACAAAGATCATGCGCCACCCGCGCCGAGACGGCATCTGATGAGGTTATGGCTGGCGACGCCAGAAAGCGAAGGGGGGTGGACATTGCCCTTCCACGACAGCAAAGAGAAAAAACGCGGTGGCATACAAGTGGATGACGTAGCGCCTGTGGCACATTTAGATGCAGAGTAGGGCAAACAACATGTTCGTTGTATTTCGGTATAGATCAACAAACTTCGATGCACATCTTTATGCTATCGATAGTAGAATCTTCAAGTAAATAGGGGCTATCAAAGTTACTTCTGCTATTGCAAATAGTAACTATCTGATATTGCAAGTAGTTACTAGTTCCTTGATAGCACCTTACTATTAGATAGTACTAGTAACTATTCAAATCTGATTCGTAATCATGAATACATATTTTACTATCAATTCAAGTTCCACACGAGCGTACAAACATCAAGTATCAATCATACCGAACCTCGTAACGTCATTTTCTTCAAGCAACATTCAAAGGATGGGACGGAGACAGTCTCGACTTCACGATTTTGACACTGATGCATAGATCGACGCTATCACGCCGTGTAGATTCGCTGAAGCACATTGCCTTCACGGGAACCACAGCTCGTTTGGAGGCTGCGTATGCTTCCGGAGCTGAAGGGGGCGGGGAGGCATTGGACCTCCTCCGCTAAACTGGGTAATTCTTTTTTCCATCTCCGATGAGGTGTTAGCATATGCTGACTGTATCCATTTCACCCGAAACGAGGCACATGTACTCAGGATCTACTCGCCCTCGGCGAACTTTTTTTTCAACACTGCCGAACTGTAGGTAGGAGCAGCTTGCGCCGTAAGGGCTGACCGCTAGAGTAGCGCAAGGGGCTGGAAGGGCCGATCGGGCCGCCCGAGCTGCTAAAAGGTCGCCGACGACAGTAGATAGCCCCAAGCAGGTCCGTCTTCAACGACAGCCATTCGATTCATTGGAAAGGGTTCTACAGAATCGTGTGAACAGGTTGTCTAGGAGTAACAATGATGTGCACGCCTACCTGTCTCCTAAAGCATTCGCACACGCCTTATGCCTACATGGAGAGTGCCACCCCACTATCAGGATCACGAGAAGGACTCCTCAAATGAGACTTGAAAAAATACGAGTTTGCCAAGTCTCGTGTTTGACGAATAATAAAACAGATTGCTGTTAACACTGCCCCAACGCTGTGCCCGATGCCCGCATAAGCCACCATGCAGTCATCGTTGTAACCGAAACCGACTTTGGCACGTCATTTCCAGTTCTTTCATCTTCTTCCCGCAGATCACTGGCCCCAATGCGTAGACCACGGAACGTAGGGAAAGCTGACTATTTCCCTCGCGAGGCTGAAGACTTTGATATGTGGACGACCACTTAGCATCGAGGTCGATGCGTGAATACAGGCCTTCCCACCATCCTGTCTGTGATGGTGGTGCTACATGATAAGGAATATCAGTGCAATGCGTGTACATGGCAATGTACGATATCAATTTAGCATGACTTTCTTCATGAATATTAACAGCCTTACTTCGCCGTATGCGGGCAAACGGGTCAATCTTTGCTGACCGGGTTCCTCAAGCCGAAAGGATCTAAAGGTGGGTCTCCATGGCGAAAATTGGTGTGTCTGCCTGCACACTCTTGTCTGTGCCCTGCAGCTTATATTGGACAGACAACGTCTCAGCCTGACGGTTTCTTCGTGGTTGTGCCTTCCCAGAAAGTGTCGTGGCCGCACACAGGAGGACTCTATTCTTTTCTACTCCTTGCCATAAGACACAATGTCAGGGCCGGCAGCTCAACTGTCGCCTCAGCAGCTTGAAGCACTTCTGAATGGACCAGCTGGACCGCCACCTCCCGGGGTTAGGCCTGACTTTGATAATCCTGCCAATTTAAACGGTCTATTCATCTTGACCTTGACATTGTGTTTGGTATTTGCAGGCTTTGCTGTATTGATGCGGATCTATACCAAGCTCTTCCTCATTCGGTCTTGGGACTACGAAGATTGTAAGCTTGTCGAAGTCTTGTTTCCTCCCCAAGTATACCTAGGCTGACAGCTTTCAGATGCGATCATACTAGGATGGGTAAGCTTATACCAAAGCATTGGGTTGCCACAAGCACTGAAGATTGTAGATATTCCAGATTGGACAAGCTGTACCGTCAAGAATGGCTAACAAAGATGGACGTGGAGTTCACATGTGGGACATACAATTGAAAACGTTTTCAAGACTACTTTATGTACTAGTCTAGCTTCAAGACTACAAGCACGGAAGGCTGACTACAAGTCCAGGATGTCCATGTTCATTCAATCATGTACAGTTTCACCGTGTTCTTTATCAAGCTCTCGATTCTCCTCCAATACCTGCGCATCTTTGTCCCTACTCGAAAAAGCAACATGGCCATGTTCCTTACGACCCATGTTGTTATCTGGAGCCTTTTTCTCTTCTATCTACTGGATGTTGCATTTACCATTGGTCTGTGTAATCCCCGCAGAAAGATATGGCAGCCGTGGTTATCCAACGGCCATTGCTATAGCTCTGGCGTGTGGAGTCTGGCCAGCGGCACGTTTAATGCTGTCTCCGACATCACTGTTTTGATCCTGCCCATGCCTTGTCTATGGAGACTCCAGATTCCGCTGAAGAGTAAGTTGACCACGATTGGGATATTTGCAACGGGTTCTTTGTGAGTAGCTACATCCATATCCCTTTGCCGTCCCTTTACTTTGCCGCTTCTAGGCCCATTTTTGTTCCATCATCGACATGCTCCTGATCAACTACCCTCTCTGGTGCGTTCAGAGACAAAAGTGCTGACATGTGAATACGTTCAGTGCTTGTGTGACGTCCGTCTTACGGACATACTACACCTGGAAAGTTGTGAAAGAGCCGGACGTCAGCTATAACATTATCCTGATGGGCCTTTGGACTCTGGCCGAGGTCGCAACCGGAATCATTATCAGCTGCCTTCCCGTCCTGCCCAGATTCTTCCGACACGCCGGTCCCATATTGTATCGAGCGTTCTCGCTCGGATCCAAGTCTTCATCATCTTCCGGCTCTGCGAGTACGGGGAGAAATGCGAGACCCTGTCTGACGTCTCCTACAGTGTCTATGGCTAGAACACCGAGAACCCTGAACAATTCCCGTATTTCCAAGGCACACGTCAAAGGCGAGTACACAGAGATGGAAGAGTACGATGCAACGATTTCACAAGCGACCGCTACGCACCAGTTACGCCCCGGACCGATCAAGTCCAATCGTGAATTGGAGAGTGGGGGGTATGGCTTCCCCCTTCGGGATACGTTTTATGGTGAGACGCGGCTCGATACGTCCTTCTAGATTTGAAGCATTTGACTTGAACGCCTCAGGCGCGGTATCATACGAGGGAAGGAGCTAGACTTATCAGATAGTACGTGAATATCACGCGATGATATACATGATCATTTCTTCCAGATTCAAACGCCAGTGGCAAGCCGTAAAAGCTCTCATCCGGTAGTCCAGTGATTCTATGATCGACCTTCAAACGTTTCATCAACGATGTCAGCTAGTCACGTAGTGAACCTGTCTACTTGGTCCCTAGGGAAACTATCTCTACATTTCCATCCGTTCGGGAAGCCAGGCCCAAATACATAAATTCTCGGGGGGAACCAACGTTCTTGAGATCCAAGCAATGGGATTTGTACGCGCTACCGAAAAGGCAAGCCGCAAGCGGTCTCCTAGGGGATTCTCCGTATGGCACAGGGGATTTGGTGGGTTTCGGCCTTGCAGTATGCGATTCCCCCGTTTATAGGATAGAGGTCAAGTTAACGGTCATCTCAACCTTTGAGCATGACAGTGAACACAAGGCTTGCCAGTGCGTCGGTGGATCCATAGCCTTCGATACTCAAGTCCAAAATGTGAGAATTTTCTCACCTTTCTTGAACTTTTGGAATGCCACATAGGAGGATGTATCACACTGTATTGCGTTCGCCCTTCCGAATCCATACCGTCCCTATCACCAGGACTTCATTTCTCCGGCATGGTTGAACGTCTGCCTTGCTGTTCCGGGTCGATCCCGGAGGATGGGTGAGCCTACCCTCGCTCCGGACCCACCAAAGGGGCGAGAGGTTGCACATGCTACGTAGAAGTGACTGGGCGGTGGAACCTGTGAAGAATGGATCATCCTTTGCAGTCTTCTTCTCTTCCACAACGATCGTAGCGGACTGCAACTGCTTCGCGGCGGCAGAATTTGGCGAGCTGGCTTTGGTTTGGGGGGTTTCATGGCGGTAGTGGCATCGCTGGATTTTATTGCATCCTTGGCCAGTCATGGATTCCCTAACAACTTTACCAGCTTGTGCTTTGTTATTATTACCGGATTGTGGCGGCACACCTGCGTTTGATCTTCGTCACTTCACGCGTACAAACATCTCTATTCTTGGTGAATCTCGTAAGCTACAAGTCTTAATCGATAATTACATCTGCACAGTGCCTGTTTTCTTCATGCCCCGGGATCTCTCGTTCTTCTTTGGGCCTACTTGCACGGTTCTTGGGCAAACTTGAGAGCCTTGGTGGCGCTGCTGAAAACTGAGAAGCCCTGGAGAAGAAAGAGAGTTGCTGAATCTAGGGTATCGAAATACGCTTTCACGGTATAAGTTGTGACTGTGTTGTAACTCCATATTGAATATATGATGATGTGCGCTTGCGGTTCCTCTTTTTCCTTCCATCCTTTCCCTTCCTCCTCGATGTCAAGTCTCTAATCCTTGCCTCGCCCTCACCCTCTAGATACATTCCCCCAGTCATTCACTCTCTAGTCTTGAATCTGTTGCTGCCAGATTTGTATCGACACTAGCACTCCACTTCATCGCGGTAAAACCACCCTGCGCTGGCACCTTGGCCGGCATCCAAACCACATCCCCCTCTTGATCCAGCATCTTCTTATAAAATACGCGACTGTTCCACGGACTCATCAGAAGCAGCTTGAATGCACACCCGTCTTCCTTTGTTCGCTCCACAACATCCACCAGCGCTTGTACCACTGTCGTAGCCTCTTCGCACACTGTGGGATTGTCTTCGTAGAAGCTGATAGCGTCGACAACGCAGAAGACCACGACATACCGCGGGAGTTGCGCGATGAGCAGGTCAAAGACATCGCATAGCTCGTTCACGTCGTCGTAGTTCAAATTTTGCATTCGTTGAACAGTGCGGAGATCAAAGTCGCGATAAGCGAGGAGGAGTTGTGCGAGCAGACTCCTCATCATGCCGTCTGGCCCAGAGTTTGGGTCGTCTTTCCGTAGGTGTTCGCCGCAGAAGAAGGCAAGGGGGAGGGTCATCCGAGATTCTGGCTGCGCGTTGGTGGGAGAAGGCGTGATGGAATCGACGAGCTTTGCGCAGATGAAGGACGTGGATTCCTGCCTTGCTGACCCTTTGTGGTTGGCGTTGATGAGCAAAATTGAAGAATCAGTGCTTGTGATCCACTTGTGTAGCTTATGGGAGCGCATGATTGCCACCACGCGGTCCTGTTCTTGCCTCGATGCTGTCCAGATAGTTTGAAGTTTGCCCTGTACATCCTGTTCAAGCACGGAATCTTCGTATTCGAGCCCAGTCAGGAGCTGCTGCCGAAAACGTCGACGCTCTGTAGGACGGGTCAGCTTGGATACCAATAACCGCACAGTGGAGCATACCTCGGAGCAGTCGGGATTCCGGCGCTACTTTGCGTACAGGAAGCATTGGCCCTCTCACTAAGTGAAATCAGCCGGGTTAAAGGGAGATCTAGAGCCGGGACTGACCGTCTTGTGTCCTGGAGTCCATCATATTGCTGCTGGAAAGAAAGTTCACGAGCGTCTCTTTCATAATAGTCTCTTTCATCTCCTTCATCATAGTTGCTGACACCTCGTTGAACCTGCTCGCCATCACTCCCATCATTTGCTGCGTATTCCCAGCTTCGGTCACGACAATATTGCCCAGCAGATTATTCTGCCGAGATGAGTCAATCTTGAAACGATCCAATTGTCCCGCAATGTCCAGGTAATTTTTCCGCGAATCTTTGTAATGAGACCCGACTGTCTGATTCGTGTGTACTATGGTCTCGTATGCGCAAAGTCTCGCACAATCATCGAAATTCTGAGCGTGGATTCTGATGGCTTTAATCAAATCGTTCGATTGCTGTTCGTAGGAGCTCTGCTTGAGAATGCTTTTGGAGAACTTCTCTGAGCATAGAGTTAGTCACGTCCCTATCTGATCTATACGCATAGCAGGTCTTACTTATAGCTTTCTCCTTGTACCAGTCAACAATGTGGCGTAGCGCACTTATCGTGGCGGAATAGAGAGCGGCGCTGCATTGATGAAGTTTTTTGGACTTTTTGAAGACGCCCAGTGCTCTATGTGTGCTCGCGAGTAAGATTGGAATCTCCGCTAAGGCTTCGCAGATACCGTTACGAAGGTCCTGCAAGCGCGCCGCAGCCTATTGACAGTCAGCAGATGTGGATTGAGGATTGTGCTGACACAAACACTGAATATAAGCTTTAGACCCCCACATAGTATAGAAAGGTACTGTGATTGAGTTGGTAGGAGGCCTGTCCATGCGTCAAACACTTGATTGTTGGCGCCAAAGCTACGAAGGCCTTTGCGAATCTTTCCCCAAAAGCCAGAGACATCGTTGTAGCGCTCGGATGCAGCGTTTACTTCCGCAAGGACATCCTCCCATGTATGCGTCGCATCGCTTATGATGTTCGTCATGTACTTTGAGTCCTTGGTTGTTTTCTCGTACGCTTCAATGGCCGCTTTGAAGAGTCGTTTTTCACTCGCAGCGTCTTTGTACAATTCTTCGCTTTACCGAGTCAGCCATGAAATGACATCTACCTCGAGATACAACGTACAGTGGAAGACCATCTTCATCATTGACGTCGTCCTTGTTTCCACTGACTTGGTCGATTCTGATTCCCTGATCCTGCTCGGCCAGCGAAGGCAACGTCGTCTCTTCGGTTGAACGTAGCTGTGGGGATATAGTAACTACTTCACCATGATCTCTCAGTGCTTTATAAGCAGGGTGGATATCTCGAGGCAACTGCTTCTGTATATAAGCACCAACAATGCCGTACAGCCGAGGTGGTGTAACGCCAGCAGGGTTCGTGGAAGTATCGTTTTCCATTGCAGATGCCATACGCAGGAGGTGAAATTTGTTGTTTCCAGCGGAGCGTTTTCGAAAGACTGAGGGCGTCCAAGAGTCAGAGTTTTGTCTTGCTCGTGGCCCTCATAAAACCCCACTTCTTGTATAGGTGCAGCAGCTTAAGTTGGGGGATTACAAAACGCCCTGCTTTCTTAGCCTACACATTAGCCATTTCAAAGGCCTCTGTTCATTGGCTCAAAGTCAACCAGACTATTCTTTTAGTCTGCATGCAGTGACCATGCTGCGCAGGGTCCAAAGTGTAAACCAATTTCCGCAGGAGGTGCGACGAGCTGAACATGGCACAACACAAGGAAAGATACTTAGACTTGAGAGTTAAGCAAATGAACATCAAAAGTTGATCTAAGCCCTGAAGAGATCTCAATCGCATGAAATCAAAACGATTCGAGTGTACGTTTATCCAATACTTCCCAAAGCTATCATGCATCTACTTGTGCTACCGTCCCTTTTTATTGAAGCGGGGTGCAACAGGTACCCAAGGAGGGCAAAATTTTCTCAATGCCAAGAACTCCAAAGGTACCTGCATACGATAATAGCATATCTTGTGGGGAACTTGGTATCCAATACATCCTTCTCTTCTGCTGACTAAACATACGACATTCTCGTTTTTATGCATCCTTCAGCGTACGACATACTGCACCACTATTATGGAATTCGTCATGCATCGCAGTGTTACATTCACACTCTGTATTCGACCCTGGCGTGGCTCCCATGAGACGCCGTCAGCACTCTTCCCTGCAAAGCTTCCCTGCGCTACCTGCATACTCGCCCATCGGGATCAAGTTTCTTAAAGCGTTCGAAGATGTTGCGGTAGTGAGGTTTTTACGTCTGCTAATCACGCCCCACCTGCTTGTTCCGCTGTTTCATGTTTCCCGCCGGCTTACGTGCTGGGATGGCAATGCCGTGGCACTTCGTCAGCCTCGTCAGCCTTATCTTTTGTTCATTAAGGGTGACCATCCTTTCACAGTCCTTGGAAGCATCCTGCCTTTCGATTGCGTGGCGTTACGAGGCTGAGAAAAGGTTGCAATGGTTGTCGCTCCCAAGAAACTGAACAGCCTGAGACTTTGAGGCCTTCTACCATGTCCCTTCCCTTCGGTGCCGACCCCAAAAACGGCCGAGATACACACGCCTCAGACTCAATGCCTAAGGATGGAGATATTCATGGCTCACATCACCATGAGCGTCCGGAGAATACAGACCCGCATTACAACGAATATGCAACAATTCTAAAAACACACCTGGGCATCGTTGAGAGCGAATTGAGCAGACTAAAGTCCACACAGATGTATACGCTCTCGCTAGCTTTTTCCCCCCTCCCTTTACCACCAATGAGGCTGCTGACATTTCATATCATTGCAGCTCCGAACTAGGCGAGGCCGAAAAATATCACACTGCTCGGGAATTCGAAGTGGGTGAGAAGGATATGCACGTGCAGGAAGCCAGGGCTCTCAGAGTCCATCCTTGGAAATGGCGAGAAGTCAAGAACAAATATGGGATCAATCCGAGCCTACCAGCTCTCATTGTTTCTTCAAATGGGCATGGCAGACCACGGCGAGGTTCAACCAAGCGAAGGAGCACGAGACACAATGACACGCCTGGTAGTGGCAATTCGATCCTGGAAGAAGACCCTCCATTTGAGAATGCATACCGTCTTGCCATCAACTCGAAGATTCTTCTCAACTTACTAAACGATTGCACTGGTATGGATTTTCCAGAAGACCGCAACGTCTGGCTGCGCCCATTCAAATACCTCGTTGCTTATGAGATGGAAATAAGACAGACTCTGCAGGACGTTGAAGTGATTTTCGATCAGTTCGAAGCAGGATCACGGCTGTCTGATCAGATAGACACTAGCCAGCCCAACAGCGAAGTCAGTATTCCAGGTGCAAAGCCCATGCGAGAGGGAGAAGAATTAATGGCAGGAGCTGCGGAATTAGCACCGCATGCTATGGATGCATCGAGAGCGAAAGTTGAAAGGGATCACCTCCGTTGTCTCGTGGAGTTTATGGATACGGATATGCAAGATATTTTCGATGTGAAGCGTCAGGTTGCCGACCAAACTCTCAAGGAGGTGGCCTTTGAGCATCTGTGGCTGCTTTACAGGCCAGGTGACTTAGTTTATTCAACGACGTCTCCAGAGGAAAGTAAGACTTGCCAAGCTTATCGCGTTCTTCATGTCACTGGTGGACGACCAATTCTTGACCCCGCCAACAAGTCGAAAATTTATGCAGTCCGAAATCGTAAGGACAGGGAGTCAGAGACCGAAGAAAACGTCTGCGACAACATCCGGGGCTCGTATTCATACGTGACGCCTTTCATTATTGACTGCTTTTCCGTTGACTTTGATGGTGACAGACTAGGACCAAAACCCATGAGAGTGGTTATTCCAGAATACAGTGGTAAACGGAAAGTGGACGCACTCGAAGTATGCCTGTCAATTTTTCATCTGCAATACAGAAAGTGTCGAAATGTGGAGTTCCCAGCCATGTTCCGAGTTCCCAGCCATGTTCCCAGCCATGTTCCCAGCCACTCTCCGCTATGACCTGTGCGCATGTCGGCTATATTACTCTATTTCTATGGGGTTAAAGACATCCCCCAGGAGAATTTGGAGATAGAATCAATCATCCTTCTACATCACCGTTGTTCACATTCCATCCTTTTTTAACAGGTTATGAGCCCGGAAGCGGGCAAGACAGTATCAAATACCCTTTGCACTTCCTAATAGGATATCAATCAATACTGATATACGGTGATCTTATATCTATAGATATACCTTTATGATATTATGATAGCCTATTTTTTTGGCTCGTAATCATCGACGAGAGGGCTGTCGTAATTTAATCTCACTATAAAAAATCGAGTATCCTGTCGTTGTGACTATGGAGTCTTACGGTGATAGCTATCAAGACGAGTATCCTAATTTTAAGTCCTTGAACGAGCAGCATAAGAAGGGTGCCAATCCTTCTTTAAGGAGGAGGTTCGCATGTTTATAATAATTGCACTCCGTATACTTAGTTTCATGAAGAAACGCACAATACTAGGAAATGCGGAATTTTTAAATCCGATAAATCCGACATAGCTGGCTACCACTATCATGGCTACCACTACCACTTATTCAAATGGCTACTGCATCTCCTACGTCAGGCCCACTAAGATCACTATCGTTCGCTTCACTGGAGGCTCCGTCGTAGTCTTTACTGTAGTATCTTCGCAGTAATATACCTAGTAAGGTGAAAGAGGTACGATTTTTACGCGTTGGTAGACCGATAAGGCCTAAAAAATAATGATTTGGGTTTCTCGATGTAGAAGCCTTGATAGCAAGAAAGAACCAGAGTTATTAATCCTTATTATACGGAGTTATCATAGAATTTTGGTGAGAAGTAGACATTTGAGTGTTGGATCGGACTCATCGGATTTAAGATTCCGCATTTCCTAGTATTGTGCGTTTCCTTATGAAACTAAGTAATCCCACCAGAAATTAGCCTTCGTTATCAAATCGTTTTTATTATTTGATATCTTTTATTAGAACGCTTTTACCGGTATTATTCGAAGATCCTCACATAAGCACTTCCCATTTTTTATACGAGAATTCGAATCTTAAAGATAATATCTAATTACTTTCGATATCGATAAGACTCTTAAGGATTCTAACAAAGAGTGATAGAGCCTCTATTTTACTCTGATCACTTTATCGTTACACAATAGCGATTCCGAGGTTAGCGAGAATATACTTAATTCCCCGAGTGATATCGAGCTATTTAATCTCTATACGAAGTTATCGCTCTCGCCTTTATCTATTTCTTTCGAAGCATCTTTAGACTTATCATTATCGTCTCCCTCGCCTTCTTCTAAAATAGAAGATAGCTATCAATTACGATTAGAAAGATTTATTAAAAATTCGCTTATTAATAATTAGAGAGCTGATACTCTTTCCCTTTTTTTTATAAGGTTTTTTAAGATTTAATAAGATTAGCGAGAAGTTAGAAGTTAAAGAAGTTTTATTAAATTATTTATAGACTATTTAGAGGGGAGTTTTAGACTATTTTAGGCTATTATAAGCTACTTATAGAGAAGTATCGAAATGTAGGGTTCCCAACCACGTTTAGAGTTCCCAGCCATATTCCCAGTCACCCTCTCCGCTATAACCTGTGCGCATATCGACTATATCACTCTATTTCTATGGGGTCAAAGACATCCCCCAGAAGATTTTAGAGATAGAATCAATCATCCTTCCACATCACCGTTGTTCACATTCCATCCTTTTTTGACAGAAAGGTCTACCAAACAATGGTCGAAAGAGGACGACGTTTCACGCAGCTTGCAAGTAGAGCTCATAAACGATACTCAGGTACGACGCTGCGAGAGAGCAGAGAACTCTGGGATTCGGACTACCACTACGGGGATTACACCATCCACGAGCAAGAGGTACTTGGGCCCTCCGTTACCCACTACACCTCTTTCATCTTAGTATTTTGCTACTAATGTGATACCGACTAGATCAACAGTGAGGTCATGATAGACCAAGCCGCTGCCGCGGCACATTATCGGAAAACTCTCCACAAGAGAATTAAAATCAATGGTGGAGTCATCAGCGTACAAACTCCAGCCGACTGGAGAGAAGTATTTGACCCTTTGCCCGCCAAGAGAGACGAACGTTCAATGACAGACGTGTTCGATGACTCCATCATTGATGTAGACCGTCGACGAGATTTCGGCGGATCCACCACGCTACTCAGGTACCGAAGCATTCTCGAACCCTCTCTCTTAGACGATTATGTTATGTTGCTTCCTTTTCGAGTCTACGGATATGCCATGCTGAATCGAAAGTGGCTCCCACTCAACATCGATTCAGTCTATGACATAACTCCGGATCAAGTGCGAATGACGGCCGCTGGGTACAAGGACTTGATACTGCCACGAGGCCATAGAAAGCTTCTTCAAGCCATTGTCAAGAACCAGGTCAGAGATCCGAAGCGGACAGCTGGTAGAGGAGAGAAGAATGGCGATGAGTTTCAAATGGATGTCGTCAAAGGAAAGGGCAAAGGCCTTATCATACTTCTTCACGGTGCTCCCGGAGTGGGAAAGACATCCACAGCCGAGTGCATGGCGGCTCAGCTCCAAAGACCACTGCTACCGATAACATGTGGTGATGTCAGCACAGATGTCAAAGAAGCCGAGGAAACGCTTCAGGAGTATTGCGCGCTGGCACACAGATGGAGATGTGTTCTACTTCTGGACGAAGCAGATGTTTTTCTGGCGAAAAGAGAGAAGGGTGACATCACAAGGAACGGTCTCGTCTCAGGTCAGCTTCAGTGTATGGGAACAATCAGTCTCGTACACATGCTAAGCTTCCCACAGTCTTCCTCCGAGTCCTCGAATATTTCTCCGGCGTCATCATCCTAACCACCAACCGCGTCGGTGAATTCGACGAAGCGTTCCGATCCCGTATCCACGTCAGCCTCTACTACCCCAAGCTGGATCAATCGGCCACTTTAAACATCTGGGAGCGCAACCTCTTGCGTCTCCGAGACTCCGGCCTCCAACTCGATTTCTCCGAAGATGAGATCCGCAAATTCGCGGAAGACCACTGGCTCGAGAACATAAAAAACCCGTCCCGCCACTGGAACGGTCGGCAGATCAAAAACGCTTTTCAGACGGCGTTGGCGCTTGCTAATTGGGACTTCTACGAGGAGAAACAAGGCCAGAACCTTGAAAGGCCGCTACTCAGTGCCCGACATTTCAATCGCGTAGCTCAGACGAGCGCGCATTTTGATGACTACATCAGCGATATCCACAACATATCGGAAGATACGTGGAGTGTTCTAGCGGCGCGGGACGAAATCCGGAAGGATACCCACCCAGCCATGATTATTGGGCGATCTGAGACTCAGGACTTCGACAATCGATCCGGAAGGGCGGCTCCCGCTCGGCGCGGTGCTGGCAATCGAGATACAAGGGCTGATGAGAGCAGGAAGGTTGAGGGTGGCAGTGATAAACTCAGGCAATTGGAACTTGAGCTGGAGATTGAGAAGCTGAAGCAAGCAAAAAGTAACGAGAAGGTGCAAGCGCAGGCTGAGGATGACGAAGATGAGGGGTGGTAAGATTGTGTCGCCTTCGCACAGCATTAGATGTCACTGTCGCGTAGCTGAGTAGCTGGTTCCAAGGCGAGGAAGTGAGAAGGTTAATACTTGCTCACTTACAGCTTTGAAGATTGTCATACGATACAGATGACGGGGGAATCAAGGTCTCCCACACAATGTGCCGAACTGCTGTAGTTTTGAGTATAGCGCGAGGTTGCGATCGTTCACGGTCTGGATTGGTGCCCACTGTCCCCCACAGCATGCTAGCACGAATTGGTCGTCATCGGCGCAGGGTACGACACCGGTCAAAGGTAATGGATTGGTCACTGATTCTATGGAGTGGTGTTTCTACGTAGAAATAGAAGCAAAAGCCTGTGGCATAAGGACGCTAGTAACTTGACACACATTAATGAACCAATCATATGGCCATTTAGGTATTGCCATTTGTCCGTGCACATGACACACCTCAAATAGACATCAAAGATGCCGCTACCCTGTGGCACATTAGCCTGAAGTACCTCCAAATCACATATGGTCTTTCTTACTCTAGTAACGCTCGTTACTGACCTGTAGATGTTCAAGAGTCTATCTGTGAAGAGCTTCGGTCATCTCAGCGCAGAGGTCTTATCCTTACACGTCTCCCTCAAAGCCTCCGAAGGAACAGTATATCCCAAGCTGTTGGCCAGCTCAAATTCGACGGCTTCAAAGGGACTGGCTGCTAAGAGAGAACTGGGGGTCTTATCATCTCAGCCAAGACGATTGACAGCCAAGCAGCTCATTACGGAGCTGTCTGGTAGATCCTTCGCAAGGAGCTAGGCGAGAAAGATGTCTCGCTTGCAGCTTTCAAGGCCGATCGTAGATTCACGCGCTTGTAGTCCGCGCATGCGATGGAGACTGGAGAATCCGAAGGAGGCTATGGGGAGAGCGACTCAAACGTGAGAGAAGAGAGCGATGAACAGAATCATACTTGCGCGGAAGTTGAGAATGACCCAAGGAATGATGAATGAGATAGGCTAGATAGTGAGACAGTGATAAGATAGAGTAATCAAGAGTATACTGGAGAGAGTAACGAACACGGAAATCATGCTGAACCACCGTCCGCCCCCAAAACTCGCAATACGACTTCGCGAAACACGGCAATGAATAGTTTCCAGCACCCCCAAGAAGAAAGCACGGATCAATTCCTCCATGCTTCCAACTCGGACTCATCCCCTCTTTCCACAAGGTGTTTGGCCTGCCTTTCCCCTCTTCATCAAGTTCTTCCATCTCCGAGGACCTTTCCATCCAATCCGCCTCCAGACCCTCCCATCTCCAACTCTCCAGCGACCAAGCCAGCTACCCAGTTCTCACACATCTGCCGCGTCACCTCCCCATTCTCGCTCCAGAAACGCAGAACCCGCCCGTTGCAAAAAGTGCGCAGCCATCGGCCGCGGGTACACTCCTCAAAACCCAACATTCGTGTAGGTCGCGTTTCTGCTGTTGTACCCGCAGCGCGAATGCGCGACGGAAGCCCTACGGGAGTGCTGAGTTGTGTAGGGTCTGGTGCCGCATCACCTTTGTCAGACAGCTCAGGCGTTATCGAAGGGCGTAAAAGCCGGTAGGACAATCCGAAGCTCAGGCAGCGAAGATAGGAAAATCATTTCGTTTCCGGAGCTTTTCGAGAGGGTGGTGGGGATGTTGAGCATGAAGTTACGAATAACGCGCGCGAACATACATCCTTGTCTTTGGGTCTCTTTCAGCTCTGGAGTTTGGATATACATAGTCCCAGATTGGGAACGGGAAGTGTCTTTGATCGATTAGGATCCTCGGTCACTTGTTCATGAGCTATCGCTGAGAAAGCGAACTAGAGCCGCTCATTGGAGAAGTCACTGGGTCAAGACGAGCTTCTTCATAACAACAGACTAGTTTAATCCAATCGTGAAATCTCGCACGCTGATGGGACAAGGCCTCCTTTGTTTCGGACCCCTCTGCCCCAGAACCCTTTGCGAAGCAAAATACCGCATTTGGCGCAAGTAATTCAAGGAACTCCCGTGATTCCTGCTCGGATAGCTCATACTTTCGCCATTGTTCGGTGTACTCCACGTCTTTGCTACGGAGCCGAAAATGAAACGTCGCACATCTCGAATACAAGAGAGCGCCTCTGGCGATAAACATCTCCTGGATACGAGAGAATTGGGGCTGATGACTCAGATATGACTCTATTATTGACAGAGCGGACATCTGCGTGTCAAATTTGAACGAGCTCACCTTCTCATTCAGAGAGATGCCAAATACTTCCAGCCATGGATACTCGCGACAATCCAGGGAAAGGTCAAAAATGGTGTGAATGTCTGCCCCATGTTCAACAAAAGCAGCAATCATTTCCGTGAAGTTGCTCAGCCAATCGGAAAGAGGATCTGTCTTTCGAGTCATATAGGGCAGAGCGCATTGCAATGTGTATTCATAAAATCCGTTCAGGAAATTTCCCCATATCGTGTTCGTAAGGAGTCTTGTGTTCGGGTTGCCTCCTCTCCTTAGAAGATCAGCCACAAGCCCCGATTGGCTGCAAATCCTGGGGCGGTCTTTGCAAGACAACGTAGAGCAGTACAATAAGTAGTTTGCTGTTTCTAGGTCAAGACGCTTCGCTCGACAGTCAAGTGTTTGCTGCACATAGTGATAGAGACCCCATGAGGCCGCGTAGCCAAGGAAGTCATATGGAAGAAGATGCGATGGTCCCGCCGGCGCGTCAATCGATTCACGGCGGGCCATAGGATCGCTCCTTGCGGAGTAAAACGAGTCCCTCGAGCTTGATCGAGAACTCATCCTCGTACTCAAATACGACCTGTCCTGTTCTCGAGCTTGCATTTCCAGGAATCTATCCCAACGCGTACACCAGTGAGAGTTTGGACGCCAGTCCGGATGGCCTTGATCTAAAACTGACATGGTACGATCGATGAGCTCACACAGTTCGATTTGCGCCATTCCAGTTCTATTCTCGGTAAAGACTAGATCTAGCATGAATTCCGCTACTTTACTTGGGCCGCGCCGTTGATATTCTGGAAATAGACACAATGTCCCAAGCAGAGTCTTCAGATACAAGAGTTGGGGATCGAATTCCGGCAACAAATTGGCCTCCAAAAATGCCTTCCCTTGCCCGACTTTCATGAAGTCAACCGCCGTGCGATGGATAAGTTTGACAGTGTCGTACGACTCCAGGTTGAAAGCCTCGGCACTTATGTCACTGGAGCCATAGTCTGAGTGTGAATCGTTGTTGTCGGGCTCCGGACTTGGCTGCCGAGATACTTGTCCATGGTCAGACTCGTCCGTGGTCTCGCTTTTAGAGTCGGAAGCTGACGCTTCATCTTCTGAGTCGGCATCAAGCAGCTGAGTGTCTGTATCACTAGCCTCGCTTTCGGTACCCGGAGTTCGGTGCTCACGGACCTCAAGAAGCCCAGTGCACGTTGTCGTAATTCTCTTCCGGGTCCATTGACACAGCAAAACCAATTCACTTTTCGAGATGTTAGCAGGAGTCAAGAGAATATTGTCTAGGTCCTTGTAAGACGCAAGCGCATGCTCCAAAAGTGTCCATCCTGGGGAGTTTAGAGCCATCTGGAGGAATCGTGATGCCTCTTGTCGATAGGGTTTATCAATTTGAAGCAACATGCGGAGATAAATACCTTCAACTTCACTTGGCAGACGTGCGAGTCTTTCCCGCAGCTGTTCTGGGCTATCCTCGTTTCTGAGGCCGCGAATCTGATCCTTAACAGCCAACGAGACCCATAGGAAGACTCCCTCCGCTCTGGTCACTAATTCCTTCTTCAACTCATTCATCCCGTATTCGTTCTCTGATGTCATTGACTTTAGTTGCCGTACACCTTGAAATTTATCCGTCACGTATCGCTGAATGTCTTTGTACGTTAAGTCCTGCAATCTAAGCTTGGCTGAAGGACCAAAAGCATCCTCGAATACTTTGTATGGTCGACTTGACGAGCAGACTTTGACGCCAGTGCTCGACACAATATCTTGAACAACCGCGATCAATTCATCTTCGTCTTCATCGAACTCGTCTAGTCCATCTATGAAGAAACACAAGCAACACGAATTCTGTAGCTTGTCTATTACCTCTAGGAGCATCCTTTGAAGTCGACGTCTCGTCCAAGCCCCGATTGAACCGTGTTCGCGGGAAATGCTTCTATTGAGCTCAGTTCGTAGTCCGATATCAAATGATAGAACATTCATTTCAGGGAACTCATATAAGATCTGCCAAAGGAGCGAGCGCAGCAAACCCTCGACACTCTTTTGCATCTTTTCCCCACCACTCCAGAAGAAGAACTTGGGCGTGAAGATGTCTTTCGTTCCGGCCCAGGTTGTCAATGCGTCTATTGTTCGCTCATCCTGACAGAGAAAACTCATCAAAGTCGACTTCCCGGAACCAGCTTTGCCGCTAATCCAATAGATACCCTCACCACTCTTAAGCCAAGCAATGAAGTTGTCCCAGGGACGCACAGCCTGGCCAGATCTGTCAAATATCCACTGAAAAGTCTCGCTGTGGACTTCGGCAATGGTTTCTTCTCGGCTAAGAATTTCGGCGAACCATAAACTGTCAAGAAGTCGCGTCCGGTATTCCTCTTCCGCTAGACGTCTCTCATGCTCTTGAAGCTTGTTGTGAACATGTTCCCTAGTCTTCTCATTGTCCGTTTGGATAAGGGCCCTGAGCTCTTCGAAATCTACTGGCCGTTGAGAGAAACTCTGGATGAGCTTCTGGATTTTCTCGTCCAAATTTCGAAACTCTTTGTTGTGCTGCAGAGAGGCCAAGTCGACACGCTGTCTGTTCACGTACGGATCAGCACACGTAAGCTTCAAGTGACATACGCTGCTTTTTGGACCATCAGATTCAACGAACCTTAGATTGATCAGGATCTGTGTGTCTAGCGTATTTCGGTAGCCGTCAAGCCGCTTCTGAATCTCCTGGATCTCGCCTTTTTCCCAAAGAAGTTTGACGGTCTTCATGATAGCCTGCCGCTTTTCATGCGGCCCCTTAGTCTTCACTGAGCGAAGTTTCCCAATCAGCTGGTCAGCCGTTATGGAGCACTCCTTGGCTAGCTCCAAGATGCTCTGGTCGTCGAGTTTGTGGATGCTGTCGGCACTTTGATGTGGACCCGGAAGATCAAGGCCAGCTCGAACATCAACAAGATGTCTAGTCATACTTTCGAGTTCTCGATACTCAGACGAAAAGCCTTCTCTGTAGATTTCTTTGCATTTTACCAAGGTCTTGGTGCTGAAGTCGACGACCTGGATTACCCCGCAGGCAAGGCTGAAAGCTGTGAGGGGGTCCATTGCGAATGCTGTGGGAAGATAGTCCCGGTCTCTTAGGCTTCTTAGCCGGATGAAGAAGAAAAGGTGCGGAGATGACAAGAAAAAGGAGAAAAGGAGATGCTAAAGCTACGGAAATTCTGTTGTGGGACACAGCTTGTAAAAATGGATGGAGCCCATTGCTGACCACCACCCTAGTCCGAATTTGGTCAGACTGGAAAGCACCTTCCTCTTACGGCTAGGCGAGCATAGATCGACGTTCCTCCTGAGAATACATTTAGAAATCAACTCGCTACCTCCCAGTCAAGCAGGCTTTCTGCCCTGGTTAACAATACCTTACCGGAGGCAATGCAATTTTACACAATACGTATTACAGATTCCGAAGGCGAGTTCTATACGCGGGCCGCAGCCGGGTCCCCTACCTTACGGAAATTACCTTATCTTTCCCTGTACGCTTAGCCGCCCTAGCTGAAATTACAGTGGGGCAATGATGCGTATGGTCGTACTACATATGTAAAGTATTCTTCTCCGTTAATTCAACTTAGCATCTTCCTCGCTGTCGTAACCTTACAAGCATTCTATTCCGTCGTTCCATCACTTGTTTCTCAGCTTGCACCTTTAGCTCTGCCCAAGTCGATAAAAAATGCCTAGCAAAGGCATCACAGTATACAGCTACATCTCCGTGGAAGGCTACGAAGTCGAATTCACCGCCCCCAAGACTTCTGTCCGAAACACAGCCGCGGACAATTTTACTGCCAAAGATCTCGAAGTCGAATCATCCAAGATCGAAGGCATCCGTCATTATACCGGCCGCTTCGAGTGGAAAGCCTTCGATCCCCACGGCAACATTGTCGGCAGCAGGTACAATGACATCAATAGCCTGACTGGCAATCTGGAGGGTGGGAGCATGACTTCTACCGTATGCGCCCTCTTTCACAGACATGCATAAAACGAAGTACTTGCTGACGAGAGATAGGCAGAGTTCGCCCCAATCGTCACGGACGCCGTGGTCATAACCTTCGGCTTCTACGACGCCGGCCACGGCGAAGCTGGTCTCACTAATCACGACCAATGCTACGTAACTATCTGTTCAACCAGCAACAAAGCATGGATGGGTGCCGTAGCTCCGCCGGGCTCACCCCAGGCCCAACACCCATTCTCCCGCTTCGTACTCGCAGCACCGCACGATAACGGTATGAACAGTATGCAACAAGCCGACGCAGTGCTCTCTTCGGTCAATAGTGACATGGTAGCCGACCTGCGCAAGATTGTGCCCGGACTGCACCACTTTCCCCACATCCCCGACGAGGCACTCGTGCATATGCTGCCAAACATTGTGTACGGCGTGTCCATTACGCAAAAGAAGCAGGTTCCTGTGATGCTTACCCTCGGAGCAAGGTACTTCGAATTCCGTCCCGCGGAGCTTCTACCCGCGTTCCAGAAAGTATCCAAACTAGCCAACAAGTTCTACTTCCAGCATGCGTGCATCCCCGGGCTCGCATTTGACGAATTCCTCGACGATCAGGTCCAATTCCTGGATGCAAACCCCACGGAGATAGTCACGCTCCATATCCGCTACGACAACATCATCAAAGAGTGTAAAAAGCCCACCGAAGAAGAAATCCACCAGGCCCTCGACTCCGCATGCGCCAGAGCCCAGAATGCCAAACTGACCTGGGGCCACCGGGAATGCTTCAGCAAGCCAATTGACACCCTCCGCTCGACCGGCCAACGCCTCATCGTCGTAATCATGGCTGAGAAATACGACTCCTGGACCGCTTCAGCCTACGCCACCTTGAAAGCGGATCCCATACTCGGGCGCTTCGAGTCCATGAACACGGCCGGTCAAGAATCGACCGACATAACCGTGTTGCAATGCCAAGCGACATCGCAGAGTATCAAAGAGGTCTTAATTTACAGCGTCGTGAGCGCGAACGCGGCATCGAGTTGTCTCACCAGCACGAAAGGAGCGTTGGACATGCAGACGCTGCCATGGATCCGGGCGAACGCGCTGAATAGGTTGCAGGCGGAGAAGACGATTGTGATTATGAACGATTTCATTGACGGGGCAACGACGGATACGAGTATTGAGTTGTCGAGAAGGAGGTTGGGCGTTGACAGTCTACGGGATGTAAGTTCATCGGATGGTCAGGCTGCAGCGAGTCGAGATGAACAGGGGCAGGAAGCCTTAGTCCGGCCATTCCAGGAGGCTTCAGTTGAAGACAAAGCGATACAAGAGAGGCCGATTGAAGACTCGGCTCCGATGCCTGGCAGGTTTGACTGAGTCGACACACTCGTGCTGGATACCACAATGTCGAATTTGGATAGCTGTCCTCATGCCCTTTCATCAACGAAACTTACTTTTTCACATGCCCTTGTCACATACTTAGTCAATCTGAACAAGATTTTGGCAACTTGCAAGATTCCCAGCGCTGCCACTCACATAAGCCAATCCCACAATCTGAAATAGTCTTCGAACATTCAATAACAGACTAACAGACATGTAAAGTCGAAACCATAATCTAGAGAAATCCCGCTACAACCCCAACCCAACACCCTTTCGCAAAGTCAAGCTACGTACAGTATAGCCCTCCGAGGCAAGCGCTACCAAACCCTATGACCCTTCTTATCATACCGCACAAGTGGCAAGTCATCCATCGTGAAATATTTCCTCCCGGGGGCCGGAGCCTCGGTCCCAGCATCCCGGCCCGCCGGATGTCTCCTCTTGCCTCGAGTCGCACTCACCGGAAGCTTGGGTGGGGCCATGGAAGAAGCGGGCTTGCTGGGTGGTCCCATGGAGGTCGGTGGTGTGCTGGGCGGTGCCGTAGAAGGAGATGGTACGCTAGGCTGTCCGACCGAAGACGAGGGTCTGTGGACCTCAACGGCGTCCTTGCTGTTGTCCTCGGCGTCGCTGTCGCTGTCGGTGTTATATTCCGGCACGAGGTTAGTTACGGTTTTCCCGGTCGAAGAGGTCGCGGGGTGGTTGGATCGGACGTGGCTAGTGCGGTCGTCGGTCGAAGGGGCAGAGTGAATCTGTTGGCTTTGAAGAATAGCATTCTTCTCCTTGCCCCTCCCCACCGTCTCAGCCTCCTTACCTGTCTCCGCACCCTGACTGGGCCTCCGATCAAGCAAGGCGTTATCCTGGGGCACGTACATGGTCTTACCCAACTGCGTATGTCTCTGCGCAATCTCTCTGCCCTCTGTCTCGATACTCTCAAAGGCTTTCGCTTTCCCTTTCAAACACTCCGCATCCACCAATCTTTCCAACATTGCTTTAACCCAGAACAGGCTTCTAGATTTCCGATTCTCCGGCACAGTAGTGGAAGGACTAGAAGAAAGCAGTGTGTCGTCCAGCTCCTTTAGGTTTTTGACTTCAGCGATCACCAGCCAACCGAGCATATTTTCCTGGTCTCGGAGTCTGCCTTGATGTGCTTCGAAGCGGCAACGATTACCTCTACCGTGGCCAAGTCGCCAGAGCAACAGGTACTCTTGTTCCTCCGAAGCACCTTCTTTCTTCGCGGGGTAGACTATGAAGGACCATCTATAATCTTCTTCATTAACATCTGTGTTGGAGTAGATTCCGATGAAGAGAAGCGGAATGCCGACGAACGGTGAGTCGGGATTGGCGGTAGTCCTTGCATCAAAGGTTGGCGTTGTATTTCTTTGGCAAGAAACAAGAATAGGACCGGGCTCGGTCTACTCACCTATCTTTAGACATGTTGACTGTTTTGGAGGGTGGGAAAGAGGTGAGCGATGATGAGCCCTTTTATGTAGCACACCGACTACCCATTTTGTATTCGTGTCACATCGGACAGCTCTTCGCTTCAATTTGAGCCGCAAGGGAACATTGTACTCACCCGAATGCCATCGTGACCCAGAGGCCTATCAGAATCATGTTCACAGTCTGATAATGAAATCCCTTTTCGCCTTCCCGCAGCTTCAGGCGGTCACGCAAGCCCGAAGCCGAGTTGGCGGCAGCCAGCAATTGCACACGGACATGTCTGAGATTACTGTTCTTATCGTCGAAGCTCAATCTACGAAAAGTCTTTTCGCGCGAAGTAGCGTGCTCGGAAAGACGAGCTGCGCGAGAACCAACAGAGTCAGTACATCAATTGAACATCCGAGTTGTCACTTCCATGGAATGCTGACCGAGCTGCACTGCAGACAAATTCCTCTTATACAGACATACTTGACTTATCGAGAGGCAGAATCGTCTTTTCAATCTTGACGAGGGAGTAGCAACAATCCTTCGTATCTTCAAAGCCCAGGATGATGTTGGCGGATCTAAGATCTGGGGTTATACTGTCAGCGCTTTTTTTAACAGATGCAACTCGCCATCCCTTGACCGTGTGTAATACGTGGCACTCCATACGAAGAAACTTGAGACGTTATAGGATAGGCTTCAAGCAAGCCTTGACGGTGATTGGCGAAAAGCCTTCTGGGCCAAGACGTCGGCCTATTAGCCCATTACTTCTCTTTATGGTTCGAACGCCAAGAGTAAGTTTTCTCCAAAGGTTCCATGAATGAGAAAGTACTGTATCGATCTAGTATAAGGTGGACCTCTACAGTTCCACTGCATTCGAGATACGCTGAGATATGGCAAGCTCTGTTTCAGCGGTTTTGCAGTCACCCGTAAAACAAGTGAAGACTTCAAAAGCCACACAGCGCTCTGATTGCCATAGTAATCTGGGGAAAAATGGCTCGGTACACCATCAAGTCACCAGCTTTTGAACATCCTTAGCTAGCTAGAAGGTGGAGCCAGTACCGTAGCCAAGCTTGGAAAGACGCTCATATCCGTTAATTTGTCTCTTCAATGTGGGCTGAACAGACCTTTCTCGAATCATTGCCAGGGTTTCCTTCTTCGTCCAGAAGATCTTCAAGGCTTTAGACGACGAACGCCTTGCTTGGCATAGTCGAGCACCCGTCCCGGAGCAGAAATAGTCAGCGTGCGATCACGAAGCTTATGCCTTAGAGATTCGGAGTGCTTCTAGTTGGAGTGTCTCTCCTGCGAGAGAGAGGCTGACCGCGTAATACTGCCTATCCAAGGTATCCGGGTGCTTGAGGCTGCTTTCAACAAGGGCGAACGAGTGATTCCCGGACCGGCCGCCAGACATGCATGGTCGTAGATGCTGCGGTCTGGAAGGCAGACGCCACTCCTTTAGTATGTTTAAAGGTTCCAGTACTGTCTTTCCTTTGCCCTTCGGAGTATGGAGATTATCAGACCGCACAGGAAAGACGACGAGGAAGCCGCCGTTTTTGCTCATGGACTTTCAGCTCCTTACTCACTTGTTCCTCCAGTTCAGAATCCCAACCTCAGAAAGCAGATATTATCGCTTAAACTGCACCAGAGGCTATGGCTTGAGTATTAGTTGTGGTGGGAGAAAGTGACTTTTCTCGGCACCACGCACGGTCAGATTGTGCGCCAAGGCTTCCGCTCACGTGCCTTGTGGCGTTAGCCACAACTTGACTCCCCAAACCTTCATTCCTTTCACTCTCTAATACGAACCTTTTTCAAATCGAGCGGCTGTAGACCAAGTAGGTCTTCCAGATCTGTGAAGTCAGACTACGCTTTTGCCATTGCTCCGACGCCTCTCGTGGGCTTGAAGCCTCGAAATATCTCCACGAAATCCTTACTTGATCGAGCAAGCTTGAATCCAAAGTGTAAGACTAATGCAGGTATCTATTAGGAACAGGGCCTCATCTTATTGTATTTCGGGCCTATCCAACTACGGCGGAACCCCGTCGCCAGTCCCAGTCCCAGAGAACTCCCCACGTCCGATTGTGACTAGGATTGGATTTCTAGTACTATGTGGAATCACTTTGACGAGAATAGATAGAAGACAGCGGAAAGAAAAATACCAACGCCAATGAAAATTCCATTGAGAAGCCCGAGGAGAATTTTTCATTCGCTGAGGATGTCTCATGAAAAATACCATCATCGTGCAAGAACAAAGCACATTCGGGGGTTTACAATACCACAATAATCGAGCTATGAAGGTACATTTGAGCCGTAAAATAATATGTAAACCTTCAATCATACTACACAGAGAGAGAAAACGAGCAGGAAGCCATCAAGCCTTGTCTCATTTAAGTTTTTCCTCAAGGCACGGGGCGTCCATTGCAGCTGCAGCTCGGCTTGGACACTCCTCTATTACCTAACGCATCTCGTTCCATGCTTTACGGTTTTTTCTCGTTTCCTTGGCTTGCAGAAAGACAGATTCTAGACTCCAAGCCTTCGTCGCGGTATGCTCTTCCATGTGGCCCTCACGCGGAGTTTGTCATGTCTGCTAATGCATGGCAAGATAGCACATGGCATGTTTCATCTATCAACGCCGTGGCAACTCTCCCGCCGCAAAAGTCGCCAAGCCTTCTCTTCTATCGAAACTGCTCAGTATTCGGAATTCCTGATTGGTGCCTAGACCGCGCCAGCTTTCCATCGGAGAGCCCCGTATGACTTCGTCTCTTTCTATAAGAAGGGCATCCAAGTCCCCAACAATCCGCTTTTCATCATCACAAGTCACCAGGAGATTAAGAACCAATACCCTCATTCTACTATAGAAAGACCCTGAATATCTTCGGCATTTATCTCAAATACCACAATCTCTTAGAAGAACACTCCTTTACTTTCAAATCTCCTAACATGCGTTCTACAATCATCCTATCATCTCTCGCCAGCCTCGCTGCCGCCGCACCTGCTGCAGCGCCAACTCCAGCACCCAGCAGCTCGTCTTGCGCGTCGCAGACAGCACAACCAGGAGGCTACGGTCCCAAGTCGACTAACCCTGACACAGCCGAAGCCTTCCTTGCCAACCAAGTCTATTCCGTACGTGTATTTCCACCTTTTAATGACTTGCGCTTGACTAATAGCTATTCAGAATGCCGCTTCAAGCGCCGTCACACCACCCGGCTACGCACAATCCTTCGTGAACCTCCAAGCCGCGACAACCACCAGCAACTACCTCACATACTATGACCTCCAAAGTTACGACCCGTCCGTCTGCAAGGCCAAATGCGACGCAGTACCCGGATGCACGGCATTCAACCTCTACTTCGAGCGAGATCCCAGCGTTCTCCCCGACGCATCCGCATGCCCGAACCCATCCAGCTTCACAAATGTCAAATGCAGTCTCTGGGGCACCGCCCTCACACCCGCCACAGCTACCAACTCGGGCCAATACCGCGCCTCATTCCACGTCGTGATCGCCGGATCGAACGGCTACAACAGACTCCCGCCCGCACAACCCGGATTCGACGGCCCAACCCCCTTGACCGGCGCCATCATCGCCCCCGACGGCTCCACCTACATCGGCGTGCGCTTCCAAGCCGGCAGCACTCTGAACACGACGTTCTGCGCCTCCGAATGCGCCGCCACGACCGCCAACGACCGCTCTACCCCAAAGGCCGACGGGACCTATATGCCATGCAACTTCTTCAATGCCTGGGTCGGGGCTCTCGGGGGCGTCGTTGACGGCACGCATTGCGCTGAGTACACCCAGCCGTGGGGCAAGCCGTATGACACCAACTACGGACAGATGCGAGGCAACCAGGTCTACAGTGTGACACAGAGCTATGGGTACTCGTTGAACCCCCAAGACTCTGGGAAAGTGAGCGCGACGAATGCGTAGGGGACGAGGCTGTATTGATGAGAAATACTGAGAAGAGAGACCTCCAGAAAGATTGTAAATGGAAACATTCCGAGTAGTTTTTGCTGGAGTTCTGCAGTCGGTTTTGGCATTCATACTTTGGCACATCGCGTACGTAGAGCGTGGGCGTCATTGATCAAGGTCTTTGCTAGGGTATGTACACTATGAAAGAGCAGTGATGTTTGTCCAGTTTCATAGATGTCATTCAAACCAACTCGTCTAGTTTCAAGTCTCACAATCGACGTTGTTTGCTTGCCGTTCACCATGTTCCGGACCTCATATGCGTGCCGACCTTTCGCTACAACAGTATTTGTTCCACGCACTTACCTCGTTCTACGTTATGATCGGAACACTGTACGCAATCTTTTTCGTACCAGCCATAGCTAGCAAGTCATGTGCGTGGCATATCTTCGCGCGATCTATTTCGAAATCTTCCACGCATTTCTATGCTTGCCAACAATTCTGATAGACGAATCCTATTTTGACACGCAAGGGAAGATAAGTGCAAAACGACGCCAGAAATGACCCGGTGAGACTGCCGATCTTGCTGACAACTCACCACGAGAGAATGATAGACCCGATAGACCTCTCCAAAGCCATCGGAATTGTATTTTCCCAACACGAATTCGAGGAAACTAGGCAAGATAACGCACCGACCAATGGCGAGAACGGCAGAGGTTCTGTGGGTGCAGACTTTATATCCCACTGGAGCTCCTCATCTTCATTGGGATACTGTCGGGCCAAATCGGAGACGGTCTTCATCATAACTGAACCAGTGCTCCGAGGACCTGGGCCAGACACGCTAGTGCAGAAACTTCATGGGATTTACACTCGTCCTATACGGTCGATGGGCTGACGAGGAGATGAGGCGATCAAAAATATGACGAAACATAGCCTCCTTCAAGGCTTGTTCTGCTCTTCTTTTCAGATTTAACTCTCGGATTCCCAGCATACGGTTAGTATACCCTGGACTTGCCTCTGCAACCGGTATTCGAGCTTCTCTATCATCAGAGATCCTCCATCTTCTAGCAGTCTTACAGCACACTCCCTTTACCTGACCCATACACCTTGCGGGTAGACTCTCGCATCTCTGTGGATTCCGCAAGCCTTGCAGCCATAAACATAGCAAGTCTCCTTGGTGTTTCAGACCAGATCTGTATCCGGGCAATCAACGATATGGATAAGAAGATGTCAGGAATATCGAAACCTGACACGGATATTCCAAAATTGTCTGGAGAATCAAAACATACGGAGGCCCTTGCTATCGCTCCAGAAACAGTACAATTGGTCTGGAATTACAGCAAGATGTCAGTAACGGAAATACCAGACCACTGGATGGATGTGGTAAGTCTTCGAAATTAGATAAGACACCTCTAGCAGGCTGCAGATAGCTGACGGTCTCCTTGCAGCTCAAAAAGCACCAAACAATTGGCGCTAATCCCAGCCTTTGGCTGGCATGGTTTGCCGATTGCACCATCATCCAGAGCCCCGTCTACAAGAAAATGAAGGCTCGAATGCTGAAAGGAGAGAAGCTATTGGAGCTGGGTTGTGGTTTCGGGCAAAATATGCGCAAACTTTGTGTCAAAGGCGTAGCAGCTGAAGACCTCTTCGGGTTTTACACGGATAGGATCCTCATAGAGGCTGGATACGATCTTTTTGTGGATCGAAGCACGCAGATGACTTTCTTCACTGGAGACATCGTAGCCGGGACATTCGAATTCGAGCGCTTTCACGACAAATTCAACATCGTCTTCGCAAGCATGTTCTTTCACCTTTTCGATTGGACTGAGCAGGTTGCTATAGCGAAGCAAGTCGTCAACTTCCTGCGAAAGCAACCGGGGTCGATGATTTTCGGGCAACAAATTGGTCACATCAAGCCTGGGTTGTACCAAGTGGGAAGAGAATCCGCAGGCTATGCGCACAACACTGCCACCCTACAGCAAATGTGGGACTTTGTTGGCAGCGAGACCAAATCGACTTGGCATGTGCAAGGTATTATGGAGGTCAATGAAAACATCGCTGCCCTCACCCAGGATGATAACACGCGTTGCCTGCGATTCTGGATCCGCAGGTTATGGAAATAGGATAGCAGAATGCTTGGAGGCTTGCTTTTCTGTCCCTTACAGAAATAGGTTGGTCTGAAGATAGCAAGGAGCTCTATGAATCAGTGTAGAGACCCTCTTTTTGACAGGAGTCTATCGAACCATCCTCTCTTGTCTACGGCATTTTCTTCATAATATTCAATCACTCCTAGAAGCAGGATCCTTCGATCTTGGAGTAGCCTCATTGCAGCGGAGATATCCATTCGCTTAAGTTTCTAAAAGATTGCGAAGCATGTAAGTCGACAGAAGAATTCATGTCGAGGAACAGAACTCAGTGGATGGAAGGGTTTGAGCCTCGCGACTGTTGAAGTTGGATGTGATGCCTCCATTAGGCGAAGAGTAAGAGAATTTCGGCGCCTAAAGGACAACCCAAGAAGGTGCCGCAACTAACTTACTTTATACGGTATAGTCCGTTACTAAACAGTAACTTATACTAGTTGAAGGTATGGTCAGACGTTTGTGCATACATAAAGCGAGCATAACATGTCGGCCAGCCGCTAGTAGCCCTACAGCCTTGGCATCCTTGTTTCAACTGCTTATTATATTATACCTCAGAAGACTCTGATGAGCATTGCTATATAGATCCATGGCTAAGCGCCTAGGTGACAATACGATCAGTACGGCCCGTATCTTGGCTACTTGTCTAGAGAAGGTCTCCACAGCTAAAAGTGCCCTGACCCGGTGACAAACATGCCCACTCCAACAGCACCTCCGATTCACAAGACGCTTAGTGCCTGCGACGAGTGCCGTAGGCTATTCTCTGTCATTTGAAGGACCTGTGGCTTACGCTATTTGTTATGCAGGTACGCGAAAGCTAAAGTGTTCGGGGGAAGCTGCAGGATGCTCGCGCTGCAAATCGGAAAGCACCACCTGCCACTACTCGCAGAAGAAGACTATGGGAAGACCGCGGAAACGGCGGCATGAAGAGGCAGGAGGTACAGACAGGGAAGAGAACATGGGAGCTTCAGAGGGTTTAGATGTTGGTGCAGCAGATGTGGGACCCCGAGACTCGCATCTTGCAACCTTCTCTGGAAACGATCCGGGATTGGGGACAGACGGCTTCCACTTCTCTGGAAACAGCCTTGAAGAGGAAGATACGTTCCCCTTTGGACCCGGGAACGGATCAATTTTTCCAGATACAGACTGCTTCAGCTTTGACCTTCCTGAAGGCCCGGCGTCCAATCTTGAGCAAGGCCTTCCTGATTGGGACCCTTCGCAGGATCTAGGCCAACCTTTCTCTACGCTTGCCGATACTCCCCTACGGTTGCAAACTCCACCTAATGTCCCAGGCAAGGTAGACAGCAACAGTTGTAGCACTGGGAATGCCGTAATAGGCTGTTCTTGCTTGTCCAGCCTCTACTCGATGCTAGCAAAGTTCCAGTCGCTACCAGAAACATCATTCCCATATTCGATGGGAGCATTGAGAAGCGCAGCAAGCCTCGGCCGCAGCATTGTTGCATGTCATAATTGTTTGCAGGCATACAACACCGCATTGCAGAATACCATGCTGCTTGGGGCCCTCTTACAGTTGCTGATCATCGAGTACGCCAAGCTTCTCAAGCACATTGAGGAGAGGTCTAAGCAAGCCGAGAAGATAGCGTTTCGTTTCGGCGATCCATCGTCGCCATTTGATAGCCGGCACACGGGCCGCCCCGACTGCCCCATGGCCATTAACATTGATCTCAGTGGCGATGAGTGGCGTACACTGGCCAGAAAGGCTGTAGCACAGGAGGTCAACAACTCTCAAGGTTCCCATGGCTTGTTTGGTTTGGTCCAGGAAATGAGAGACAGACAAGTCTCATGGCATGAGCGATTTTCGAAAGGCCAACATACAGCGTTTCATTGCGCTGACCACCAGCAAAGCGCCGAGACCTCCGATAATTTATGCGTGCAGATTATGTCCATTGACAACCTCAAGAGATCTCTCGAGACTCTTGGACTTTGAGTGCTTGTTCATTAACAAATTGCCTGCACGCTATACGTCTTCAGACAAGCCGCAATTCAAGTTGTTGAGCAGACTGCAACTTGGAGTTTCTGCTAAGTGAAACGAGCATTCTCAAAGCTACGCGACAGGCCCATCCGCCTCTTCGAGATCGAAGCAGCATTGCTTCAGGATCGGACTTAGGCGCTTTCTATGGAGTGAACGACCCGGTCTGTCTCTTGCACGAGCCTGAGAGTAGCGAACGACTGAGCCGCTCATTCTTACGGATTAGGTAGATTTCCTTCAATGATTCTTCACATCGCACCTGCTAAGTTTCTTCACCAATGACAGAAATCTCCTCGTCTTCTACGCACAGCTGAGCCGAATTCCATCTACAACCACCATGCCAAAAAAGAAAGCAACAATTGCCTGCATTTTTGGGGTGTGCCATCGTCAGCAACGAAGCAATGAATCCTGTCAGTCTCACTTAAGGACTAGTTTTTAGTAACGAATATTTGAACACGACAGCAACAGGCTCGGCGATCGCAGGTCAGGGGAATGGTACGCCAACGGGCAGTATAGGCCGTATTGGCAAACAGTAATGTTGAAGGTCCAAATGATTCAAATACACTGTTTCGACACACCATTCCGGGTTGCCTGAACCACCTTTAGTTGGAAACTCGCTTCCAATTGCTCTGGCTTCATGCTGCAACTCAGTCTATATTTCTCCTGTAGATCAGCTAGCTTTTCCCGAAACCCACAACGCCTACATCAAGTTCCCTCAACCCCACCCAATCGCCATGCAAACGCCGTAATCCAAATCGACTCACAACTTCGCAAACCTCGGCTTTCTCTTCGTAATCCCCGACATCATAGCCTCTCTCGTATCCTCGGACTGCAACATGGCCGAGTTCCAAACACTCGTATACCTCAACCCATCCTCCACACTTCTATTCCAACTCCAATTCAAGACTTCTTTCGTCCCCTGCACCGCCACCGGACTCTTGCCGACCACGACTTCCGCCCACCTCAACGCCTCCTTCACAACCTCTTCCTTCCCGCCATTCTTCCCCACCCAACTCACAAACCCCACCTTCTCCGCCTCCTCAGCCCCAAAGTCCCTCGCGCTAAGACAAACATCCTTAACCCAACTCCCACTCCGCACGACCTTCGGCAACCGACTCAACGTCCCTATATCCGCCGCCAGGCCAATATCCACCTCTTTGACCGCAAACCGAGTCTCCCGCGCGCAAATCCTCACATCACAGCAGACGCTGATATCGACGCCCAACCCCAAACACCAGCCATGTATCGCCGCTACGACCGGTTTCTCGCAACGTTCGATGCTGGAGATACAAGCCTGGAACGCGTCGACGTGCCTGCGCAGCCTCGTTGCCGTTCTCGCGCCGTCGGGAACCGGACGCGATTGGTCAGGGTTGGGGCCGAGGATCGAATTCTGGGAAGCTTCTTGGACGTCGAGGCCGGTGGTGAAGGCTTTGGGGCCGGCGCCGGAGAGGATGATGGCGCGGGTGGAGGGGGAGGTGGAGAGGTGGGTGAAGAGGGGTGGGAGTTCGTGCCACATTCTGTCGAGTGTTAGGACCGTCGAAAGGCAGAAATCGTGGAAGGATAAAATCCGGACGTACTCTTCTTTGAAAGCGTTCATCTTGTCCGGGCGATTGATCTCAACGTGGGCGACGAACGGGAGGGGGTAAGTGAGGTTGAAGTATTTGCATGCTGGGGGAGCTGAGTGGTCTGCCATCGTGGGGCGAGGGATTGTTTGAGGCTGGATATGGTCTCAATATGGCTGCGACTTTACTCGATCTGATATGCGTTCGCCAACATGGTGGGACTAAAGGTAGAGAAGGCTGTGCTGTGGAAAGATGCTCTGTTTTGATTGTTCGAAGAATTGTTGTGAGCCTCGGCATCTTCTCCAGGTCTTGGCATACACTAGTGATAACGCTAAGATAAGATATGATATGATATGATGGTTCCCTTGCGAAAGCGAGAGAGACAACGATCATTGGTGTTTCCATGTCACCTTCTTGATATTGGTACTAAACCATCGCTACTCAGCAAGTCAGATCTCTATGGTAGGATGAGTGCCGTTGATGTGATGTCCGCCTTAACGTGATGTCCGCCTCTAAGTGATTCCATCAGTGTTAACAGATACTAATTAGCTCTTGACCGCCTTGCTACAGCTTAAACTTATCACCGTCTCTTCACGTTCTCGCAATAGTGTTGCCCTTTGTAAGCACACCTATAGGTAGACAGCGCCCGTGCGGGGTTTCTCCGTCTAAACACCGGCCCAGGGTTTTGCATGCTTGGGCTCCAAGCGCCTTTTGCAGGTCACCTCTTCGGCCTAGAGTATGTGCCCGCCGGAAGCCACTGCACGGCTATCAACTTGGATGCATTGCGCAAAGTTGGACCAACATTCTCGCCAATGATTGGAAATCAAGGCTGAGTGCTGCGTTCCTCCGTGGCTGTACGGCAAGCACGCCACCTATTCCTGACGAGGCTGTTACGCATTCTTTTTTTCGCATCTAGTAACTTGTATCTTACACTTTCCGCCCAAGGCATCTCTCATATCATTACAAGATGCAACAAGAAGCCCACCGCCAATTGTCCAAATATGGTTCTTAGCCACGTCTTAGCTGTGACTCCTGCGCGTGTCGGCTATATTACTAAATTTGTATAGGGTTACCTTAGAGGTATACCCTAGGAGAGTTTTGAGATAGATAATAACTTAACCTACACATCACACGCGAAACTCTAACGCCAACACCGAAGCGGGTATTCCGCACTTGAAACATCTATAAGGAGCTCACAACCCTCCTTCATTACACAATGGAGGTAGTTGCAGGTGTCGCTGGAGTCGCTGGCGTTGTGGGAATACTAGGTCTCGTTGGACAAGCCGTGCATGGCATATTGAAGCTCAAGGAATTCGTTCACGGGGTTTCGACTGCCTCAGAAACGGTGAAAAGCTTTCTCAGAGCTATCGACTCTCTTGAAAGTGCTCTGACAGCGATATCCGATCTCCTCAGGCGAACCCCAGAAGAATGGCTTGTTGGTGCAGAAGCCCGGAACACCAGTAGACTTGCATCGCAAATCGAAAATTGCCGAGCTGATATAGATGAATGGGTAAAAGATGTGCCCATGCATCATGCCAATTCTTCGAAAATCATAAAATCCTTTTTCGGGAAGCTCCGTGTCGCCAGCGAGGAAAGTGCTTACAGCGTGTTTCATCAAAAAGTAGCGCGACATCTTCAGGGGATGCAGCTAAGTCTTGATCTACTAGGATGGTATGCATGTCTTTTCAATTGCATACGATTGAGGGCTGAAATCAATCTAGTTCCTACAATATACATATTCTCCAACAGGGCAGCGTCATCGCTAAAGAGGTCAAAAATGTTGCTGAGGCTCAGACATCGTTCAACCACGGATCTACCCACAGACTTCTCGAATTCGACAACAGCTTCGTTACACATCTAGATCCAGTTTCAAGTCAATTGGATCGTTTAGAAAACTCATCGCAGATGAGTAGCGCTAGTATGTCGAGCCTTGCTTCCAATGTGTCTCGAATTCTCGAGTTGGTATCTTCTAACCCAGCGCTCACTGCCTCTAAGAGATTGGATAGTGAAGATAAAGATTCGGAGCCGGATGTGGCACATGCTAGCTCGACACGTCCTGCCTTCGGAAGGACGAAACTCGAGTCCCAGGAGCTCCTGCAACGGCCTTCCCAGACACAAGTGGAGTGGAGTTGCGACATTCTGCCTGGTGTTGAAGCCGCATTTTCTGCAAGCGGTTTTATTTGCCTCTATTGTGGGGACGAATTTGATCAAGACTCGCCAGAATGGTCCCTGCGAGGTAGGCACCTAGTAGACGAACACAGATATGGAGAATGCAACTTGCTCCTGTCGTATCATTCCCTGGAGAAATTCGCTCAACATATTCAAGAATTTCATCAATGCTCCCTTAGTCACAATTGTCATCTTTCTGATAAACTTCTAGACAAACACCGTCGATCTGATCAAAAAAGGGGCTTCCATCGGGGCCTAGAAAGCAAAGACCAGAATCTCACCGATGACTTTCATAGCATTCGGGACCGACGTTGGGAGGCTCTCTTCTATAATAACAGAGCTGTGAAAGCAATGCATGACCATATCGGTGGCGCAAAATCCGTATCGCCTTCCGAGGAACGACCGTGGGAGATGGAGCTAAATACCGCTATCTCAGAAGAAGGCTGCATCGTAGATGGACTCATGGTTGCATCGGTCTTCAGCCCCAGGTCAATCTCTAATGATTATGGCGGCGAAATAAGACAGCCAAGCTATTCGCTAGGAGACGGCATCAAGGTTTCTCGATATGAATTTGAGGGTCGCTGTGACTCATTTTTGCACGCTACAAGACTTCGACGCACAAATGATTTGAGTGGAAAGCCTGGACCAGATGGCGCGGACGCACTAGGAAAGTCATCGGCTACCTCCGTCTTGCCCAAAGGACCTTCATATACTGCCGAGGTAACGAACGGAAGGAATCAGATCAACTCCTGGCTTCGAGAGATCTTGCAACATTCTTCCACCGCCAGAATCATCTTGTTCTACACGATGAAGCACGGCGTCAACTTCTCAAGCATGTACACATGGCTGGAAAAGGCACTAGAGTTTTGGGAATCAGATGAGGCTGCGACGAAAGTAGACGAACCAGACAGTCTGTCGGATGGGGCAGTTGATAGCCGCGGCAGCCCCGAGAATCGGGACGTTACAAATCATGAAACCGCTAAACAGCTCGGATAACCACAAGGATGGAAGCCCTACCGTGCTTCCTCGACTCCTTTTCGCGGATATTGAAGCAATCGATACCAAGTCTGTGTACGTCGTGCTGTATAGGCACGATTTATTGAGGCCCAGAACATCAACGACAGATGATTGGTGCACTAACACGGTCTCGTCTATCTTAGCAAGATACGACACGGCAGACTTGATCGCAAGACGGCGCTGAATCAGGAATGGCCGCCGAAATATTTTGAAAAAATACATCAAAAGGCGTTTTGATTTCTGAGCTATGTGTGTAGATTCGAAGTTGTTATCGTACGCAAGGTCGCCGGCTTCATGGTAACAGACTTACTGCCCTAGACACGTACCACTCCTTTCCCCGCCACACGGCCCTCTTCTCACAATCTACCATAGGGCTTTCCTTCTTTCACGACCTCAGTGAGTTTGCTATGATTCTTTGAGATGAACGTCTGCAAATATTCCTGTTTGCCTTTCCTGGCCGCCCTGTGCGGTATCGGCCTGATGCGAGCATTCAATCCCATTGTCGAAGATATTTTGATACCTGCGCAACAGTTGGCGACGTCATCGGTATCGGTCTTTGAGACCTGGGCAAGCAAAACAAATTCCTCGAACGTCTCCCAACATGCAGAACTGCGTTCCGTCAGGAGTAGCCTCGTTGTATGAGCTATGGCAACGATGATGTGGAGCGAGAGCACGGCGATCGATAAATAGTTTGTTGATCCTGAAGCTTTATACGCATAGCCTGCAAGGTAGAATTAGAGAAACCACCTTGCTGATCATCATTGGGAAAGTGAGGGTTTACCGGTGGTAGAGCCATTAAAAGTCATTGGAAAGCCCAACTCCAGAGGTCCAGGACAAAAAAAGTGGTAGCTTTTTGGGATCTCGGAACAGTCGGTCGCAAAGTCTGTGAAAAGAGCAAGGCTACCCTCCTGCAATTCAGTGCGACGCGTGATACGGCGTCGGCAAAGGCAGTTGAAAGCACGGTCTCAATTTGTTGGACCCAAAAACCCTGCAGAGAAGCTGTCAAGGTTACGTTATCTAATGTGACGTCTGTGACGAGAATCAAGTTTGTGAGCGCGGTGGTAGTCTGCCCCGGGGTGTCTACTCCTGGATAACCTTGTGTGGGCACCATGTAATCTAAGGCCTCAAGCCATCCTGGTTGCTGATGTGTCTCCAATTGCCGTCACTATCAATTATGGTTAAAGCTTTATCTACGATGTCCGCCGAAGAGCGTGCACTGCTGATCGTTGCGCCAATATATTTGCCAGTGTTCTCTAGCGAATATGATGACGATTGTGTCATGATATGCTGTGCTTTATTCCATCGGGCATCTATCGAGCAGCCGAGTCCGTAACGTTGGCCAGTCTTCTCTTCTATGGGACCTATGACCACAAGTCCCGTCGTAACGGAGTTCATGTTGGACTTTGGCGCTATCCAGATCGTGGTGAGGGAGGATATGTTAGTCATGGCGAAAAGTGGCTGGTTCAGTATGATGTCCTCGTATGGTCCGCTATGCTCATACCCTTCAATCCAGGTTTCATACTCACGAAGCTGAGGCAACGAAAGCTTCGATGTTTCATTGTTAATGGTCTGAAGATCGTGTGTCCAGACAGCGCGTACTGCCGAGGCTTGCGAGGTTACATGCGCTGAAACAGTGCTGGTGGGTGAAGGATTACCGGGAGACCAGTGCTTGTCAGACCAAAGGTATGTTTGCAAAAAACCGGTTGCCGCATGAGGCGCAGTTGACCAGGCTTCGGCGTTGAAGCCTTCCCCTCTAGGCGTGCCTTGCAAGATCCTTGGCAAAGTGTACTTTGGTGTCTTTATTGAATAGTCACTACGTCTCCGTGCCGAGTTCAGAATCCCCAAAAACACCGCCCCATTAAGCAAGCGACCGGAAATAGCTGAGGCGTGAGAATGAGAAACCAGAAGTTGCAATACCCAGAGGAAGGCCATCGCCACATAACACTTCATCTCTTGTGACTTGAAACAGAACAACTGTGTAGCATGCAACTATGAGTAGTTCCTGAATGCACACGTCAATTAATGTCTTCATGAGCCAAATGGAATGCAATTACGAACTTGGATTTTGGCGGCGACTTGAATGAATGCTAATGTGACACTATCCTCTTGATCGTTGCTTGAAGATCCTCCGAGGTGCTCGCCAATATAGTAGCCCCTGAATCTCAGCCTCAGAAGGTATAGAAAGACCGCTCGCTACAGGGAGGAGATCCAGCAGCGGCTGAGGGCTTTCCACAGAGAATCCTTTACAACAACTTTTTTAGCTTCTAAAAAATCCGAAAATAGGTGTTGGAAGATGAAACCGAGAACGTCGAATCCAATGTTCCGTAGATCGTACGTCGGATCATCGGCCCAGAATTGTAGAGAATTCTTGAGTCGGCGTACGCGTGCGGCCATCGATGTAGACATGGTGTCTGGGCAGGACAGGGAAGAAATTGCTCTGAGCCGTATGCAAAATAAGACTCAAGCTCACGAGGCCGAAGTCACCATGAGAAAGGTATCAAGACTGTAGTCAAATATACCCATCACAGAAGACGGAATCTTAGGAAGTCAAAAACGCATCGCAAGCACGGTCTGCGGCAAGGCGGCACATCACATTGGCCTTCGTGCAAGCGCAGTGTTCCGAGCGTATGAATCATGTCACGAGGTGGAGAACGAGAGGATCCTTTCTACAATGATGGAGCTGAGAAGGAAGAGTGTCAACTTTTGGAAAGTCTACCCACTAATAAACGTACTTCTAGGAGATCCCGCGCGGGAGATGGTGTAGGCCGAAAGAATCTCATTCGAGAGCAGTCGCACGATTCAAATCAAAAGGAGTCAACGCTGACACAAAGAGTGGCCGTAGTGCTTATGGAGGCGAAGGAAGCTGGGCTGGTGGATGTTCAAGTTGCAGGCACATGTCTTAGCGAGGTCGGAAGGAGTGTCAATTGGAGAAAGTTTCAATTGATCCATTCCAATGTATGATCGATGGTAGAATTCATCTCTTCATCATTAAGAGCGCAGCCTCAACAGCGCAACAAAGACTCATGCATCCCTGCGTACTTTGCCTTCCATCATGCTGTGCGCACGAAGCAACACTCGGACCGTGTCTTACTCCCAACCTGGCAAGGAAGATCCTTCAAGACAACATCCGTCTGACAGTGAATGAATGCTCCACCTAAATATCAGACATCCCGTCTCATCACCCAAAGATGCGCCGGACGAGCTCCCCTCATTCTTCCGAAGCTATGAAACCAGCTCCGAGCAGCACGAAGGCACTTAGTCCCCCGAGAGGCTAATCCGTCCTCCCTCAGGAGCACAGCGACGACATCTACGGCCACATCTCCAAAGTCATCAGGCCAGGATATCCGTTACAACAATCTCTGTCGTAAGTACGTCTGGACACAGGGCCGAAGACTGAATAGTAGACCAAAAAGCAAGCTCGCAACACTTTGCTTGTCAGGGATCATTCGCAAAGAAAGCCCAAGTCTAGATGCTTCTTCACGTGTATGGAAAGCACAGCGAGAGACAGCCTCTCGAGAGCTTCTTGTCACTTACCAGGTATGCTCACGCATGCAAAGAAATCGATGTGGAAGATTGAACCATAACTAATGGTCACCGTACCGAGAGAGTATCAGTCGCATCAATTGACAACACCTCATAGAATACTACCATCTCACGAATATCCAAGCTGATAACATCGACTCCGACAACAAGAATTGCAGGACCCGCCAAGACCAGGACCGCCAAGACGGAACCATTCCGTCTATTTACAAAAATCCGCCATAACTCCAGTACCGTATTCCTCAAACACCGCAAACCCATCACCAACCCCTTCACTTCCTTCCTCCAGCCAGCCAAGCGCACAAACACCCCGCTCCAGCCCGCCAACGCGCATGCTCCAAAACCCCCAACCACCACACCCATCCCTCCCACCCCAACCATGGCCCCCCACCCCCCGCAACAGCAACCCCCCCCCAGCATCTGGGCCCAGGTACGCCTCCCCATCCCCCATCCCCATCCCCCATCCCCCATCCCCCATCCCCCCCCTCCCTCTTCCCCCTCCCCTCTAACCCCACCGACCAGATGTCATACACCCCCCCCCGGGGCCCCTGCCGGAGCAAAACGACCATCGTGACGAGCTGCCCGTGCCACCGGTTCATGCAGCACCCGCAGCAGGCGGGGACGTCGTACTTGTGCGACGGGTGCGGGCACCACGCCAGCTTCCACGGGATGGAGGGGCGGGAGGAGGAGGAGGTGGTGGGGCGGTGGAGGGCGGAGGCGGAGGCGGAGAGGGGGGTGGTGGTGGTGGTGGGTGGGGGGGAGAAGAAACGGGGGAAGAGGAGGAGGATGATTGGTGGGGTGGAGGGGGTGGAGGGGGTGGAGGAGGGGGAGGAGGGGGAGGTGGCGGTTACGGGTGGGAGGAAGAGGAAGGGGAGGGGATGATAGGAGGCTGCAGTAGAGAACATTACAGGCTATGGGAGTGACAGGTTCGGCTCTAGATACCCAATGAAGCGAATGCAAGTCCTTTGAGAAGAGTCTATTGATGTTTCTGCTGTCGCAATGCTACCTATACTGCCACACATACGCTGGGAATTGATCCTATGCTTGCGTATATGAAAGGGGACCGCCGATGTGGTATCTTAATCGAACAAAAACCCACCCTTTCATGTTCAAGCCAAATTTGCAAAATTCCAAGCAACAACGCCGACCTCCAGCGCCTAACGCTAAATCGTGACTGCATACACCGCCAACGCATAAGAATATGTTGAAGACCCCCCGTCTTTCTCTCTCTACTCCATCACAGGAATTCTATCCTCCGCCCCTCGCAAGGTGTATGACGAGTCTGTTGGCGAGATCGAGGAATGGTTGAGGACTGGTAACGTCCTTGTCTGCAACCCTGTATCCAGACCCAATGAATTCCGTGATCTCCTCACCCTTCTTGTTCACCGTCTTATGTTCTCCAATAATGGACTCGTACCCGGCACACTTAAAGTCTACCAAGTAGGTTTCTAGCTCCAGGACGTAGATCTGAAGGTCCAGGTAGACGAAACAGGCAGTGTTGTCGAAGTTGTCGATGATATGCTCTATGCCGGCAACGCTGGTCGCAGATCCGGCTGCCGAGCTCAGGCTACCAAGCGTAACACTACCGCGTCGGCCTGATCCATCGTTGCTGTTGAGATCGATGCGGCTGCTTTGTGCAGAATTGGAGTTGATCACGCCAGGTGGGGACATGCCCTTTTTCTCCCAACGGACATGAATACACCAAGGATCTTTGGGTATGTAGCCCGGAGGAAAATGGTTGACATTGACATCATCATCGTTCTCGCTGTCGGAGTCGTCCTCATAGGAAGGTCGGGCTTCAGTGTGGTCGCTTTCGGAAGCGGCATCATCATCCCCATTAGAATCTGAAGGATCGTTGACGGCAGCGCGATGGCCACCACGTATATGGTGCTTGTCTTTCTCAGGACTCTCAGAAAGCGTAGATTCGGCCGCGGTAAGATGAGTGGCTCCAGCAACGTTGACAGGGTAAGGAGCACCATCGCGAGGCTTGTTCTGTTGAGGTTCCGCAACTTGCCATTGGCAGTCCCCCATTGAACCCAATGCCTTGTAAAGACACTTGATTGCGTCTAGTGGCTCGCTTTTACTTCGAATGCCAAATTGCCATTTGGTGCGATTACCCTTCGTCTTGGGAGCAGTGATGAGGACCCCCGTGGGATCTTTGGAGGCGTTGGCAGTGATTGTCTGAAGCTGAATGGTGGACCGAGAGTGTGGTTTCAGACGCCGAGCAGTCTCAGCTTGCTCCTCACTAGTCTGCTCACGGCTATCGACATCGAGTGACATTCTGAAAAGCTTGTCCATTCCCTCAAGCTCGAGAGCCTCGCCTTGTTCTTCTGCACGCCTACGGCGTTGATCCGCCCGTCGCATTTCCATAATCTGATTGTGGTACATAGGTAGACTCGTAGTTAGGATACCAATCTTGCTGACATATGGCTTTTCCAGTGCCTCTTCACGAGTCGTGTCGACAGCAGTCTCTTGGGTAGAGGAGTTAGGCTCAGTGCCTGCCGATGCGGTAGCTGAGTCCAGCTGAGCTTCACGTAGCTGCTGATAATTTTTACGGGTGGGGAAGCTATTAAAGTTTGACTGGGCAGCCTCAGCCATTGGCGAAGAGAATTGGTGTGATGTCGAGTTCCATGCTGGTGGTGAGGTTGCGAGGAAGCCTAGATTTTGGGCATGCGTGAGATTCGCTGTTGGGGCAATTACTTAGTCTCCCTTCGCCTAAATCATCTGATGCTGACAACCTGCAGGACGTCGAAGGGAAGATACTACTTACGGTTTGTCTGCATGATCTGATTTTCTCTCACGATCAAGTACGCGTCTTTGATCGCATTTGGCTCATCCTTGCCAAGTGCATCCTGTACATCGTCCTTGGCGTAACCCATTGTTTTCCCTAATTTACCGATCACAGACTCATGAATCTGTTCCTGCACGGCCGGCGGCTTTCCAGGTGCCAATTTTCGCGGATCTATGGCCTTATTTGGATCAACTCCTGTGTCGATGAATTCCTCGACAGGCTGCTTCAAGTAATCCTCGAGACCTTCATTAAACCATGGATCCTGGCGGATGTCTGGAATGCTAATGCGCTGAACCGGGTTGACTTTTAGCATCTTATGGATAATATGCTTCGCCCCAGAAGATACAAAGGGCGGCGTCTGGTACGAGCCGGTGGCGATTTTCTTGAAGAGTGCCGGAATTAAATCGTCATCGAATGGCAGGCGGCCGACCAACAAAACGTAAAGTATGACACCGCAGCTCCAGACGTCCACCTCTGGCCCAGCATACAGCTTCCCCGAGATCACCTCAGGCGCCGCATAGTTGGGGCTACCACAGCTGGTCTTCAAGAAGTTGCCATCCGTCATGATATTGCTCAACCCGAAGTCGGCAATTTTGACGTTGAGGTCAGAATCGAGCAGGAGATTCTCTGGCTTCAAGTCTCTATGGACGATCTTATGCCGGTGGCAGTACTCCACGGCACAGACGATTTGTTGAAAAAACCGACGAGCCTTGGTCTCTGCCATTTTTCCATGCTTGACAAGGTAATCAAAGAGTTCTCCCCCAGCGTATTCGAGTACCATGATGATGTCTGTGGGGCTTGTGATGACGGTGTATCTGTAACGGTCAGCTACTGTCTCTATTTCCCATGGAAACCTAGATGTTCATACAGTTTGATGATATGCGGATGTCTTAGCAGTTGCAGGTATTGAATCTCTCTTTCAACTCTCCCCGCCATGTCCCTTGATATAAGCTTCTTGCGCGATATGATCTTGAGCGCCACCTCTTGTTTGGTGAAGCGGTGGGTCGCCAGCTTGACTTTGCCAAAGGACCCTTCACCTAGTGTCCGTACGACGTCATATGCACCTATTTGCTGGGCAATGCGACGGTCGGCGGGGATCTTGGCTACTCGGCTAGCAGCTTGATGAGAGTCCGTCCTGGGTCTGGCTGCATGTCGTTGATTGCGACGTTCTGCTGCAGGCCCAGAGAGTGACATGGAGAGCTCCTCATCGTCGAAAGTAGAGGCCATCTCGTTGTACCACTCAGTACCAATGTTGTAGGTATGAAGGTTGTAGAGCTCCGCTCGAGTTCGCGATTAGGAGCCTCAGGCGAGTGTTTGGACACAGCGCTTCGGTCTCTCGCTCTCTGAATATGCCGAAACTATCTTTTTACCAAACAGTCGAGGGGAAGGTAGGTGTATTGCCCGGAGAGGTTGCCAATTTGTTTTCCGAAGATGGGGTTCCGGAGAGAGTTTAGTTATTGTGTATAGCCTCATACAGCTTTCTCTTTGTGGTCAGAATGAATTCTGGGTGGTTGGGAATGGGGAAGGTCGCGGAAGGTGAGGGTACGGAAGTCTGTGTCTATTGACCGGTGTCGAGAGCGAGGATTTCCGAATTGACGTATGAAAGTCGGTGTGTGGTGGGAAAGATATCCAAAATAGCGATAGAGAAAGTTTGATAGGATTTGAGCAAGGTTGTGGTGAGGCGGAGAGGTAAGGGAAATATGCGTGATGGGTAAAGTGCGTTGAAGATGAATGGGAAAGTCGAGTCACTTTCAAGTTAGTGATAAGTGTGCCCTGTGGCTGGAGACATGGGGCTACCCCTACAATATTTAAGGTAAGTACCTTAACCGCTAATGTCGGCAGATACCTGTGGCTCCCGAGGCCTAAAGTACCTTACCAGTGAACCCATTTAGCGTGTACAAAACCCATATATATTTTCTTATTCTATTTCCTACTTTCATAACAATAAACGGCCGGATGTCATAAGTCAAGTAGTAGGTGGAGGTTTCTCTTGGAACTAGATCTACGGTGGACGAAGGAACGATTGGTGATGCCAAGAAATTGGAAAACGGGTTTGCACACGCTAAATCCTGGGATGGACGTGGGAAGTGGTGCATGCAAAGCTTGTACGTAGCCTGGAGAGGCGGTCTACCTGCACTTCCACTCATCCCATACCATGGCGCTGGCATCAGACATGGGAGCCTCAATGGTTCAAGTCTCTCAAACCAAAATTCATCGACCTCTCAACGGCCCTACAAGGTTCATGCCCTTATCTGAATGCCTCAACAGTCGCTTCCCTTGGTGAATGTCACAGGGAGTCCTAAATATCGCCCAAGCAGGAATGGTTTACCGCATCTAGCATAGAAAGGCTTGAAGAATGGCTATTGGCTTGATGATCATGATGTCCATTGGGAAAGAATTTTGGCTGGGCATCCGTTTCATTTTCATCAATGGTGTAGAATCTACCTCGTACCCTTGGCTACTGTATACCAGATTGATGGTTCGAAGATGCTGCATCCTCGGAGATAGGACCTCCACATAGCTGCTGGTTGGCCCACTGAGAGATCTCGAAGCAGAAAGGCGTGGGATTTCGGAGGCATCTCCACACTCGAGCCAGCACTGCTCATCAAGATCTATACAATCGAGACGAACTCGTTGTATCTTTCAAATCATTAGCCGCACAACATCCGACTTTGGTGGTGGCAGAATTATCCTAGCCTTAGCTTGGGGAAAGAGCGTTGGATGTCCGGGATTTCCTAACGAGCCCATGTGAAGGCTTTAGATGGAGCGATGTGGAAGCGAATATGCTGTTGAGAAGAGTGTTGGCCGCGCGCCGCTCCTTGGCCCTCAAAGCCACTGATATCAAGAATTGCTGTGAAAGATCCTCTTGCACGTTCGATGCGTTTGTCCAATGCCACATAGTCACCTCAAATTAGCATCCTCCAGCTTCAGTCTCTCTACCAGCTTTTGTCGTAGAAAAGGACTTAGACCCAAGCTGGATCTTCGTCAACCATGGTTCGGTCAGGGCAGACTTTGAACTCACAAGCCGTCTCTTGTAACAACCCTATAGCTCCCAGAACTCTGATACCTCCCATGTCCATCGACAAACTTCCCCTCCCCATCCACCTCAAGGCTTCCAAAGATATCCTCGGGGTCCGGTATCCGACCGAAGTCTGGTGGATGCCTCTCATCGTAGACGTGGATATAGCCACCCCGTCCACCGCCACCAGCACCACCCTGGCTACTCGCTCCCCCAGCGCCATCCCCCCCAGTCCCGCCCCCGCCGCCGTACGCTGTCCCCCGTCTCTTCTGCTGCTGCTGTGGGAAGAAAGCTCCGCCGGAGCCGAGACTTGAGCCGGAGGTTGAGGCCATTGCTTGTGCTTGCGATATGACGTTCACATCCTCACATGCATGCTGTGCAATGACGGATTGCAGGATGTCGAGAAATCTGTGGTTCTCGGTGAACGAGTCTGGTGTTGGGGGAAGCTTGGTAGTGGTGCCGACCGCAAGCTCGGCTCTGGGAGGAGCGTAGGAGAGAAGAGATAGAATATGGCTGTTGATTGATCGGTCGTCTGGAAAGACATACTGGTCAAATTGTGAGTATGAGATGCTGGGTACAGATTGGTAGACGTACGATGTGAGGATTTCCTTCTAATGTTGCTACGCTGCGGCGGCTGGCAACGGCGACGGGCCTGAGCAATGCTCTATGCACAGTCCGAGCGAACATTAAGGCGGACTAAATCAGGAATTGGGTATCGAGAGGGAAAATGGACAATGACGGCGATGAATCTCCATCCAAAGTAATGGCTCGGCAAGACTTGCTCGTTTCTGCTTAGAGTGGTCTTGGCGCCTCGGCGGTAAGGTACTAATGGAAGAACTTGCGCGCGCCATCGCTTCCGCTAGCTACAGTCCCAACCAGATGATCTGGGACATGGCGAGCGTGACGGGTATAAAGGAAAGCGGTGCGCTGCTCATTCTGGCTCTTCTTATCAAATGACTGCTATCAATTTTTCCACCACCTTTTCTCTCGACTTCCCCCTCTATTTCATACGATTATCGATTGGAAAGATTTATCCCCGATAGATCGGCAGAAGAGCTTCTGGAGAGAGCCACAGCCAATGAACATAAGCAGAGAGCTCATTAGGCAGAGAATAGTATTAAGAAAAACACAAAGTGGAATGCGAGGAAGACGCCGAAGGATCAGAGTTGGGTATTGAACCGAATTTGGAGACGACATTTGGGGCTACTTCAGGCAGTCAAGTCAGGCCCGATTGAAAGGGTGGGACTTCTCGGGCACTCTCGGATGGATACAGGCGTCAAGGAAGTGCTAGAATGCAAGACAGCATTGATGTTCGTCATCTGCAATGGAGATGTAGCTATGACCAAGCTATTTTTTACACCGTAATGGCGCGGATCTCAGGTCTCAAGAATCAAATGATCTTTGAGTGCATATAGAGAAAAATGCTTCTTTTCCCACTGGTGCCACTATATATCTGACATCCAGCAGCCTCATCCTAAACCGTGGCTGCAACTTGTGATCTAGCCCAGGCTACGCACTGTTTTCGATCAGCGCGTCCATGTTCTCATCCGTTTCGATGGGCGCTGCTGGATTTTGTGCTGGATGGGCCTCTTATCCACTCACTCTTCCCAAATTTGACTCGGCACCGCCAGCAAGATGGACATTATCAGGCACCGTCGAGTTGCCTTTTCGCCGTAAGTGCAGCGTACCAAGATCCACTATGACTTCAGCAACGTGAAGAGACGACAGTCCACGTAATGTGGGTGGTCAAATGCAACGTCTAATAAGCAATTGAACCTTGTAATTGGCGACATCGTCCGAGGAGAAACATGACCTTCCATGGTTGACGTCTTTACGTCAAGGAATGGCAGATGCAAGGCGAGGTGGCATAGTATATCTTGATTCATGATTATAGTAATGCGAAACCCGCTGTTCCTGGCAAAGCTGACAATAGCGCCTCTCTGATTGGTCGAATCTGCACACCTAGCGCTGTCAGCACCGCCCTTCCTATCCCTTTCCCTCTTCTTTTCACAATGACATGATACTTTACTCATTTTTCAGACGATTGTAACTGAGAGTTCCTAATCTAGCATATCGCTTTTTGTTTGTCTGCATTTCCTCTCCAACACGATGCATCATGACCTCCAATCTAGCGCATGCAGCCGGGTATTTTCATATATTGCCCTAACGCTTTTGCGTTTCCTCAGTAAGCCTCACTAAAACCATCGGGATGAATGAGGGCGATTAGAGAGGAAGACAAAGCTGATCCGATCTCCCCAGCTTTGCCACCTTCTGCCCTCGCCAGTGATGCGCAGTTTTACGACTCCTCTTCCAAGATAGGCTTCGCTGTCTCCAGTGCGCCAAATTCATCTTCCACAAATCTTCTTTTTCAATTGTCCGCCCCCCAAGCTGCTGGCTGGGGTGCGGTCGGTTCAGGCACTCGGATGGACGGATCGTTGATGTTTGTTATATACGCATCTGGCAAAGACAATGGTAAGTATGTGGTAGATACTCAGTAACCATGTTTGGCCAAACTAACCAACCAAATCCAATAGGTGTCACCGTTAGCGTTAGAACTGCCCAGTGAGTTGGAACCTCAGATCAGGTTGTATCATCCTACTCATCCTCCTGCCAGCGGTCATGACACGCCAGAAGCTACCAACGACATCGATCTCGTCGTCTTGTCTACGACCATCCAGAACTCTACCATGACAGCCAATGTAGTATGCTACAATTGTACCAGGTGGTCTTCGGGCAGCTCCATAGACGTGAATTCGACCAAGCAGCCATGGATCTGGGCAGTTGGGCCGGGAGACTCTTTGGTGTCTGCTTCCCAATCCGCCAACTTTAACCAACACGCAAGTAATGGTAGGTGATGCACGGGTGATGCATGCCAATCACTGCCTGTCATGACTGAACTCTCCCCACAGGAAACTTCTTTGCGGACATGACGGCCGCCCGATCCGACTCACCAACGACCGCTCCCAACATCTCCGGAACATCCAACGTGAACACCAAACCATTGTCAAGTGCTTTCTCCGCTTTGGTCGTCATCCATGCCATCGGTCTCGCCGGCTCCTTCTTCCTCCTATTTCCCCTCGGGGTGATCCTCCTGCGGTGGTTCGGCTCGTTCAAGTTCCACTGGATGCTCCAGGTAGCCGCCAGCGCGATCTGTCTCGTCGGCCTGATCTGCGCCATTAGCTTAAGCGTCTTGGATCCCGAATACGCGTCTTTCAACCAGACGCATCAGATCCTAGGCATCATTACCGTCGCCGTGCTACTCCCCCAGATCTATTTCGGCTATTCCCACCACCTCAATTACAAGAAGCTTGGACAACGCACCACGGTCTCTTATTTGCATCTCTGGTCTGGAAGATCAGTCGTCCTGCTCGGAATGGTCAATGCCGTGCTGTAAGCTCCCTCGATTTTGCTCCCCCTCTTCCTTCTCCACGCCCTACTAAGCGCTTCCCTGGCACACGAATCTCACTGATATGCCCCCTGGAATAGCGGCTTTGTTCTTGCAGACTCTAATACCGGCGCCGTTGTCGTCGCCGTTCTCGCCGTCACGATCCTGGTCATCACCGCCCTCGTTGTCTTCTTCGGCGCTAAGAAACGACGCTCCGCCCTCAACGCCAACTCTTCTCACTCGTCGGATATCGCTCTTAACCGCTACGAGTCGTTCCGCGGGTAGAAGAGCGACTATATATGATACATGGGCGACGAGCGGCATTATTAGGGTTACGGCCGCGATTTGGGTGGTCAGCAGCAGTATTAGTGGTGAAACCGGCGGCGTTAGCTACAAATGGAGTTTGCTCGTTCCTAGAATTGAGGTATAGAGGCGATCATGAATTTTAGGTCGTTTGGTCGCAAAGCTTTACGAAGGCTTTCCAATTTTGGCTGTGGCGACTCTAGGTTTCTATTCCTCATTTTGCCATTTGAAGACGTGGAACATTTAATGCCAGCCAGCCTGAGGAGATGAGTATAGACCGCATGATAGATTTGAAAGATTCTCACGTCTCTCCGTCATTCACGTCTTCCTATTACTACTAATACCTACTTCAAGCGCTACTCAAGTAAAGTGATTCATATACCAAGCCCAAAGCAGGCTATTCGCTTCCGAAAGATGTCTCCAAAACTTACGGCTGCCAGGGTTTGGACGATGGCGTCTCTGAGGATCTGAAACGCTCCAGACATGAAACGATCATACGTCGAAGAGGATCGCATAGTTCACGATGTTTGCCATCATAGCGACATCCGCCCAAAAAATCCCTTCCGAGGCTGGGTTATATTGAGGAGACTTGGGTCCAAAACGTTGGACCGACCGACTCAAACCAAGTTGCATGCAGCCTTCCCCCTTTCTTCCAGATTCTTTCGGGCAGCCCTACCCAGCAACCACACACCAAGATTTCACGCGAGCAAAACGAATCTCGCATACAAGACTTAATCGAAGTGGACTAGAAAGGCTCGACAGAAATCAGGCTTTCAATAATAGCACTTTGCCGTGGTGCTTTGACCTCCATCGTCTCCATCACACCGGACTCTTCTCGCTCGATCTGACCGTCGTGCTTCGTTGCTTACCATCTCAATTCCAACAAACGAAACTCAGATGCCAGAAAGGATACAACAAGGTTCCCCACTCTCACACAGCGCCACCAAAAATGAACTGTCGAGCAAACGGCATAGCTTTTAGAGACGTAATTCCATGAACAAGATAACTACATCAAGTCTTTGACAAACCGAAAAACAACAGTCAGACTGACAAAGGCGACGACATGAAGGCGCTCAGCGCTGCAAATGGCGCTGCGTGCACAGTGGAAATCAATGAAACAAGGGATTCTGGCATATGCAGCCCATGCGAACGTGTTAGCGGGCCTCTATCGAGTGCGAGAGAGGGGTGGAGTATTCAGTCCTCATCACTACCAGCGAATTTACAATTCCATGGATCCCCTTTACCCATACTGTTAATGAATGGAAGTCGAGGGATCGTTACAGCTCGGCTACCTCAGCAGTGTGGGGTAATTGTCTTGGCAAATCGCCACCGCTATCCGAGGGCTCCTTTTTATTCCCCAACAAGCGCTGAGTTCCAACTTCACTCCACAATCTTGAGCTGGCGTCAGGAGAAGAGTTTCGAACGTGTGTGTATCAAATGTTCTCTTATTCGCTCCTTTGCATTGAAAATTTTGTCCACTTTCATACGCGTCCCTGCCTGAAGCATACTCGCATATCATGCGATCAGATGAAAACGCCAGGAAGCTATTGCAGGCACGGTCTCCAAGAGACCACTCAGATGACAGGCATTCTACAAAGGGATAGTACAGGTTATTTTCTTGCACTTGTATCATTGATCAGTCCAAGTCGTCCAGCGTCTTACCTAACATACTGCTACAACGACTCCATTTTCTTGCTTTACCTGTAACAACCTCTTATCTCTGGACCTCTTATAAGTATGAAATTTTACGTCTAGAAGAGATGGACTACTACGGAAGCTGTAATCTCCGTTCAACAGCAGGGCCTTCCGGTCGTTTCTTTGCGTTGCGTTGTTGCAGGCTGCTGGGTAAAGATGATCTGGAGCCGCAATTGCTCGCATAACCCTGCCGGACTGAGCGGTGAACTATTCATGGACTCGGCCTTCTTCCCTGTCCTCCCGTTTTACATGCCAAACCTTCTCCGGTCAGAGCAGGATGATCCCGTTTACATGGTACACTGCTTACAAGAAAACACTGGGTTTTGGCGCATAAGCGGCAAAAGGTTTCAGCCGCGGTTTGACAACTGCAACACTGTTGGGTTGGAGCAAGAGATGTGGACAACTTTCTTTCTCGGGCATCACGTTATGATTCAGCTGCAAAGATATCAGTTGTCTGCGCCGCCGTCGCGTAGGCCGCAGAAGCGTCTAGCGCCGCTTTGACAGCTGCAACACGGTTGGGTAAAACCCGGGAGTATGGACAAAAACACTCTTAGAGACTTCAGCTGCTGGTTCAATAGCTGCAACACTGGTGCGTCAAAGCCCGGGGTATGGATAATTTTTTTCTATTTGAACCAGCTGTTCGGGCGTCATGATCGAACTATCAAGGCATCACTCTTTTACTACGCCGCTGTGCAATTCATACTTATTCAATGATCTCAGGGTACTTGGACATGATACCAACTTCTCGCGGTCTTCTCTCTATATCGGAGTATCTTGCATTCTTTACTTCTTGTTTCCTTGTCGTTTACGCCCCTTACGCTTCAGCAGGCAACACAGGAAGCTCACTTTCTGCGATAGACAATCTTGCTCTAATCGACGTTGGAAGCTCATCACCTGCTGCGGCCAATGCTGATGATGCAAGCTTATCCTCTCAAACTGACAACCTCATTCCAGCCAATGCCGACCCAACCAATAACATAACGTGTGTCGGAGACAAATATGACTTGGACTTACCCATCAGCGCGGGCTTCAACCCCAACACCGTCAGCATGCAGCAGCTTTGCGCCAAGACGCAGTTCGGCGGTGGTCCACCCGGCCAACATGTCGGTGGCTGGTGCCAATGGGGCCGCTATTCCAACCAAGTGGTTTTCGACCTAAGCGCGGCCGCACAAATCAATCCAGTTCTGGCGAACCCCCGCATCATGTTAGGATGCTCCTACCGCTGCTTTTGCAACTACAACTTGGGACCTAACGCAGCCCAGCCGAGAGCAGTCCCGAATACAAACGTCTGGGAGTCTGATCAGACGTACGAGCTGCAGGTCGAGATAGTTGATGATTTTGACGTGGGTTGGACCACGAATTTGGGATCGGCTGAGCCTGGCAGCACGGTCGATGCACCGCAGATTTCGCACAAGGGAACAGCTGGTACGAGCGATGTCCAAGTCTACGAAGTACAGACTCTGAGCCAGCTGGCTTATACCGAGGACAAATTCAACACTCACCCTCGCTTCACTTATTCAAGCATGAATGCCGAAAATGAGATTGAATGCCATGGTACCCTGCCCAGATTTCCGTTCCCCTCGCCTTACCGGGTTTCCGACTTCAGCACCTTGCAGGAGCTGTGCGCAGTGCAGTTCTCCGGCGGCAACAGGTTAGTACCACACTCCTCACGCCCACATGAGTTTCCAGCCCTCGCTCACCACATCCTCTGTCCAGTGGCGCAAATGCCGGAGGATACTGCCACCGCTCCGATCTGCCCGGCGGCGGTGTTTCCAAAACGGTCTTCTTCTCCGACGAACTCACCCCGCGGCACGACTGGACGTTCAACGGCCCCAACTTCTTCTTCGCCGCCGCCATCCGCACCTATTGCTGGCCATTGTGTGCCTGTAACGGGGTCCCGCAGAAAAAGGGCCCCGCGGCGGACGTTTTCAATTCCGTACTCTGGAACATAGTCGCCGGCCAATCCTTCGCCCAACACGGCGACGGCTCCGTGACGCTCGGCGCCACAGATTCCCAGCAGGGCGAGATGCAGATCCTCCCTCCTCAACCGCCGTCGAACCGCCTCTCGCCGACCCCCCCGGCAGGTACCTGTGGTCCCGACGGCAAGCAATTCTGTCCCGCGACCTGGCCTACGGATCTCCTGGGCCCGATCCCGCGCGCTCCGCCCAACGCAACATTGATCGTCGCGGATGCGAATCCACCAGCATCTTCGCACAACTTTACAACATGCGGCCAGTACTGCAGCGCCCCCTCCGACTGCGGGCCGGGTGACGCCGAGGACGATTGCTTCTGCGCCATTCCCTCGGCGCAGGATGCAAAGACGCTGGGTTTGGACCCCGTTGCGCCCGTTTCGGTCTGCCTGGTGCTGGCGCTGGCGATTACGGGGATCAGTGGTAGAGATGATTCCTCATCGCGGTATCTGGATGGACGAGGCGAGCCTTATCAGTGTCCTTGTAATGTTACGTATATCTCGAACGAGTGCTGTGGGAAGAGAGATGGGATGGTGTGGGTTGAGTGATTGCTAAATACCCCTTTTGCACTCTGAGGCCTGGGGAAAACAATCTTGTAGATTATTCATTGCAAATAGTACCATCATCCATCATCGCCACGTCTCAATCCCTGCAGAAGGCCATTTATGTCCCATTCGTAAGGCATCTACATTCCTCACACAACAGAAAAGCCTCATTCCAAAAGAATGCCCAATGCCATTTTCCACCGATGCAGCATTCACATATCGTCCACTTTCTGGGCCGCCCCGCAGCCACGCAGCCCCGCCAAGAGAAACCCTCCAGCGGCAACGGCCGTCTCCTCCCGGCACCACCTGCCTCGTTTCGGACGCGGCGCATAGGGGGGGCCAAGCAGCCAGCTCCCCTTCCTCCATCGACGTCACTACCAATCCACGATCCAGTAAACGCCAGAATACTGCGTACAGGAGGTTATGAAGACGAAGGCTCTGGAGAACGACAGCACTCGTGAAAGTGTAGATATGATGCGCGTGTCGCCGCGGGGGGGGGAATAAGAAAAAGAGGGGGGGGGAAAAGGGCCACTCATTTTGAATTTTCGGTCAAACCTCTTAGGTCCCCGCAGCGCAACGGTTTCCTGCAAGTCTCCGGTATCGCCGTTGAGTAATAATAATAGAGTTCCTTTTTTTCCAATGTCGACCGCTTGACCAAATCAGTGCCTCGTGCATATGCAACTGATTGTGTACTTACAGCGGGGCAGGCGAGTCATCGATCCTCTTCTACCCTAGAATTTTCCCCCGATTTCCCTTGGCAGATTGGATCGCCGTAGTGGATCGGCCATCGGAAATTCTATCCTTTCTATCTATGTTTTAAAAAACCGACAAACGAAAAACTCTACCCATTCGCAAGCCTCAAATTATGGAGGAGAAGGTTCCGACGGTAGGCCAGCTTTCTTCCGGCCTGGTGGGGGAGGATCCCGAGGCCGGGGTTGAGACCGTTGATATCGAAAGGATCGAGAAGGTCTACAGGTGAGCTCTGCTAAGGCCAATGTTGATATTGAAAACCTCGATTGATCGTCCATTGCAACCAGGAAGCTCGACCACCGAATCATCCCAGGCATGTATCCACCGGAGCCTCCCTCCCCCACGCCGAACTGACCGCTCCCAGCTTTCTGGGTGCTCTACTTCCTGTGCTCCGCCATCAGATCGAACGTCGGTCTCGCGCAGACCATGAACGAGGCGCAGCACCACGACCTGGAAGAGGTCCTGCACTTGACGCCGAAGCAGGTCTCTACGGGTCTGGCGCTGTTCTACGTCTGCTACGTCATTTTCGACTTTCCGTCCAACCTCATCATGACGCGACTGAGCCCCCGGGTCTGGATGAGCCGGATCGTGATCGGTGTCGGCATCATAGGGAGCTGCATGGCTGCGATGAAAGCTGCTTGGAGCTTGTACCTGCTGCGGTTGCTCCTCGGCATCGTAATCGCAGGGATGTGGCCCGGCATGGCCTACTATCTAACCCTCTTCTACCCACCATCACGCACCGGCAAACGAATCGGTCAGTACTTCACTGCCGCTCAGGTCTCAGCCGCCGTAGTTGGTCTGGTGTCGGCCGGATTTCAGAAGATGGACGGGTTAGGAGGTCTCGTGGGCTTCCAATGGATGTTTCTGCTCTACGGTCTTGTGGGGATCCTCGTAGGCTTCAGCTTGCTATGGTGGCTTCCAGACCGGCCCTTACCACCAGGAGAAGTCCCGGACCGGAGTGGCTGGCACAAATGGATCCCGCAAAGCACGCCTGCTTTGACGGGTGAGGATGCGTTGATCCATTATCGTGATTTGACCCGGGTGTATCATCGATCTCGCTGGGGCGTGAAGGATCTATGGCACGTAGTCATCGACTGGCGGGTATGGCCGCTTCTGCTCATGTACTTTGGAGTGGTTGGCGTGGGTATAGGCGTTCAGAATTATGCTACGGTCATCATCCAGTCCACGAATTCCAAACTGACAAGCATCGATCTCAGTTTGCTGACCGCACCAATCTGGATTGTAAGTTCATTCCATATTGACGTGGGTGTGATTCCTGCTGATCCAACACAGATGGATCTCATCGCCATCCTTCTAGTCACGCCTTTCTCGGATCGCTTCCACCACCACCGTGCGCTATTCTTCAGCGTACCCGTCTGCATCCAGATCGCAGGACTACTCCTGACCACCTACGGAGGCAGCGAGGCCAATCCCTGGCCACGGTACGGCGGTCTGTTGATGGTCGGTTTCGGACTCGGACCAACGGTCCCCATCACCATGACATGGACCACCGAGATCTTCCAGCCCCGTCACGGCGAAGTCGGCGTCGCGGCTGCTTCCGCACTGGTGTCCGGACTGGGGAACCTGGGATCGATCCTGACCACGTACGCCCTCTTCACCGGCTGGCCGGCAGACAGCCAGCCTGGGAGGAAGCAGTATCGGAAGAGCACGCTGGTTATGGTTGGCATTCTTTGCTTGTCCATACTGAGTGCGTTCGCCATGACATTACTGCTCAAGTTCGTTGGCAATGGGTCAAGGGCCAAACAGGTCAGTAGCGGTAGCTCTACGAGTGAAGGCGAGGGAGTGATGATGGATGGAGCGGCCAAACGTGAACTGCAGGAGAGAGGGTTCGGACGCTTGTGGTGGAGCCGCCGGTAAATATGAGCTTTTGAGAGTTGTAATTAGGTATATGGAGTAAAGTATGTAGATCACCGATGGATCGATACTCGGTGCAAAATGGCCTAGGTAAATTCGCCCAGACGAACAGTGGCACTTGCTATGCCTGCGGAAACATCTCGTTTTCGTATCGCTTACTCGTACCAAGCAGTCATATCACGTGCTTTTTAATCCCATCCTGTTTTCCATCATCACGTGTTCCTCTACCCACTTTTTGTTTTCTTCTTCATTGTAAAGAGTAGAATTCCATCGGGGCCAAGTTTCCGGAATATGCACCGACGGCTCCTACGGAGTTACGGTGCACCCGCGCTAGTAGCAGCCCTAACCCTACTTTCGGAAAGCGACCCTGTAGAGGGGGAGCCTGAAAATATCTTCTAACAGCACATAGATGGGACTTGAGGTACTTCTTTCAGGCTTGATAGGGGTATAGAGCCCCAAAACTTGGCTGGGGCTAGGTGCTATTCCGAAGAACTTCAAGCGCATTGTCCAGGTAACCCTTTGGATGGGGCGTTAGAGTCTTGGCGGGTGCAGGACTTTTGCTTGCAGACCTCCGATTTATCAGCAAGCTCCGGGAATTTGCCGCTGACGTAAGATGAAAAAAAGTCGGCGTCTTCCGTCATCATCTGATGTCAAAATCCTCGAGCTTCCGGCACGCTGCCGACAGCTCCAACGAGTGCATATATTACCAACGTCTCCCACCCGTCTCTACCTCTTCGACGTCTCTTTCGAAATCGCCTCCGACATTGCCTTCATCTGAAGCCTTCCTTCTCGTCATCAAAATCCACCTACATCTTCCGCAATGGCATCGATAATCAATTTGTCCCTACGAGGACTCCAGGTGAGCGCCAACCCAACATCACTCACAGTCACCCACAGTCGCAACCGCACTACGATCTAAGTACTGACTGGATCCTTCTCCAAATAGTTCCTCTGGACTCTTCTCATAATGGCGCTCGTCGGAAACATGATCGCTGATGCGAACGGCGGCAATCCATCAATCGTCAACTATGTCATGTTCGTTTCCGTCTTCGGCATGCTGTCGCTATTCTACCTCATTGCGGGGACCATCAGCGAGACCTTCGCCATCTCGCCATTCTTCATGATCGCAGCGGATGCACTCAACACCCTCTTCTTCCTCGTTGGTGGTATCGCGCTTGCCGGTTACCTCAACGTGCACAGCTGCCACAACCAGGTAAGCACGAGGGGCATAGAGCAAGGAAGCGATCTCGAACGTATGCTGACCGTTGGCCATAGAATTATATCACGAGCAACGAGGTCACTCGAGGATCAAACAACGATACAAAGAGATGCCAAGAAGCTCAAGCGGCGACTGCATTTCTCTGGTTCGGTTTCGCCGCGTTCCTGGGAAGCTTGGTGTTCTCGGGGCTGTCGGCAAGGAGTGGTGGGACGACGACGGGCATGCGCGGCATCCGAAGAGGTGGGCCCGCTATGTCCCAGGTTTAGAGCAATGGTAGGCAGCATGCGCTCATGTCCATTACTGCCACCGCAATGTCGATCAAAGACTAATTGATGCGATAGGTCCTGGGAAAGTTTGAACGCACTTCGACTATAACTTCCCTTCTCTCGACGCCATTACGTCATGTTCCTCGCTCAATGCCGTCTTAACCTTAGCTGCTTCGACCTGCGTCCTCCCTTTCCGCGCTCGCGGTCTTACACGTCGGACGGCGAGTGGGGGTTGGCGTGTGGTTTTGGCTCACGCGTGTTTGGCAGAGTTGGCAGGTATCATGTGTACATGTGTATAACGGGCTATGAGTAGGAGCAATATAATAATCAGTAATCTTCAATTCACACGAATGATGATGTGAACTTGGTGAGGCAGGAGTCCAGTGTGTGGCGCGATGATTGATTGTTTGCGAGGAGTTGGAGACTGCCGGTCATAGGTAGTTTCGATAGTTTCCTCTAATTGGCAGGAGTAATCCTTGACATTATTGACGAATGCCGACTTCTCTTCCCTGCTTCGGGATTTCATTGACTCGAAAGATATCGGCGAATCAAAGTTATCATCAAGTAAAGAACTCACCGTTTTCATGCTAGGTACTTGTAGCCTTCTTCGAGAGACACTGCTTCAAAAAAGAAAGGTCTGGCCAATGAATTATTGGCCGCAAGATGCCCGTTGCCAAGCTTTCGGCAGTCGCAGACCGGGTGGACCCCTCGAGATACGGACCTACCTCCACGAACGACACTCTTTCACCTCGGTATCGCAGCAGGCGCAGGGGCACTGTCTCACACAACCACAACCATGTGCATTCATCCTCTTTATACTCTACTCATCTACCTAGACGATATCTCACCTATCCCAAGCGCGGCTCTGCCGCCCCAACCCTCCTTCATTCCACCTTCAGCAGCCCTTCGACCCTCTTTCAAGACCTAGGAGCAAGCAGGAAGTTATTGACAGCCAATTGACCTTTGAGTGAAGGAAGAGGGTGCAGAAGAGCGGCTACACGTGGCCAACGAACAGACGGTTCACTGACCGCAGTGACCGCTAAGTTTGGGCAGCAATGCCTATACATCGCCAAGTGAGCCAATCATGGCCAATTTCTCTGACATCCTACCTTCACCACATATGGGAATGGAGTACGCTTGCCGCTATGTCACCGTGATAGCGTTGTGTATCATTTACTAGTAATTGCTGCCTTGAATTTGCCTGCACTTTCGGTATGCTTTCGGTGAGTTGGATACTTATCATCCGAGGTAGAAATGGTGGCCCCCGCTTTTCTCTCAACTTTCCGTACCACTGGATATCCTCCTAAGTGTATACTCCATCAACAACTCAATTGTTCGTTTTGGTCGGACACTGCCCCGGCCCAAGAAGAACCTTGTGCGTAGCTGGCCACCTGGTTCCAATCCAGCCTTGGTCTCCAAACCCTCCGAGCTAACCAGACAAAGATATATCTAACCTTACGACGGCCCAACATCTGAGCAGGCACTCTAGCCACCAGGCCAGGACTAAATCCGGACAGCGCAAAAGGAGAGCCGGACGAGAAAACTTCCAGGGACAGGCCTGATACAATCACATAAGGAGACGGGAGCACCAAGAAACGCTCCGCTTGGGTACCACAGTACCTTAACCAGATCTGACAAGGCGTTGGATCTTTGCAATCACCAAGCGCCAATTGGAGGTCTTGCCTTCCTGCTTTCCGGATCGATCATTGAACAGCTTTGCTGACTTTCCGCGCCGCTTCCGTGAGGACTCTTCTACTGGTCCCGGGAAAGGCAGGATCCCTTGGAAATCTCATGCTTCTCGAGTCAAAGGGCGGTCCTTAGGCGGTCTACCATCGGGCCGTAACTCACGTCCGGACTTCCATTCTTTCCACGTGCTTTGGTCTGAGGCTTGCCAGTTGAGGGATGCCAGAGGAAATCGTACTTGAAGTCAATTGAGGATCGTCCTTCCCGGCATCATCATTTTTCCCAATCGAATCTATGATACCGGCGTCTGGAGTTACTTCCTTCATTTCTACAAAGTCATTCACGGGATTCTTTGCGAGGCTCATGGATCAAAGGCAGCAGTGTGACATGTATGGCTATGGATATCCCGGACCTGGAACACAAAGATACAAAGGTGGCGATTTCATTCATGAGGATCGGCCATATAACCCACCTGAGAGGCGCGAAGCTTATGAATACAAGCCCATGTTATCCTCTCTGGTCCATACAAACCATGGATCCCACACTGGGAGACGGTCTCTCGGAGCGGAGGTGCCTAGTTTCCAGCCTAGTCTCGGAGTCAGCCCGTTTCATAGTCCATATGTTGTCACCAGTCCGGAGACCTCAGATAAGTACTACGCTTACTCTGGCAATGCTTTATCTCAACTTGTTGCCAGCGGCTACGGATCCGTTGGCTGGGCATACCAAGAAAGATCCCAACGTAGAAACCAAGAGGGCGGGATCTCGGATCTCATGCATGCAAGAAGCGAACCCATCTCAGATCCCAGACAGCGGTATCCGGATTCCATCAGCCCATACGGCTCGAACACAGATTGGAGACCAAATGTCTCACCAATTGCACAGATGTCTGCCTCCTTCAATGATGCTCTGAGTTCTCCATATCTGGATCCCTCTACCCTTTGTGCCAATTGCGGTAACCATCCCCATACAGATGGCGGTTCAGTCTACCACCCCGACCAAAGAGATGTCAGTTTAACTGCGGATTGGAAATCTCAAGAGGCCAAGAATTACTTCATACAGCCAAATGAAGAGGAGATCCCGTCCAACCGGCAGCTATCCACCCAGGACCCAAGGCGTATTGCTCCTCACAATGGCCGTCTTGACGTTCCATTTTTAGGACAGCCTAGGACCAGGTTTTCTCTCCGGAAGTCAGCTGAAGCTAACGCCCCCAATAGCCCAGTGACTGTCCATGCCAACGATGATGCTGCGAACAAGGGTCTCGCCAAAAAGCGCAAGAGGAAGCCTAGAACAATCAAGCCTCGGAAACCGAGAACCTTGACAGATGCGGGGAAGGCTCACGCGAAGGCGGTAAGAGATTACCCAGGAGGCGCCTGCGCTAATTGTAAGAAAAAGAAGACCAAGGCACGTGATCCACTGGTGACGAATTTGGTTTTCAACACGCTTATAACCGTACCTAGTGCACTCACAGGCTACGGGAGGACATTCCCATGGAGTGGCATGATAAGCGGACTCCAAACACTCCATGGACTGAGCCCCGGACACCAGAGTTTGGCCCTGGGCATCACGATCCTGTATTATATAGATCATCTCAGGAGAACGACTTTGGCTACGAAGAAATCGGTTGATGTAGTCTGCTAAGGTCAGCCATACCCGCCATTTGACTACTGAGCATTAACTGACAATCATCTAGGAGATTCCTATCTCTGTCTTGCCCTGGCCGGCGTTAGCGACCAGGTCCCAATACCTTCCGCGAGACCTGCAGGAACGGATCCAATCATGCCACACTGAGATAACCATTTTGCGCCTTTGCCCGTTCACCCTTGTTCTACTACAAGTGTCTTTCCATATAATTCTGTGTTTCCTATCATTGTTTGCTTGGTACAGTTCAAGCACTGTTGGCCCTGTGCAAGGAGTCGTCAGAGAACTTGGAGCCAAAGGACTCCGGGGGGTCCGATTACCGTGGGTTTGTGCGTGTGACAAGGGACAGGGACCGCCTCCGTTGCTGGAAGAGCCAGTGGGAAGGCTCGGATTCTTCATAACAGCACCGGGTTCAATAACGGTATCACCTGGGCTTATATCGTAGACAGGAGTCTTGTGTTGACAAAGCCATGCGTCTGTTTTCCCTGGTATGAGATCTGGACTCTGGAGTCGACCTCAAGGCTGGACCGAAGCAGTCCCATAGGAGTCTTCTTGCTCAAGGTTCTGGAACAGACAATCTTTGATGCCATGTTCCCCAACGAATAAATTCACGAATTTCATGTCCGGCGACCGAGGTGTAGTATAATGCTGATAGATCTATCATGGGCGGGCAACTGTATTTAGACCTTGGCTTTTTGCACCGCATGGGCTTGGTCGCTGGGCTCAAAAGGTTACGGATATGGCCATCGCAATTGCTGGCCTTGGATAATGAATACAATGTACAAATTTCTAGGCTCCTTGTGTTCTGCATCCTACATACTCTCACTCACTTCACTTAGTCCCAAGCTGCAGTTTATCCTGTAGCTAACTCAATCCTCCTGGTACTGAAGAAAACTCGCAATATATCTCCCGAGCGAAATACGCGGTAGCCTTCAACCCAAGCTCTTGACGTATCTTGTATCAAACGTGTCGTCTGAAAATGTCACCAGTGTATGTACTCCGACAACGCTCCGCTGAGCCTGAGATCGACCGTCCCTATCTCTTTCGTGGCATAGAACAGAACAGCCCGTGATGCTGGTACAGACCAGGTGTTCATTTCCGAAGCAGATGTAACTCTCCCGCTCTTTTGGGCTCGCCGAAATGGAACCGCAGGGAAGTCTTCCAGTGCGGAGAAGGCCCGAATCATGCACGCTCGATGGCGAGAAACGTATGTATGCCGTAGGGCAGCGAGCCTCTCCACTCGCAGAGACGGGTCGTACGCTCGAAGGCGAGGCGGAAATATCTTCCGTGTAGGTAGGTAGGTAGTAGGGTAGTGGTAGGGTAGTGGTAGGAAGGTGGAAACCCCCCCCCTCTTTCACAACGAAGCGGCAGCTTCGACGGCCCCCGCGGCCTTGAAGGTCTTCTTGCTCGTGAAGACGACCTCGACGGGGTACTTCCACTGCATGAATTTCGCCCAGCCTGTGTGCACACGGTCAGCCCGCGCCCACCCATTCGTTCATTCATCGGCCTCCTTCCTTTCCCTTGCCTTTCCTTTCCACCACCTTCCTTCGTGTGATGGAACGGAACGGAACGGAACAAGAGAACAAGGGAATGGCACACCCACCCCAATAAGCGCACTTCCTGCCGAAATACTTGCCGGCGTACGGCACGAGCACCATGGTCAGGATGAGCTCGAGTTGCTGCAGCGACTCCTTCCATTCCTTCTCCGCGTCGGATTCTCCTTCGTCGTCGGAGGTCGAGGTTGTGTCGTCGCTGGGGGCGGAGTCGGGGAGGGAGTCGAGGTCGGAGGAGGGGGAGGGGGAGGGAGGGGGGAAGGGGCTGGGGGGGTAGATGTATTGGGAGGAGGAGGAGGTTGATGACATTGTGGCGGTGGTAGGGGGTTAGTCTCTAGAGGGGGGATTGCTCGAGAGTCGGGGAGATCAGGTACCTGTAGGTAGTGTGCAAAGTGTCGTCGTGGTTTGCGCTGCTGATTCCGCCAATCGAATTCCGAGGAGCGCCAAGACCCGTTCGTTTTCGGGCTAGCGTTCATTCTGCGTCTTGGCGCAACGACGAACTCTCACCTCCGCAGCCTTCTCGTCTTCCATCGACGAATAGGCGAGGGAACTCGTCAACTCCAGAACTCTACCACTCTCGATAGAATCTTTCAAGATGCCTATCAAGCCAATAGAAGGAGTAAGTCTCGCCACACGCTCTCCGGCATAAATACGAAGCCTGGCTTGTCGAATATGATGGCTAATCTCGTACAACAGATGCTCCGCCGGGGCCTTGTGCTCGATCTCAGCGTAGCTTTCGGTAAGCCCGAGCCCACATTCAGTCAATTGGCCCCTTTAGAGCTCAATCCACCCTCTGGACAACGGGCCGGGGCACCGCCGGAGGAGCTTTGCTGATGCGATACCGAGCAGGTCTGGGAACGACATTCGGATACCTCTACTGGTACGGTATGTATACGCCAAGCAAGGCTGTTCCTGTCTGTATGGCATAAACAGAACGCTGAAGGCTCGTACAGGCTACCACGTGCCTGCCACACGGAAGCGCGATCTGTTCTACGCGAAGCTTGAGCGGGAAAGGGAGGAAAATCAGGGGACCGTTTGAGGGAAGGCGATGCTGGATTCGATCATCAAAGACCAATAAGGTTGGCGCAGACGGCATGTGAGAAAGAATGTGGGCAGTGGATTATTGTACATATGACTTTGAGGGCGATTGACGGCACGCGGGCTTCTACCTAGGCGGACCACGAGGGACTGAAGCCTTCTGGCTACCTTCATCAAAGCCGACATGCAGATGCAACATCAAGCTACTCTGCGCATTCGAAATAAATAAAGCTGCCCCTCCCACGGTGCTTTAAAGACCCCAGTCAGGTGACATTATCAAGTACCTCTGCGATGGTCTTCTGGTTGCGACCCTTGAGCGAGAAATTGATAATGCTGTGCATCTTCCATTCTGCCAACGAGACCCATCTCGTCCTCGGACAGAGGGCGACGAACGGCTATGGAGATTCAACAGGCTGGAATAACACAATTGAGCCCCCTCAATAACATCATGAATGTGTAGAGCTAGACAGCTCGAGAAACTGAGTATATGCGTAGTGTATATGCGTAGTTTGACATACGTACCAGAAATATTTAATGATAAAGGTGAAAATGGTCATGAAGCTCTCGCTTAAACTTCGGCCCACAAATGACATGGCGGACTTTCTTCCTCGAACAATCCATGCCTACTTAATCTTGAACCTGCACCTGCACCTGCACCTGGCGAGTACTACACCCATCTCACGAAAACCTGAAAGCGCAACTATCCTTATTTACCCTCATTTCTGGTTCTCTATCTGCCCAGCATGGCGGAGCAATTGGTTATGCGTGGGACGCTCGAGGGCCACAGCGGCTGGGTCACCTCATTAGCTACCAGCTTGGAGAACCCGAACATGCTCCTCTCCGGCAGCCGTGACAAAACCCTCATCATCTGGAACCTCACTCGGGACGATGCGCACTACGGCTACCCAAAGCGAAGCTTACACGGCCACTCCCACATCGTCTCTGACTGCGTATGCCGTCCTTTCCCCCCAGGTCCCTAGAACTCCTGGTGCTAACGCTCGGTCTTCTAGGTCATCTCCTCCGACGGTGCCTACGCTCTCTCTGCCTCCTGGGACAAGACTCTCCGCCTATGGGAGCTCGCTACCGGTGTGACGACCCGCCGCTTCGTCGGCCACACCAACGATGTCCTCTCCGTCTCCTTCTCCGCCGACAACCGTCAAATCGTCTCTGGCTCTCGCGATCGCACGATCAAGCTGTGGAACACGCTGGGCGATTGCAAATTTACCATCACCGACAAGGGTCATACCGAGTGGGTCTCGTGCGTGAGGTTCAGCCCGAATCCTCAGAACCCGGTCATTGTGAGCGCGGGATGGGACAAGCTTGTCAAGGTACGTCTTTTGCTCTTTACAAAAGGGGAGCCCGGTCAGAGGATGCTTTGCAACCTACAAGTATTTGCTACTTCAGAGCTTTCGAGCAATGAGACAAACAATCACCAATGCACTGATGACAACAACCAAAGAAAAGGCCTTGAGCTGCCGAGACTTGTTGCTTTTGGAGACGTCTTCGCTGACAGTGTCTTACTTTTCAGGTCTGGGAACTCGCCTCGTGCCGCATCCAAACCGACCACATCGGCCACACCGGTTACATCAACACCGTGACCATCTCACCCGACGGCTCTCTCTGCGCCTCTGGTGGCAAAGACGGTACAACTATGCTTTGGGACCTCAACGAGTCCAAGCACCTCTACTCCCTGACCGCCGGCGACGAGATCCACGCCCTGGTGTTCTCCCCCAACCGATACTGGCTGTGCGCTGCTACGTCGAGCTCCATCATCATCTTCGATCTCGAGAAGAAGAGCAAGGTTGATGAGTTGAAGCCCGACTATACGGCTGTGGGCAAGAAGAGCAGGGAGCCGGAGTGTGTAAGTCTGGCGTGGAGCGCGGACGGGCAGACATTGTTTGCGGGGTACACGGATAACTTGATCAGGGCTTGGGGTGTCATGTCGAGGCAATAGAGGGGACCACCAATTGATGGATGGTCGAAGATATGGTTCAAGTATCCTAGAGGATGGCATCGAAAATCTTCAAGTAGATGCTAAGCCAGCTGCTGCGAGATGGCTGTTCCACAGAGCTAGCCCGGAAAACTTCATGCATATGAGCGTTGCGGACTGGACATACTGTGGAGACTCTGCATCCTTCGGTATTCAAGAATAGCCTCTTCCAACGCAAGTGCTAAAAGCCCGGCTTTTCGTACCCGATGCTTATGCCTGTTTCTTCTACCTCTTCTCCTTGAGTTCCTTAAGAAGCTCGTCTGCCCTCGCGACCCCCTCTCGAAACCCAATGCCCTTACTTATATTCTTCCCGTCCTCATACCTCCTCTTCGCCTCATCCACATGACCCTCCATCATGGCAATTTCCCCCAAGTTAATCGTAGCAACCGCGCACCCTTCATCACACTCCCTGGTCCGCTCGGGCGGTTTTATCGAAGACTCGAGCGCCAGGGACTTTCGAGCCCACTGGCGAGCATCCGAGAGGTGGGAGGCGGCCGAGACGGGAGGTTGGTTCGGCGAGAGGCTGGGAGGAGGGTTCTGCTGCGCGAGGGAGATGGCGAGGTTGTTCATCAGGACGACGGAGTGACAGCCGCCGGGCGGGGCGAGCCCGAGAGCTTGGAGGAAGAGGGGAGTCGCGAGGAAATGCAGGTCTTTGGATTCGTAGAGGTGGCCGAGTGCTGGTTCGGCGGGTGTCAGTGAGCGATGCCGTCGCACATGCATGCATGCGAAAGGAAGCCACCTTCAAGAGATCCCCCAATCTCCTCGTTGCTCATCCACGGGCCCTCTCCCTCCTTCACGCCCTCATCCTCCCTCCTCCTCTGCTCCTTCAGCAACGCCGTGACGGCCCACACCAACCTCTCCTCCGCGGCTTCCTGGTCCCCAACCTGTTCATTCGCGTAATACTCCCCCAATTTCAAACTAACGGAAATCGTCTTCCGCAAGACCCTCGTCCTCTTCCCTTCATTCCCCTTCTTCCCGCCTAATACCTCCATCCACTTCAAACAATCTCCCCGAACGATCTCCAGCACATCGATCGCCTTTTGGTACTGGTGTATCTTCTCGAAAAAATGAGACACTTGGAACTTAACCCCAAGCAGCTCGTCGCTGAAAGGATCGAGACCCATCTCTTCAGCCAAATTGAGTGCTTGTCGGTAGTATTTCAGAGCATTTTTGGGCTGCAAGTCGATGTTGGTATAGTAGAGGGCCCGGCGCAACTTGGCAGCGACGGGCTCCGGGTAGGCGGCAAAGTCGGCGATTATGTAGGTTTGGTAGAAGTAATTTACGTAGACGAGCATGCCCATGCCGAAGAGGATTCTGGGAGGGTATTAGGGACTTGTGGGGGAGTGAGTAGAGGATGGGGGGGAGTACAGGATGGAGGCGAAGGGCATGGAGAAGGGGTATTCTTTGAAGAGCTTGATGGCTGCTTCTCGTGTTGAAATATTTCGTCGTGCTCGTGGCCATGGAGACTGTATGCGTATCGCCATTTGTGTTCTTGGTCGAGTAAGACTTGAGGAGTAGGTGTGGAAAGCTGACTGACACCTTGGGCGCTCGTGCAATGCTGTACGCAAAGCGCTCGATCGCAAAAGCCGAGGACACGCCCTTGCGAACATGCTGGAGAATTATGTTCGCGGTTTGGATGCTTGAGAATATGGAAAAACAGTTCAATGGCTTGTTGCGATGATCGTGATAAATGTGTTTGCGGTTGAGCCTCGGCCAAATTTTGGCGATGCATGACGCATGGAGTACTCTAGAGGAGCTTGACTTTACACGTCTGAACACTCTTACCAATTTGCACAACAGCTACGCCTGCTTTCCCCCAGGCAGGAAAGGGTTATCATGTGCGGGCGATATGCCTTAGGCATTGTAAGCCTCTGCTCGAAGGTTTGATTACTCACAGAACTAACGTCTTTCCAGAGGGCATCGTTTGTCCGCCATCAGCTCCAGGCACATGACATGCCTGTAGCAGACGCCCCAGACGATAATGACGTACGCGAGACTTACAACTTTGCTCCTGGCAATCATGGTCTAGTTTACAGAGCAGACGTGCCCGATTACGGTTCAGGTGGCAGACCTCACGACAGAGAACAACACCACGAAGATGCAACCAACGAGAAGGAGGGGCCCTCTACTCAACTCGAGGATCCTAAGGAGACACGCTACAAGCTTCAATCCATGAAGTGGGGTCTGATTCCGTTCTGGACAAAACGAAATCCAGATTACGGCACGGTGATGAGGACGATCAACGCCCGTGACGATTCTCTGGCCAGCAAAGGTGGTATGTGGAATACGATGAAGCAGAAGAAGAGGTGCATTGTTGTCGCCCAAGGCTTCTATGAATGGCTGAAGAAGAACGGTGGCAAGGAGAAGATCCCTCACTACGTAAAGCGCAAGGACGAACAGCTCATGTGTTTTGCGGGTCTCTGGGACTGTGTTCAGTATGAAGGATCCGATGAGAAACACTACACATACACCATCATCACCACAGACTCGAATAAGCAGCTCTCCTTCCTTCACGATCGAATGCCTGTCATCCTGGAGAATGGGTCGGATCAGATACGGACATGGCTCGATCCCAGCAGATCCGAGTGGTCGAAGGACCTTCAGTCACTATTGAAGCCCTTCGAAGGGGAGCTCGACTGCTACCCTGTTACCAAGGACGTCGGCAAGGTTGGTAATAATTCTCCAACATTCATCGTGCCCGTGGCAAGCACAGACAATAAGAATAACATTGCAAATTTCTTTTCAAATGCCAAAAGTTCTACCAAAGGTGAGGAAGAGAAGAAGCAGGTCGAGGCGGAGGAGGAGAATGTCAAGGAGAAGGGCGTTGCGGTCAAGCGTGAGAAGGGCGACGCACGGACTGTCGACCATAGCAGTACTGAGGTCAATGCTCCGCTGCCAGTCCCCGTGACTGAACCACCGAGGCTCGGTTTGAAACGGGAGTACGAGTCAGATGATGGCGATCGATTAACAGCAGAGTCTCTGAACCAAATTGGTGTGAAAAGAGAACGCAAGTCAGAAGATCACTGTGAGCCAGTTGCAAAATCCCTCAAGACTGAATCTCATGCAACATCCACAAGTTCCCCAGAAAAAATTCCGAACAAGAAGAGGAGAAGCGCAACAAAGAACGGCACGGTAAAGGGCAGCCCCGCGAAATCGAACGACCGGAGTCAGAAGATTACCAGCTTCTACAAATGACGGCATCACCGAAGCGATGTGGCATAAGATTTCACGCAGACGCTGCATGATGATGGCGGCAGGGCCGCGGCGAGACGGCTGCAGCCTGCGGGCTGCAGCCGTGCCTGCTTCAAGGTGTGGCTTGGACGTCTGTGCCAAAGGTCGTTAAGGAAAGGTGATTATTGGCTAGTGGTTATTGATAGAATAGGTAAAGGAAGTGAAGGGGAATATCGTTGGATCGCGTAAGCTTCGCGCAGATGGAGCTTGAGGGCGTAAAGCATGAGGCCCAAGCAGAGGCATAAGCGAGATATATGCATGATGAGATCAGTAGGCAGGAAGAACACACCTTCCCCTTCGCTTAGCGGAAGAGTAGCAAAGAAAGCGATGAGCTGTCAATTATTTTAGCCGCCGAGAAATGCCAGCTATGCGAGCACATGATTGTTGGACTTCTGCGGACTATTGCGTAGTTTGCTCGTAGATTGCTCATAGTTCCCCATTGATTTTGACGTAGAGCAAGCCTTCCAGACCAAGCTGCATACGAAGCTTCATGCAAAGCGAAGTCAGCGGCGATGAGGATTGGTGGAGTTTGAACGGGGACAGGGAAGGAGCTGGTGTTGGTTTTCCCTCACCCCACACTGGACGGGCCTGGTGGGCCTGAGATCCCGCTGAAGTCTGAACGGTCTTCCGACTGTGACTGCCGACATTTTTCCTTTCCAATTCCAAAAGGTCCATGTCCACGAGTACCTTTGTACCTTTGTACCTCTATCTACGAATCCTCTCCTCAACGTGAACGTGTACGTGTACGGGAACGTGAACGTGACAACCCCAAGATTCTTTTACCCAAACGGGTGTTTACTTTCTTTCGGAAATCGGAAACCCCTTCTGCCATTTCCCCGCTGCCTCTCTGTCCGTATACCCGTTGACTCATCAATGTCACAAGATTGCAACTCCCAAAGTAGAGTCGGATGGAGGACGACCATGTGATCATGCATTGAAAGCAGAGCAATCTCATCCAAGTCGCATTCACCCTATTGCCTCGTGATGACTTGCTCCGGGTCCCTATAGCTGAAAACCCATCAGCTCCCCCTCAACACCGTATCCGCTGCTTATGAAGGTATATAAAGCGCAAAGCTTTGACTATGTGATATCGCAAATACTGTCTTGAGGGGACGGTACAAGCTTATCACTCACATTGACAAGGTACATTTCCAACATGTTTACTTCTATGAGCCACGTCCCGGTTTCAAGCATTCCGTCCTTCGAGACCAGAAAGGCGTTGATTATCATCAACCTACAAAATGATTCCCTCTACGTCAAGGATGAGATTTATATCACCAAGAACCATGACTTTGTGCCCCGCCTCAAGGAGATGATCCCCTATTTCCGCAAGAACGGGGATATTGTCTGGGTCAATACACATATGGGGGTAACTGCCTCACCCCCACCGACTGACTCTGCCCGCGTCGAAGAAGAGTCTAACGAAGTGGCGGAAAAGAACAGACAAGCTCAAAACTTGAAGGAGCAACAGATCGAGTTTGACGCCAAACGAGAGGAGGCTGCTAGGAGAGCGAGACTTGAGAAGATCGATCCCAAAGGAGGCTCTGACTATCCTAGCTTCTATCCGTCAAGCAAAACGAAGGACATCATGGCGCAAGCCTCTGCAGAGACTAGAGCGGAGAAACGGTCAGCGGATCTGCAAGTGTTCAAAAACGACAAAGGCGACTCTATCGAAAAGCATTTGAGTAAACCCAGGAAAGGCCAGCAGGCGAGGTTCTACATTGCTGGGACCAGAGGCGCCGAGATTTGTGACGAGCTGGTGGATGTGGTGGACGAAGAACTAGACCTGATTGTGACCAAGCATCACTATTCGGCTTTCGACCAGACGTCACTTCTTACAGCTTTGAGGACTAAGCTGGTCACCGAGGTCTACCTTTGTGGCATCTTGACGAATGTGGGAGTGTACTCTACTGCAGCAGACGCAGTACAGCATGGACTACAGGTAACTGTCGTTGAAGACTGCCTTGGGTATCGAAGTGAAGACAAGCACGAGGAAGCGTTGCGTCAAATGGCAGACATCATGGGTGTTAATGGTATTGATAGTGAAGAGATCATCGAGGAGTCTGGAGGTCGTCCAGTGCCCGACGCGGAAACACCTGGTATCACTCTCGAGGAGCTCTCACTAAATTCCGATCAAGAGGCAGCAGAAGGTGGCTCTATGATGGTAGGTATGGTTTTCAGCAATCCAGGACCTGCTACCGCTGAAGTTGGCGGTGCGACCAAGGTTGGCGGACGCCCACAATTGCCGCCAGTCGACATTTTTGATCCCAGTTGGCAAGCATCACTATCTCCTGTAGACAAAACAGCACCGCGAGTCGAGAAGGCGCTGAAAGAGAAAGAGGTCTCGCCAATAGCCAGATCGGGGCCTTCTGCTTCGAGGGATCGAAATTCTTGGCAATCCAGATCGGTTACACTAGGACCGAATGACAGTATCGGGTCTGGCGACTCGAAAATCATCCACAATGTCATTGGCTCTTCAATCATCAATAACGCATTCAGCCAAATGAAGGAAGAGGTTGACTGGCAGACCATGTTTCACCGCAGTGGGCAAGTGCCAAGGCTTGTAGCAGTGCAAGGAGAGGTTGGGAAAAATGGTGACATACCAATCTACCGACATCCTGCGGATGAGTCGCCGCCGCTCTTACCATTCACTCCCATGGTTCAAAAGATTCGGCAACAAGTCGTGTCAGCGTTGAAGCAGTCTTTCAACCACGCCCTGATCCAGCTATACCGTGACGGACAGGACAACATCTCCGAGCACTCTGACAAGGTACTTGTTTACAATGTGCGGAGTTGAAATTTGAGCTGACCATGATAGACTCTGGATATTGCTCGCGGTACTAGTATTGTCAATGTGAGCATCGGTGCCCAACGTGTCATGATTCTACGTACGAAGAAGTCCGAACACGGTACAGAAAGTCCCAGCATGAGGCAGACACAGCGTATCAAGATGCCACATAACTCTGTCTTCGTATTAGGACCTCAAAGCAACAAGGAGTGGTTGCATGGAGTTCGAGCTGACAAACGACCTGCTTCAGAGAAGACGGATGAGGAGAAAGCCTTTGAAGGTGAGCGCATCTCGATCACCTTCAGGCAGATCGGTACTTTTATGAACAAGAAAGAAAAGACGATCTGGGGCTCTGGAGCAAAGAGCAAGTCGAGGCAGAAAGCTAGTAGGATCTCCACCAGGGACAACGCTCAGATGGATGCCATGATCAAAGCCTTCGGCAAAGAAAACCACGACACAGATTTCGACTGGGAGGCTGAGTACGGAAGTGGTTTCAATGTCGTCAATCTGGTGAACGAACAAGCGCAGCTCTTTCTCTGCAACGACTCGGTCGCCAATCTTCGCGTGCAGCTTTCGTTGTGCGAGAAATCGATCTCCTGTGCAGCCACCCAACAGGACAAACCCCCCTCGCCTGAACCTGAGGACTTCCAGACCAGATTCCATCCTTGGATGCATGGTCTGTCCAACAGCGAGAATCCTGTTTTCAAGGACATCCATGAAAACGCTACCGTTATAGAGGGCGACCTTACTATCATGTTCTATCTGGAGAAGCATTATCCTTTCCCAGGTACAGAGGCGTCTGTGGCGCAATATGATCAAGCCACTGCCCTCATCTATAGCCAGACTGCAAAGGCCAACGAACTTCTATTTCTCTGGCGTGAGATGCGAGAGTTGCAGGGACCCAACTCACCACCGACGCACCGCTTCAACTTGGAGCGGCCAATGACGCCGAACATCTCGCTGTTCGAGGAGTTCCACAGCAGCCTTTGGACCTGGGAAACCCTTGCAGGAGCCGCGGAATACATTACCGGAGACCACTGGACGATCATCGATTGCGCCTTCTGGCCAGTGTTGAGCCATATCATTGGGGAGTTTGAAGAGTTGAATCAGGAGAGGTATCCGAACCTGCTGGCATATCACCAACGAGTGATGGGGAGGGGATGCGTCAAAACAATTCTCGGCACTGGGAAATGAGACTGAATTCACCGTCAGAGCAATATTTCCAAACTGTCGCTACCCTTGAAATTGACGGCCTGTCGACACGTTTTCCAACTACTCCTCACACAAGAGAGCTGACGAAAGGGGGATCCACAAGTCCGAGAAGGTCTTTTGAATGCCTGATGCTGCGGAAAGAGACGCAGTCTAGAGCCTGTAGAGCGCAATGCCATTCATGACACCAGCATCTTTCCCAGATGCGAATGAAATGCCGAGGTTCCAAGTATGTGGTTCTTGTCCAGCCTCCCATCTTGAGGCATGATTTAGGCCTCTGCGTCCCAGGAATAGCATTGCAGATTTCGTGAATTGGCGCAAAGTACATCAATATGCATATAGCCATGGTCGAGACTGGACATAAGGAGGCTGGTTCTGATTTCTGCATTGGGAGCGACACCGCCGTCGTTTATTCGCAGTACATATATTAGCTTGCCAAGTACACGACTGCAGCTTCATGTAACAGGGCATACGAAGGCCCAACAATGTAGAGCCGAGCATTCATGGATGCAACACATACAAGCATTCGAATCGGGAGGAGAGGGAGGCATAATTTGATATCAAGTGCACACGGTAATTTTTTGCACATTCAATAGCTCCATTATTTGATGTAGCACCAGTCCTAGTAATGCATCTTTGCATTAATCCTGCCAGCCGTCAATGAAAGCCAGCCTAGGCAAGGATTCCTCCAGCACCACTAACAACCAACTCCTCTGCCCCAGGCATGTTCCTTCTGAGAGGCTCGTAGCATCACGGCCATTGATGGAATTCCATCCTGAGAAGTCTGTCGAACCGTAGCGGCCCACCTTTGAGCTCTGTGTCTCATAGCCCTGTCTCCTCGACCCTTCTCCTAGCAACCCGGGTAGCCAAGTTCCTCCCGCTCAGGTGCTTCCCAATCCTTTCGTGGACTCAGTCTTCACGTCCATACCTTCGTCACAGCTTCAATCGGACGCACTGTCATCAGGCATCTGCTGCGTATTCGAGAGTTCCTACACCTTTATATCAGCGCACCCCATTCCCTTCTCCCTCTTCTCCCTCTTCTCCCTTTCCTTCCCTTCCTCCCAACACTATCTACGGAGGGGCTCCTCACCTCCTCGAGCCTCGCCTTCAACCGCTGCAACTGACTCTCCTTGACCACGAGCGTCTGATCGTCGAGATCTTCGACGATGTAGTCGTGCTTGGCTTGGTCGATCTTGAGGATGATGGCTTTGATGGAGGGGTCGCATTCGACGAGGACGCCTGGGGTTTTTGTCGGGTCAGTCGTGCTTGGGAGATGGCGGACCTACCCTTGGGGGTCGGTGTCTACCTTTGACGGCTTTGGGCATGCTGGCTGGACTGAGGTGTGATGCGTGGGTTTTGTTTGGAGAAAGGCCGTTGAGAACCAGTCGATGAGCAATGATAGTTTTAGTGCAGGTTTAATTCATGCATAGAATTTGGGTTTGTGCAGGGCTGAGGAATGCAAACGCCAGAAAAGCATGCTGAATAAATCGGAATCCGATGGCATCCGGAGGGTTTCTCTATCTCCATCCACGATCGTGTTTACCCCCTAAAACTACCTGATCCACCTTTTAAGGGAAGTTTATAGGTGTTATGCTTCTCCCTATTCTCCTGTTGAAAATGGCCTGAAGCTGCGCCCTTCCTGCACTCCGTCACTCAGTCTCTCTTCTCTTTGAATCACACCATTCTCGCGGACTTTGCTCCGGAAGGGGTTATTTTCCATCACCGTCACGACTTCGAAATCCCTTCTTTCTACTTTCCTTACAGCAATGGCAAGCACCAGGCCGACGACGTCAATATTCTCCTTCTCCTCCAAACTCCTCTCCTCCCTCCTCATCCTTCTCGCAACCCAACCCTGCAGCCTAAACGCCCAACCCCAGCAATCACCCACCTCCACCACCTCCTCAAGCGCCATCCCCTCCCTCGTCAACAACCCCGCCAACGGCGACACCGCCCCCTCATCCTTCACCCCCTCCTCCCTCTCCTCCGCCATCCCCTCCGCCACCGACTCCGCCGGCTACGGCAGCCAAGACAACAACACCACCTCCTCACCCCACAACGGAATTCTAAACTATTACTTCCTGCTCCTCGCCGTCTTCGTCGTCGCTATCCTCGTAATCTATTGGTCCCTCGCCCGACGAAGGAGAAAGGCCGCGGCCCGATTGAGTAGAATGCAGCAGAGGGTGCTGTCGGAGGATGTGAGGAGTTGGACCAGGCATAGGCAGCCCGGGCAGGGGCTCGAGGATGAGGAGAGAGGGGGAACCGGGAGGGACGAGGGGTTGGACGAGGCTGGGGAGGCGCCGCCGGCTTATGTCAAGGAGCCCGAACGGGCGCATTTGGACAGGGGTGAGGGGGTCGAGCTGAGGGGGATGGCGAGGTTTAGGGAGATGGTCGGATTGGAGGGGAAGCCGCCGGATTACGAGGAGGGGCTTCCGTCGAGGTGATGGAGGCTGCTAGTCGAGGAAGGAGAGGACTTCGCTGCCGTTATGAGGCCCACCAGACGGCATGCCAGGGTCGTGAGGTGTACGGTGACTGGGCGATCCAGGCATTCTAGAATGGTGTAATGCGAGTGATGACTTTGAAGGACTTTAGATTTTCTTCGAATTAGCGATAGGGATTGCATAGCGGAGGGGAACAAGCGCAGGGTTCAGAGATGGCAAGGGCATCCATCCGCTCTGAGACTGGAACATAGACTAGACATCGAAAAAGACATTCAAACCAACGAAGCAAGCAAGCTCTCGACGTCGATTCCATCTCCGGCTATTACACAGCGTAGCGATGTTATACTTTGCCAACAGTAATGGTACAATATCTAACAGCGACTTCTCATCTCCAGCCGAAGCCTCCGACCATCCCTCCTCACCGCCTCCCCACCCAACCCTTCCGTCCTCTCCAACGCGTCACACCTCCGATCCTCTCCAGCACACCGCCAATCTAATCAAAAGCCTTCCCGATACCCTGCCCGAGCCCGCCCTTGCCGAAATCCTTCCCAAACTCCTTCGCCGCCTCGTCGCCCAGGCCGCCGGAAACCTGGTTGAGCTCATCGTTGGAGACGACGGGGTTCTTCTTCAGCCGATCCTTCCTGCACGCATCGCAACGTCAGCTTTGCGTTCCCGCAGTGCTGATCCAGGTTTCGAAACCGAAACGGAGGGATTGAGACGGAAGGAAGAAGAGAGAGTGTGTGTGTGTGAACAAAAGGAAAGGGAATGTGGGATGGGCGGGGAGAAAGAAAGAGAGAAAGAAAGAAAGAAGAAGGGAAAAAAACGAACAAGAACCCCTCCGCCGCCGTCTCCCCACTCTTCTCCAACATCTTCTCCTCCGCCTTCGCCTCCGCCTTGAAATACTTCTCCATCACAAACTTGACCACGTCGTCCGCCGCGCCCGACATGTAGACCCCGCCCGCCACGGCCGCCAGCACCGTGAGGACGATCGTCGCGACGAGCGCGCCGCTCATGCCGCCTGAGGCGTCGGAGGGGGAGCCGGCCATGGTTGGCGACGTGGGGTCGGGTTTGGGGGGTTGAAAGGTGTGGTGTGGGTTTGAGGAGGTGGTCGTGGGATTTTTGGGGGGGGGTTGATGGGGGTGGAAGATGTATGGGGGTGGAAGAGGGTGGAGGGCGGTTTTGTTTCGGTACGGATTTGTTTGTTATATGCGGGGGGCAGATAGGGGTAAGGGGAGGGGAAACCTGATGGTGTCGTGTGCTTCAAACCGGTTTCGTACGCGGTCGGAGAAATGACGTTGAGAGCTTGGCGGGGATCTCACGTAACGGTATTCTTATCTTAGCGTCTTGGCATCAACGGTGTTCGTTTTCGGGCGTTCCTCCTTTGCTCAACTTTGTTGTCACTGTTCACAATATTAAGTGTATACGGAGTACAGTATTCCTTGATCTCGCCAAAACATCGGCCTCGTTCTTTCTTCGTCATTATGCTTTTAATGCAAAGCCTGACTGTAGGCCTCCAGCTAAAGCCAAACTTACCTCCATCTCTTCAAGTGCAGCAATTCCTTCTCCAGCACGAGAAATTGCACCGAGGAGTATCGCAAGAACGGATTCACAAGGCCCATCAGAAAGTCTCGCGTCCACTGGATGATTTCCCAGGTTCTCGTGCGCGACGTAGATGGAATCAGTTTTGACTTTGTCTTTGCCAAAGAGTGCCACATGGAGCGTAGCTTGAATTCTGCGTCAATACAGAGGTTCTGCAAACGCTGACCAAATTTTGCGCCTCACTGTTGAGATCGATTCTACCGGCTGCAAGCAAATAATTCACTTCCTCATGGAAAAAGAGCGCTATACAGTCTGTCGAGTTGCTGCAGGAGGACCCGATCTGGACTTGGTTTTCGCATGAGAGGGTTGAGAAGACGACGTTTGGGGGTGCGAGAGACGCGTTGAAGGCGAAGAGATGGTGCGGATTTAATGCGATCGAATGAATTGAGGAACTGAGCAGTCGAGGAGAAACTCGAGTTGTCGTGCGTTATCCCATGCTCGCTCTGTTGACCTTGTCGCCTTTTTGCTGGCAACTTTGCTCTTTTGTCGTCTCGTCATGATCGTCAAAGGGATTTGGATCCTCATCGCGTGCCTCTTTCCACCGTTGATATGAATACAGATTACTCGTAGGAGGTGGCAATTGTTTGAATGGCTAGCAGATGGGTATGATGCGTTTATGGCTGCATATACCATACTTGAAACTGGCTTTAATCAATCGTTTCAAAAGAGCTGCTACCCTTTAGACCTGGTGATAGCGACTCTGTGAAGACCAAAAATCACGCTCAACCGCTTATGGCATAATCATTATACGAGAGGGATGTTCTCGACCCATGAAATCGCGGCGTACAATCGGATAAGAACGGGGCGTAGGCTAAAAAAAGACTCTACCAGCAGATAGAACCTTGATGCCGCGTAACAGAAAGATGCTCCAACGCCAAATGCTATGCCAAGTCTCATGACCACATTGGTCTCCTGATACAACATGACGGAGATCTTGTGTACCGGTTGTGTGGGAGTCTGGTGAGTTTTGAGGGTGAAACATTTGACACTGCTTTCAGCGATACCGAGGCCGTGGGGAGCTGCTTTGGGTTCTGCATCCTCAACGGAACCAAACTGTGCTTTTCGCCGCCACAGATTCTTAACACTTTCTCTTCGCCACCACAGACTCTTAACACTTAGCAAGTTACTCATCGAATTAGAATCTCTAGTGTCTATGAATCACTGAATCTTCAACTTTCATTTTCCTGACATTGAATCACCAACCTTCATTTCCCAACCTCAAAGATTATCGAACCAAAGACAACCCGTGTCTGACTACTCTTTAGTGTCCCTGTCTCTCAAGAACAATATCATCATCGACCTGGTCAGGAATTTGCCTTCCAAGTGCACTTTGAGATAGCAAAGTTTTTCAGATTAGGTACTCAACAGTCTGCTCCAACACAATTCCTACGATATCTTCCGTCTTTTTCTTTTTGCATCCCCAACACTCTGCGCGAACAAAGCTGCCATTGCATCTTCCTTCTTTGGGTTTTGTATCCACGACCCATAGACACAACTCCGTATTCAGATTTCTTTGAGCATTTTACTAATATCAATCTTCCTCAACAGATTATTTCCCAAATCATCAATATGCCAAGCCGAAGGGTGGAGGGCTTTTTAAGCAGTCTGACTGAGCAAGAGTACCACGCGAGTAGAGCGCGTTTCGAGAGGACTGAAGCCCGGGCTGCCATCATGAGTTACGAAGAGTTTTTGGAGCAGCTTGAGCTCCAAAATCAGTGGGAAGCAGCCTCTCGTCGTGATGAAGCTCGTAACAATAGAGCTGATCATGCTGCCAATGGCTTTGGAGGGTTTGATTATCTTGGGTCTTGGATACCTTGTTCACGTAAGGCTCGTGATCGCCATGCGAGCGGTTCGTCCCATGGTCATGGTGATCATCGTGGCATCAGTAGAAGAGACTATGAGGCTTACTATGGCGACGAGTCGTTGGCTGGAGAGTCCGACGGTTTCCACGCTGAAGGAGGGAGTGGCAACCTCGGTGCTCGTACTCAATCTGGGGCGTTCAATTCTTATGGTCCAGCGCATAGACATACGGGATACTCGACTGAGGACATTGCAGACTTTGGAGGACGTGATTATCGTCACCGAGCGTCACCACCACCTCGACGTGGTGGAATGTCTTTAGGCGAACGTTCAGCTGCACAGCCTTCACTCGCTGATGCTAGCTCTCGTCATAACGGAGGCCGGCAAGACCTTCCCTCGCAAGATCGCGATGATAGCTATGATAGTGACGCTAGCTTTGCGAGCTCGAGTAGGCGCTACGATGGACGACACAATCCTGCAGGCCGTCGCCATTAGTAGACATAGAAGAGGTGAGCAGCAACAGCTCATTATCGCTGACCAGGTTTTTCGGCTGACCAAAGTAGATTGCTCGTGGCCATGGAACTGGTCAGGTAAAGCTCACAGAACTGGTCATGGAATTGTTGGTAATGGTGCAGACGGGGAATGTTCACAAGTTGTTGCAGAGAGATTCTTGTAACCGTTGATCGAGCTTCTTCTGGCACAGAACGGGCAAATTCGTTTTGCAGATACAATCACATAGATATGGCTTGCTCAAGAACCACTCTTACTGTTATGGCAGCAAATCGTGAACCTGCCTTCTTGTATGAGATTCCAGCAAGAGCCATGAACGGAGAAAATCTTGAGTATTTTCTCAATCTAACAGCCACACAGGTAGGGTAGATGCAAGGAAAGGTTGCACCCGAAGCAGTGTTAATATTTCGGTCAAAGAAGCAGCCATGCTTACAATTTTCGTTATGTATCAGTCTCCATAAAGAGGTTTGATCATCCATAACAGAATACTCTTGGTTGATGCCGAAAGATTGCGTGAAACATAAAAGATTCCACGCCTCGATATTATCACCTGTTCTGTCAATTCGCCCCTTAGCCTTTCAATTCAATGTATTCTGTGCACGTCAAACCAAAGAATTTAGCCATTCACGTTGGAGAACATTGAGTTCCCGTTTTAAGCAGCCTTCGATGTCTGTCTGCATTCGTTCACTCTGCCGAAGTCAATGCATCAAAAACTTGACCTTCAAGACCAATGTTTAAGCTGAAGTAGCCCACGTAACTCATCATCCTCACGCTCAAGTATTACTATATTATTTACTTTAGATATAGAAATTAAAGATCAACAATGATTTAGGTTTAATCGAGCGCTTACTCTAAGCGTGACGCGCGTGGAGTAAGGAAGGTTTGCCGAGACTTGGATTAAGTTGCCAGAGTTTGGATGGGCCTCCATGGCCTCCTGAGCTTCCAACAGAACCTACCCAAAACAACGCCGTCACCCCTCGATACCAGCGTACTCAACAGTCACCCGTGTTCGATTGATCTGCCTCTGTTGCCCGTAATGGCGCGCCAACCAGTCCTCTACGCCCTCCTTTCTCTTGCCCTCTTACCTTTCTCGTGGGCACTCAAGTTTGATCTAGCAGCACACACAGGAAAAGAACGATGTATACGGAATTTCGTGGCCAAAGACACATTGGTCCTTGTAACGGCGATTGTTGACGGGCAAAAAGGAGATGGGCAGCAAGTCAACATGCATGTCAGTCTTCCCGTTACGCCAATTGCGTGCAAGGGAAATCCTGCTGACGCTACGTTTGTACTTCAGATAAAGGACGCTGTGGGCAATGAGTATGGAAGACCCAAGGACATTGTGGGAGAGAAAAGGATGGCATTTACATCGCATGCTGACGCTGCTTTCGATGTATGCTTCGAGAACCAACTTGTCTCATCTCGTAAGCACTGCCCCCAAACACAAACCCGAGGGTGCTAATAAATAATCCAGGGGGAGGAAGTCCGTCACGCCACATTGAATTAGACATTGATATTGGCGCCGATGCCCGAGACTGGTCTGCAATCCAGGCACAAGAGAAGCTCAAGCCGGTTGAGACGGAGCTGCGACGCATTGAAGAGATGGTTGGGGAAATTGTTGGCGAGATGGACTACCTCAGGACAAGAGAACAGAAGCTTAGGGATACGAACGAGAGCACCAATGAGCGCGTCAAATGGTTCGCTTTTGGGACCATGGGAATGCTGGTAGGATTGGGCGCGTGGCAGGTTGTGTATTTGAGGGCTTATTTCAGGTACGTTCCTCCGGACTGCTTCCCTGCTATGGGCAGGAGCCGACACTGACTCCACATTCCCAGATCGAAGCATCTGATTTAGTCCATGCTTACAGCTGGCATTTTGCGTTACATTCGGTCAGATTACTACATTATATGTACTTTTTAGCTTTGCACAGGGTACTAAAATGAGCACCTCGACTACTGACTCGAGGATCAGACCCGTCACTCATCTAGTCTACGCTTTTTTCAGTTCTTCACTTCGACGTCTTCAGCCTTCGGCGGCGCATCCTGACCGCTAAGTCGCCGAGCAGCCTCACCTTGGATACCACATCCCTTCACCGTTCTGCAATCTTTTTCTCTTCTGCTTGTTCCCTTTCTTTTCGGTCCTTGGGCACACTCTGACTATTAAATCGAGAGGTAGATTCACTGATAACTCACTTTCCAATCTCACGTTAATTGATTAGTCTACAACCTGCTTCGCTTCACCTCCTTCAGTCTCCGACTCACCTGGTCTTCGGTCGCTCCAATTTCTGAGTCTCGCATGCTTTTTCTTCGCCAATCAGAAACCATCACAAGACTCGTTTCTACCACGATGGCTCCCAAAGCAGAGGATGCCACCCCGTTAAAGGCGCGCTCCAAGCCATCCACTACCTATGAGCTCGTTGTGCTGAATCTCAAGCCCCTAGGCTCGTATGTACTCTTCCTGAATACAATTGGTACATGGCTTCATCTGACATGCTACAGGCTTCTGACTATCGAGCTGGTTGACGTCTTCGTCGGACCGAAGCGCAAGACCTTCCGCCTTCACGAACATTTGCTGTGCGACCGCTCGGACTACTTCAAAGCAACATTCCAAGGCGAGTTTGCTGAAGCCAAATCTAAAGAGCTCTATTTGCCCGACGACAACGACGCGTCGTTTGAGCTCTTTGTCAATTGGCTCTATGGTGGCAATCTCAAGCCGCCGAGCAATGACGACGAGCTTTCGGCACATCTCGGTCTACTGGCGTTGGCAGAGAAAGTCTTGATTGAACATCTTGGTAATCTCACTGCTGATCACATCAGAGGATACTATCGGGATTCCAAAGCGAGAGTCTCCGCTGGAGATCTCTCATTCGTCTTCGAGAACACCAGCAGCCATCTGATGCTACGATGTATGGCTGTCGTCGCAGCAATGCAGACATTGAGATCAAGCTCCAACAAGGGTCTTCCAGCCGACCTCCGGGAGCTAATCATGAAAGGCGGTGAAATAGCAGCGATGTTCGCCAAGTACTTGCTATATTCGCAAGACCACGGAAAGATATCCAGAATCGACCATGTGCTTGATCTCAACAGAAGCTGTACTTTCCATTACCACAATTACACCCCCAAATGCAAAGGGCCAGCGGTTGGAAAGCTCGATGACTTTGAGGAGGGTAGTGCTCAGAAACCCAAGCCTAGCAAGTGAATAAAAGGACGCAGCTGGGTCGCTGGATGGTTCGCGAGAATCAAGGAACAGTCCGAGCGTTGCAAAGGAAGGGAGCCATCACAAAGGTCAGGTCTCTGCAACGAAGGTGGTGGTTCTTTTCCGATTTGGGGGACATTTGACGGATTGTTGATCATGGCATGAACACAGACAGGTTCTTCTTCTTTGTGCCCAGGGACTACTCGATGCCAGTCATCAAGCAAGGCATGTTCATGAACTAGTCTTGAGCAACACATACCATGATCTCATCCGTATATGTTTTGGCTCAATCGCCGCTAATGTGTCAATTTCTACACCTGCTCCACCTCACGTCGAAGCCGGATATCGCCTATTTTCGCTACGAAATCGTTAGAATACACTTCGAGCATGGCAGATCCAACCTCACAATTTGTCTAATCTGCGTTCTCGTACAGCCCGAGCTCTTCCCCTCCCCATCAGACCCTTTCGCATCGCTTCCGCACATACTTCCCCTGCTGCACCTTGGGTAGTCTTCAAGAAGTCGGATTTGCGTTAAAACTCTCTGACGTTCTTTACTGCCCCCCTCGCAGCCTTACTGTCTTTGGGTAAGGGAAATATGTCATCGATGGTTCTCCAGTGTGCAAGCCCTGCTAGAGTCACGCTCAGACTTTAGATGTCATCTCATTTCTTGGATCGTGATCGTACACAATTCAGTGTCGGGAAAGAGCTATTGTCTATATTGCGTGATCTGAAGGTACAAGGTCATCACAAAAAATTGCAAAGCCTACGCCAAGCCCTTAGAAATGTTTGGAAGACACAAGAAATCGACAATTATAGTGAACGCTTAAACGATCATCGTTCGCAGATCGTTTTTCACCTCATCAAACTTCTCAGGTACGTGTAAGATCCACGAGCTGACTCATTACTGATTTCACCTTCAAAAGGACGAACAGTCGAATGTTGTCATCGCCTTGGAAAACCAGGCCTCACGCCACCGTAGCCTCGGGACGTCCGTAGAGAATCAAGCAACACACCTGAAGAGGGACATCGTGAGGTCGCTAGATCGCCTGACTGTTCTAATATCCGGGGATCCTGACGGACCCCTCAAGGACTTAACTTTGCAACCCTTGACGCTCGCCATTGATGGCAGCACAAGCACACGACAGGTAAAGCCTATCGAGAGCTTACGCCTCGCGATGATTTCTGAGAGGCCAGCACGCGTAGTGGAGGCTTACCCGTCAACCTTCGATTGGCTTTTCACAGATATGAAGCCTGGTGGAGTCCCGGGGTTTCTTTGTGCTGGATCAATTGAAAGCGTGTAACGGTATATACTCGCTCAGTGAGAAGGCTGGGTCAGGAAAGTCTACACTTATGAAATCCCTTGTCACTAATATGAGGATACGAAGAGCACTCCACAACTGGGCAGGAGAAAATCGACTTATGACCGCCAGCTTCTTCTTTTGGAATGCGGGAGCATATACGCAGAAATCTCAGCATCGTCGTCTGCAGAATATCCTATAAAATGTGTTTCAAGAGCGGCCCGGGCTAGTTTCGCAGATATGTCAGTCGCAATTGCGGAGGGTCAACGATGCAGTATTCCATTGGACGCGCGCCGAAATTGCAGAGGTACTCGATCGCTTAAAGACAGTCGAAACAACATGATTCTGTTGTTTCATAGACGGCCTTGATGAGTTCGATGGGGATCACACCGAAGTCCTTGAAGTCCTGCAAGGTCTCACATCCTCGAGTCACATCAAGATACTTTTTTCCAGCAGACCGTGAAATGTTTTCTAAAACACTTATGGGGATAA